ATCCTAGAGAGACGCCCAGTAGGATCCGTTCCGTGGTTTCTGAAAACATGTTGCTACAAATTTGATTGATCCGCATCGAATCTCCCCCCGAAGAAAGCTGACCTTGAATACCTCGTTTCTCACACAAATCTGGGTTCAGTTCACTTTTGGTATTTTAAGATATGAAAAATCACCATCAGAATGAGTGGCACATTATCGGGTTCAATGGATTATTTTCCATAGCTAAGTTAGAGTGCCAGATGCTAGGCTGCTAGGATATGAGTTGGTCACAACATCCATCTCCCTATCTCCATGACAGGCCGCAGCGGCATCATGTGCCTCTATCTCTGCCAAAATGGCTTAACATATCTCAACAAATCCAAGCGTACACATCCAGCACTAGCCTCTGGTAATGATTAACAGGTTGCGAACTTGAAAATCACCACAGTTGTGCCATGTGTTTATGTAAAATATCAAGCTGAATGGGCCATCTATCCCACTTCGCAAACTGTTCGTCATTGATCGAAGAGTCCTTGCCCATGAAAATCATTACATTCCCAGGAAAGGCTTGAATATTTCCATGACATGTCCAGGAAAACCCCCATATCTAGATGCTAAAACCCATGTTAAGCCATCCTTTCTTCCCCGAAAAAAATCCACCATTTCTTGAGGGCCCAAGCCACCGCTTCACCCGTGCAGAGCGTCCTCGAAGAACTGCTTCACCTGGCTGAACCACCTTTTCGAGGCACATCCTGGTACCCGTCAGAGGGATTCGGTCCTCAGCGGCCATAGAAAAGGGTGGCTCTTTTACTGGTTGGTGGTTGACCTACCCCTCTGAAAAATATTAGTCAGATTGGATCATCATCCAAACTATTGGGGAAAATAAAACATGTTCCAAACCACCAACCAGTTTTTGGTAGATTGACTACGTATACGTATATATATATATATATATCTGGTTAGTGGTTTCAACCTCCCTGAAAAATATTAGTCAATGGGAAGGATGACATCCCATATAATTACTATGGAAACATGTTTGAAACCACCAGCCAGATACGTATATATATGTATATATACATGATCATACATTTGTGTATGATTGACTATGGGTATGATTGACTATGGTAACATATAACAAGTTTTTAAGACTAAAAGAATAAGCAAAAAAACAAAAAAGAAACGTATATACATATATAAATATATATATATATATACAGGTATGATACTTGATACGTGTACTGTAGGTGATCTTAATCATTATTGTTGATTTGGATTAATTAACAACAAGGTGGGTCTGCGTTAAAAAAAAAACACAAATTTGGTGAACGAACCGGGGTTTATGGGGGATATGACAAAGTATAGTTATATAATTGATGCTAAAGGTGACTATAGATTGCAACATGAAAGAACACCGCCAAAAATAGATATAAGATGAATCGGACTTGACTTGTCGATCTTGTTGGTGGTAAATATCATATAACCCCCATAAAGCCAACATAATATATTAACAGTATAAACTCACTTAGCTAACAAACCGCAGCTCCACCCTGTGTGAAACCAGTTCGGAATGTGTCTAACTCAAACTCGGGTGTTTCTGACACAAGTTGAATCAAATTGGGACATGGACCATGGAATGACATGGTCCCAACTACCAAACTGCCATTTCTTGGGGTCTCCTCTTTGCTCCCGAACACCTTTCATAAATGATGATTGACCTTTGATTAATTGGCTTGTGGAAATTCTTGGAAATCATATTATGAATCACAATCTTTTTCTGTTATGCTCTGATTTTTTCTCGATCATAGGATCCTGACATATCACGAGGGCAATGAGCGGCGCTTACATCATCCCCAGGAGCAGTCCCGGGGTCATTGCTTGGCCCCCACACGCGTGAATTACCCCCTGGTAAACGCACAGTTCGCTATTGAAAATGGCCATAGAAATAATGGATTTACTACCCATTAAAAATGGCGATTTTCCATAGCAAACTGTTAGTTTACCAGAGGGTAAACGCAACGATTGATCCATCGGATGATCACCCCCACCCCACTGGTTAAGGGATCACTTAGTACCGGAAAGTGGATCACTTAGAGCACCGGATCGCTTAGAGCACCATGGGATCACTTAGAGCACCAAAAAAGTGGATCACTTAGAGCACCAGAGAATCATACCTTTAGGGTAACACTTGGGGACACGGGGCTGGGACATGGAGTCAGGCACAGCAACCTCATCATCTTTCTTGCTGTCCTGCAGACACAGGCACTGCACTACTCTTTCATGATCAGTTACCGGTGGGGTGGGGTGGGGTAATAACGTTCATGTTCCTGTGCAGACACAGGCACAGCAACCTCATCATCTTTCTTGCTGTCCTGCAGACACAGGCACTGCACTATTCTTTCATGATCAGTTACCGGTGGGGTGGGGTGGGGTGGGGTAATAACGTTCATGTTCCTGTGCACACACAGGCAAGACGTTCCTGCTACGTCGTGACATCTTCGTCAAGTGACTTGCAAGACGTTCCTGATACGTTGTAACATCTTCTTGAAGTAACTTGCAAGATGTTCCTGATACGGCGTGGCATCTTCGTCAAGTAACTTGCAAGACGTTCTTGATATGTTCTAACATCTCCGCCAAGTCACTTGCAAGACGTTCCTGATACGTTGTAACATCTTCTTCAAGTAACTTCCAGGACGTTCCTGATACGTTGTCATTTCCTCTTTCAAGTAACATGCAAGACGTGCCTGCTACGTCGTAACATCTTCAAGTAACTTGCCAGATGTTCCTGATACGTTGGAACATCTTCTTCAAGTAACTTGCAAGACGTTCCTGATACGTTGAAAACTCTTCTTCAGGTAACGTGCCGGCTGTTCCTGATACGTTGTAACATCTTCGTCAAGTAACTTGCAAGACGTTCCTGATACGTTTTCATTTCTTCTTTCAAGTAACATGCAAGACGTGCCTGCTACGTCGTAACATCTTCTTCAAGTAACTTACCAGATGTTCCTGATACGTTGGAACATCTTCTTCAAGTAACTTGCAAGACGTTCCTGATACGTTGAAAACTCTTCTTCAGGTAACGTGCCGGCTGTTCCTGATACGTTGTAACATCTTCGTCAAGTAAATGCAAGACGTGCCTGCTACGTCGTAACATCTTCTTCAAGTAACTTGCCAGATGTTCCTGATACGTTGGAACATCTTCTTCAAGTAACTTGCAAGACGTTCCTGATACGTTGAAAACTCTTCTTCAGGTAACGTGCCGGCTGTTCCTGATACGTTGTAACATCTTCGTCAAGTAACTTGCAAGACGTTCCTGATACGTTTTCATTTCTTCTTTCAAGTAACATGCAAGACGTGCCTGCTACGTCGTAACATCTTCTTCAAGTAACTTGCCAGATGTTCCTGATATGTTGGAACATCTTCTTCAAGTAACTTGCAAGACGTTCCTGATACGTTGAAAACTCTTCTTCAGGTAACGTGCCGGCTGTTCCTGATACGTTGTAACATCTTCGTCAAGTAACTTGCAAGACGTTCCTGATACGTTTCTTCGTCAAGTAATGCCGAAAAGCGGATCGCATCGAATGTTATCGCGTGCTTCAGCGACATATGAATTCATCCATTTATTTGTCTATATGCCTCTGCGCATATATGGAACTCTAGCGCTATGATGCGCTATGTATCTCTTATGTCACTTTTCGGCGTTCCAAGCGATCCACTTTCCGGCGCTCTAAGCGATCCACTTATCGGCGCTCCAAGCGAACCCCCGACCCACCCCATTGGAGCGGATGTCTCAAGCTGAAATGCCAAAAGCCGTTCCAAAGCAAGGAGATCTGGAGCAATTTGCTATATAACAAACAGAAATACAAACAATGTGTGTATATATATAATAGTAATCCAGGAAATATAATTTGAAACGCACTTTCCCACTACTTAAATGTTCTATCTTTTTTGGGGGCTGCTATAAACCACATCCACAAACATGCAATTGAAAACCATGAAATCCTGGTTGGTTGCCCAGCGTCATGATACGCTGCGCGCACCTCTGGACGGACTAGGACATTCCCGGTCTTTTCGGGCGCATTGTTGATCACGAGCTGGCGCAAGGTAAGGGAAATGAAGGGAATGTGTGGTCAACAACCCTATGGTGAGCCCATGCAGCTATTTTCTATCCAAATCTTCAAGCGTTCAAGGTTCGTTTGCAGGTTTGTTCAAGACATGATTGTGGAACAAATAATAGTTGTTTGGCACATCCAAGAGGAAGCCATATCTATCCAGATCTTAATTGCCCTTGGTAAGATTTTTTTAGCAGCAATGTTTGGGTACCAGAAGCTTCAGTGACCAAGGCACTGAAAAACATCATGTTTTCAAGTGTTTGTTTCCAACGAATTGGTGGGCGGGTTTACCACATCATGAAATACATGTCCTGGGGTGGGCTAACTCTGATTGCCCCCATCACAAAGAAATAAACAAACATCAACAAAAAAACTTAAATATAATTCAAACAGATGGATAGGTCTAAGCAAACATAAGAGATATATACCCTCTGGTAATTTCACAAAAAGCTATGGAACATGACCATGCTATCAATGGGTAAAGCAACTATAAATGGGCCTTCTCAATACCGCTATGTAAACGTTTACCAGAGGGATCCAGAGGGTAGATCTCATCAACTCCGACAAGGCACGTGCTTCACGGAGAAGCGGATCAGATGTCCACCCCAGGGGCAGCTGCGGTGCGACAACTTCGCCAAAGGCCGGGCCATGGCCACTTCCCAGCCTTCGTCAGACCAAACCCTCAGCGTGGGCGGAGATGGAGATTGGACAGCTATTTCTTTACTGGATTTCTACAATTGCGGCCCTTTACCAGTTATAAGTACTTATAATCTCATTTATAGAATTCATAATCCCATTTATAACCAGTTATAACTAATAAATGGTTCAATAGTGTACTCTCCAGTAAATCTCAATATCTACTATATATATATATATGTATACATATATAGGATCCAGTATATCTACTGTATATCATCTATATACTGTTTTTGGCGATGTATATCTACTGTATATCTCTCTCTCCATCGCCATCTAAGAGAGTTCAACGGAAGCTGAAGGCGAGCACACACATATATATATATATTTATTTAGAAACGTATTTAAATTGATATAAACATGTATATCAATTAAATATAATGTTGTACCCCGATTAGTGTGAGGATACTGTATTGTTGCAAGTTTTCCCAACATAATTTTAAATCAGTGTAATTGTTTGGGTGGTACGGCATTGGGTCAACTTTTTTCTGAGGCATTTTTTCAGCATTTTAATTTATTTATTAATTTCACTTTTGGAGTTTTTTTCATTTTGTTTAAACTTGATTATTTAATGAATACTTGCAACATGTTTTTGAACATACAAAAAATAATTATAGGATGCCTTATTAAACCACCAAAAAAAAACTGCACCCAAACAATTTTTCAAGGGGGTAGTCCATGAGCAACCCTGATCTTCAATAGTATGTTTGTTGTGGGGGTTCTCTATTGCGTCCAGATTTTTTTTTGAAGTGATTTGTTTTTTTACAAAATCATGTTCTCCTTTCCTTTGCTATAGCTTTTGACTCTTACTTAGTTCAATTCTCCTGGCATCCTCTCCTTGATTTCTATGGTGTTTCTATGGGCTTTAAAAAAAACAACTATGGAAATTCTATGTAATTTCTATGGTGTTTCTAAAGGTGTGTCTATGGTAGTTCTGTGGGATTCCTATGGGGTTTCAAAAGGATGTCTATGAGAATCCCTTTGGACTCCTATGGGGTTTCTGTGGTATTTCTATGATATTTCTATGGGATTTCTTTGGGATGTCCATGATATTTCTTATGGATTTCCAATGATATTTCTATGAAATTACTATGGGATTTAAACCGGATTTCTATGGTATTTCTATGGTATTTCTTGAGGATTTCTTTGGGAATTCTACGGGATTTCCATAAGGTTTCTTTGGAATTTCTATGGTGGTTCTATGATATTTCTATGGGATTTCTATTGGGTTCCTGTGGGATTTCCATGGTATTTCTATGATATTTCTATGGGATTACTATGGGATTTCTATGGGATGCCGATGGTGTTCCTTTGGGATTCCTATGGGGTTTCAAAAGGATGTCTATGGGATTTCCATAGGATTCCTATGGGATTTCCATGATGTTTCTATGATATTTCTAGAGGATTTTTATTGGATTTCTGAAGGGATGCTATGGGAATTCTATGGTATTCTTATGGGATTGCCATTGGATTCTTATGGGATTTCTTTGGTGTTTCTATGATAGTTCTATGGGATTACTATGGGATTCCTGAGGGAATTCTATGGGATTCTTATGGAATTTCTTTGTGGTTCCTATGCTGTTTCCATGTTATTTCTATGATCGTTCTATGGGATTTCTGTGGGGTTCCTATGGGAATTCCATGACATTTCTATGGGATTACTATGGGATGTCAATCGAAAGTAAGTTGAAATCAATTGAAAATAAATTCAAACTAAATTGAAATCAATTGAAAATCATTTGAAAGTAAGTTGACATCAATTGAAAATAAATTGAAATCAATTGAACTTAATTGAAAGTAAATTGAAATCAATTGAACATCAATTGAACATCAGTTGAAATCAATTGAAAGTAAATTGAAATCAATTGAAATCAATTGATCCAATTGTATTCAGTAGCTGGTCCCTAAAAAAATCAACCCTAAAGTGTAGCGCAAAATTGTTTTTTTTTGGGGGGGGCCCTACACTAATCAGCATCCGACATTATATATATATATATATGTATGTATGCACATCTTTATCATCATCATATATAGATAGTATCTTATAGATAGTGATTTCATTTTGGTGGGATGTTGTGTAACATGCATCACAATAGATAGGTACAACCAAGCCATCAACCAACCACAAGGGGGCTTGCGCACGTCTCTGGGGGTAGAACTGAGCCATGAGCCATGCATGTGGTCAGAACTGGGAATCATTGACCCCTTGATGTGTCCAAATTCGCAGCTTTTTTTAAGCATTTGACACCGAAACCATGAGAAACCTTTGACTCCTGGAGTGAGACCTCCTGCATCATCCCCAATTCCAATCATGTCCAATCCCTGCAGGAATTTTGCAAGTAAATCAAAGCCTGAAATTGTGACCCCGGAAATTAGACCACCATGTAACTCCCAGTTTGGGACAAAGGTCGGTATAATTCGATCAAAATTACCCAGCATCTCTACGATATCTTGTCATCTCCCACCACTTCAGTTCGATCAGCACTTTGTGGAATTCATAGGGCCCCCATGGGCCCCCACTATCATAAAGGGACCCCCATTCCCATAGTCCCATTGGAGAAACCCCAAGAACCGTATGGGAAGATAATGGAAAGATAATGGAAAGATAATGGAAAGATGATGGGAAGATAATGGAAAAATAATGGAAAGATGATGGGAAATAATGGGACAATAATGGGGAGATAATGAGAAGATGATGGAAAAATGATGGAAATAATGGAAACATGTTGGAACATCATGGGAAAATGATGGGAAGATTATGGATCATCAGATCCAAGGGAAGTCATCCTCCGCAGTCGTCGCCAGGAAGCAAACCCGGGATCTGAAACCACTCCTCAACACCTTCAGGACGCATCCCCTCCATGGCCGTACACGCCCCACCGTCTCAAGCCGAGCCAAGAACTTGCGTGGCGCGTGGAAGCACCAAACAGCTGGGTAAATTGGGAAGACTAGCCATTGAAGATCTCATTGAATCAAAGATCAAAAGCAATAAGTGCATTGGATAACACTGAGGGTATATATGTATATATATATATATATATATTCAAAGAGTTTGGTACTCAAGAAGTGGCTTGCTGTAGCGCCAACAGCTGTTGGCATACCAACTGGCGCAACACTTCCCTGGTTGGCTGCTTTCGCCGATAGGGAACATGATTCACCACTGGATAAAGTCCAACATTTCTCGGCCTGGGCCACCGTGGCTTCCCGCCCCGAGAGGAATCGCCGCTCCGAGCCGAAAAGCGGGCAGATTTCATACAGAATCTCAGCCAGTATAATCCAATCCCCCTTTATGACACTTTGTTTCATTAAAAGGTTTCTGGGGTGCGTGTTTTACTATAAGGGTTCAACATTTCATCAATTCCTACCGCCACGACTCGGGACATATCAGGCATTGGATCAAGCTCCTGAGTGGGAACGGGCTGAGGGCGTCCAAGGACGTTTCATAAAGCACCGATTTGAAACAACCATGAACACGGACAAAGATGTTCCAACTTTCCAACTTAAGTACCTTGAGCTTGATACAAAATCTCAAAGGACAGTCCCCATCTTTACTATGTACAGATCCATATAATATACCATTTGGTTATGACTAACAGTTTGCCATGGAAAATCACCATTTTTAAGTTAGGTAAACCATCTATTTCAATGGGCCATCTATACCATGGCTATGTTAGTCATGACCAGAGGGTAATATAATATGATCCCATCTAGATGGGTGGTTCCATGGCCGTCAGGCGACATGCCAAGGAAACGTTGTTTTTTCTCCCCAGGGTATCTACGCTGACGCAGATAACTGGGTACACTATGGCTTTTATGTTTTTTTTTTAATGGGAGGGATATACCATTTGTAGATCATTTAGAACAACATCGCATTTTGTTATGGGTGTTTTTCCCCACCTGCCAGGTGAGGGTTGTTAGATTTTATGTCAGTTGCCTCCTCCTCCTTCTCCTCCTCCTCCTTCTCCTCCTCCTCCGCCTCCTCCTGCCTCGTCCTCCTCTCCTCCTCCTCCTCGTCCTCCTCCTCGTCGTCCTCGTCGTCCTCGTCGTCCTTGCTCAACTGCGACCCGCGATCCACAGTGTTCTCTGCCGGACCTCAACCACGACCATCCACGCCCAGTGTTCCCTGCCGGACCTCAACCACGACCATCCACGCCCAATGTTCCCTGCCGGACCTCAACCACGACCATCCCGCCCAGTGTTCCCTGCCGGACCTCAACCACGACCATCCACGCCCAGTGTTCCCTGCCGGACCTCAACCGCGAGTATCCACGCCAAGTGTTCCCTGCCGGACCTCATGTAGGAAGATATGGGACAAAGAATGTGCAGAAGAAAGTTAGAAAGAATGTCAGAAAGAATGTCAGAAGATATGCCAGAAGATATGCCAGAAGATATGCCAGATAGAATGCCAGATAATATGCCAGAAGATATGCCAGATAGAATGCCAGATAGAATGCCAGAAGATTTGCCAGATAGAATGCCAGAAAATATGCCAGAAGATATGCCAGATAGATATGCCAGAAGATATGCCAGAAGATATGCCAGAAGATGCCAGAAGATATGTCAGAATATATGCCAGAAGATATGTCAGATAGAATGCCAGAAGATATGTCAGAATATATGCCAGAAGATATGCCAGATAGAATGCCAGAAGATATGTCAGATAGAGTGCCAGAAGATATGCCAGATAGAATGCCGGAAGATTTGCCAGATAGAATGCCAGAAGATATGCCAGAAGATATGCCAGATCATATGCCACAAGATATGCCAGATAGAATGTCAAATAGAATGTCAGAAGATATGTCAGATAGAATGCCAGAAGATTTGCCAGTAAGAAAACGTATAAATGTCATGGTGGGGATCACACGAAGTAAAGTAATTGTTATACCATTTTTATGGTAAACTATCATGGATTAAACAAACATAGATCCGGAAAGCCACCATTTGTAGATCATTTTGACGGGAAAGCAGTTACTGATGCGACTGATGCGACTCATGCGCCTGGGCCATGACCTTTGAAGGCGACGGACTGCTTCCAGGAGTTCGCTGAAGGGTGCAGTGATGCCCTTGGCAGTTAACAGTTTGCCAACTGGAAAGTCAACCATTCTTGATAGGTAAATCATTGAACTAAATGACCACATTTCCATAGCTATGTTAGTTTACTGGAGGTTACGTGCTTTATTATTCTTTCTTTCTTGGATATATGTGTGTGTATGCGTATATAGTGAAATTATGAAATTACTCAGTTATATACCAAAAAAGCAATGCAACATGTATACCGTCAAGATTTTGAAACGCTCTTTATGTCCCTGTGTCAAGGCAACGAGCCAAACCTGAACGTTTCACCGTGACATTGTTGCCGAGGACCACCAACAAAGCGGGGATAAGGGTTTCTTGCAGATCCACCAAGTATGAGTCAAACATTTGCTGACCTTTGATGCACTTTGCCATAGTGACAGCATCTTTGACTTTGATGGGAAAAATGTATAAAACATGTCAACCAATAGAAATTACAGGCCATTGACACCCGATAGTTCTATGCAAATACAGCTTGTTTTTCGCCCGAAAAAGCGGATTCGACCCCTCTTTCTCCAACTGGTTGGTGGTTTGAATCCCTCTGAAAAATGATGGAGTTCGTCAGTTGGGATTATGACATTCCCAACATATGGAAAGTCATAATCCAGCCATGTATATATATATATATAATATATATATGTATATATATATATATATTCCATTACCAGAAGTTTAATCACCATTAAATCACCATTAAGACTCCTTACCAGCAACCAGCCAAAAAAACAGAGCTTTGGGAAATAGCCTTCCCAACATGGCGGAGAATCATCCCAAAAGGATCCAAAAGTGGTCTCGCCTTAAAGCGCTGAGCCACCAAATATCGCCTTGGGGGTGCAATGCTGATGACTCACATGACCAAAAAACAAGACACATATTTAGATCAAGAACAATGAATGAGCTCCCGAAAATGTGGTGTTCAAATTTGACCGAAAAGGTTGTTTGACACAAATTACAAGTATGGAACCGCCCGCCATGACCATGTTTTGGACTTACGTCGGCAGCAAAGGACATGTTAGTTTATGAAATTAAATGCTGGAACGTGTGAATGTGTTCAGTCAACATAATTCTGACAAACAACGCAAAACCATAGTCCCCACAACTGGCGCATCTGCTTTTTTCCGAAGCTCATTCATTGGCACCTCTGCGCTATGACGGTTGCTGCTGCATGTTTCAGGGGTAGATACCTGAAGTCACAGCAATAGCGGCTATATGATCAAAAAACGATCTTTACAGAACCACATGATCTGAAATTACCATCTGTCATCATCTGTCTTCTTTCATCTTATATATCTTATTTCCTAATGGATAGTTCATGAGCAAAGAGGAGTCATTTCATCTTTCTTGCAATACCCCCAAGCAGGTTTTACATGGGGTGCCTACGCCTCACAGCTGAATACTAAAGCCTGCCCTTCGCTCAGGCGTTCTGCGCTGCCTCCAAATATTTCTCGAAGGCTTGGAGATGAGAAACCTCTCCTGCACACCAGTCCTGGGCTCACAGTTTTTTGCGCAGCCAGCCCTTGGGATGATGGAACTTGCCGAATACCACAGGCTACGATTGAGACATTGGACATGAAAATTGTATCGAAGTTTGGTGTCCCATGTCGAGTTTGGGGCGTCAACAGGTCAAATGCCATTCGAGTTGAGAGTTTGAGGATCAACGTTTGGGAATCAACAAAGCCTGGAAATGATAGAATCGGGCAATCAAACACTACGTACATAGAAAACCAGAGAAAAACCCTATTTGTGGATCATTCAATCATGCCACCTAAAATTCGGAGGTGTTCCATGTTTTTTCCATCGCCGGGTGTGTTTACCAATAACTTCCTTCAGCAAACTCCCCAATGTCCAGCCTGCCATAGCCTGCCTAAATCCCTGGCAACTCTATTGGAGGATGCATATCACCATATATGCATATAAATACATATATATCAATAATATCCTTGTCCAATCAATGATCCACTCGTGTACCAGTGTACCAAACATGGAGGCACAAAGTCCCCCATGCAGGCTATAGTTGGGTGTAACTGTTCAATTTTATAAGATTCAACATGATTCAACACATATAATTCCTGGTTGGTGGTTTCAACACCTCTGAAAAATATTAGTCAGTTGGGATGATTATTCCCAATATATAGAAAAATGAAAAATGTTCCAAAGCACCAACACATATAATTCTGTCCAATTTTGAAATGTTGACTTCAAACAATATATCAACGCCATCAAAACCACATTTCCTGATTGAGAAAAAAAGCCTATATAAAGTAATCACATATCCCACCCCATAAACATCCCCCCGAGTTGTCCTCCCAATGCTTTCGAGAGATCTCGTCCACAGGTTCCAAGCTTTGCAGTGTCTGGGTCAAGTCGTTGGGTAATGGCGTAACCAACTCCTCTGTCGACCAGACATCAGCAATTCACACGACCCCAAGAAACATGGGGATTTCACCAAGTGGCAGCATAGCGTGGATATCATGGGCATAGAACCGGAGATATAATTCTGGAACATGATGGTGCATTTAATGGCATGCAATTTAATGGTTCTACGACGGACTTTGGACCATTGCATGGGCGTAGATCTCAATCACTGGTTGCATTATTGTGGTGAAATCTGTGGCAAAAGACGGGACCGAGGACCTATCGGGGACCTAGAAAAACATGGTCAAATCTGAGATGCCCTTCCTTCCCCCCCACCCCACCCCCCCCCAAAAAAAAAACATATTCTTTAGTGGGTTAGTTGGTAGGTACCCACAAAAAATCAAGCACCAAAACTAGCCTTCCAAGGTGGCCGGCTCCCCAGCGGCTAAAATTTCAGTTCACCCCAGTGAATTGCGACCGGTAGAACCTTTCGGTACTCCAAAACAGGGGCATTACTGGTGTGAGATAAAAACATCTGTAATTGCCAATTCAATATCGATTTAATATTATACTTTACACATTTAATCTAAATTAATAGGTTACATAGATTCATTCTCTCAAATGGTCTGGTCTATGAATTCAAACTATAGCTGTCAATTGGGGTAGCTGCGCTCCTGCACTTCACCGAAACCATGTTCTTCCAGCTCTTGATCGCTAGGGACATCGCGAAACCTGTGGTCAGAAACTGGGAAACTCCACTGGCGGGGTGCTGCCACACATGTAACCCTGGTTTACATGAATGTGATGCCAATGTGGAAACAAACTTGAGGAATATGTACGCAATCATTATATATATACATAACATATACTAAACCAATGACTATACATTCCCAAAATGACAGGGTGGAGCCAATATTCATCTACATTGGCCTGGGGTATCTGGAGTCTTACACACACTGGGAACGCGCAAACCATTTGAGGGTTGCAGCTCTTCATGGCGACCGAGCCAGTTCCTAGTTTATAACATTTTATAACCCCAAAACTGGGCATCCACGGTATACAACTGTGAAATCCATACGGTTCCCCACAAAATCGATGCCCTTAATGGCCCAGTTTTTTGGCACCCAGTGGTACTGCGTCTGAGAGGCGCCAAACGATAGGTGTGAAGGAAGTTGCGGGGGCACCAGCTTCTATCTGAAGCCAAGCGTTCCTCGGCATACTTCGAGTCCTGAGCTCACAGTTTCGCCGAATGTGCAACCTTTGGAAAACAAAGGAGGTTTAGATGCTATTCCCAAGGGTTATTCATTCCACCATATTCCACCCAGTATATATGTAAATACATTTGTAAATATATATATATATATTATAAAATAATATAAAATATTAAAGGACAATGAAACATATAGGAATATAGATAGGAATTGTTAGTTAGGTTGCATCTGTTGGGCCTGTTGGACACAAATCAAAAAATCAAAACACACATGCCAAGAAGCAGTCACCAAAGGGTGCCCGATGGAAAGCATGTGCACTCCTTAAAGGCTGCACGGTCACAAAATCATGTTTGGCTGCTTCAGTCAGTGGGCATCATTCAAAACTGGTTTGTGGTTTCAACCCCTCTGAAAATATGAAAGTCAGATTGGATCATCATCCCAGCTATTGGGGAAAATCATATTCATGTTCCAAACCATCAACCAGAATAAGCTGAGAAAATCTGTGATTTTGACAAACAAATGTCCATCTCCTTAGTCTCTTTGAATCCTGGGCTGCCGCTGTGATCAGCTCGAACTCGAACCAAGCCACAGGAGAACTCGCTGAGAGTTTTTGAAAGGATCATGGCTCCATGGGGGTGATAGACCCCATTGTAGATACACTTTGATACAATGGAGAGAAATCCTGGTAACTCCAAGTTTTACACATTTCAAAATGAACATCAAAAGGTGCATATTTAAAATAAATTAGGCATGGTTGATGTGAATTTTCGGGTTTACGACCTAAGGTTGACCTCACTCAGCACACGGGAGCCAGTGCCAGCACCCAGCAGCAAAGCATCGAATCTGATGAGTGCGACCCGTGTGCAACTTTAGGACCACCAAGGAGTAGGGCTCCTGCCATGCCCAGAATGAAACTGCCTCAAACCTCAAAAAAGACCCAGGAAAAGTGGTGGGGGTATTGAAGGTGTCGGTGGACTGCAACAAAGACACCCAAACAACCATCACAAGGGAATCAAACGTGAGTCCAAAGTATTTTTATGTAATTTTTCCACCCACCAAAAAAAATGGCTTCATTGAGCAGCGCCAACCATCCCAAATACCATATGGGTCTTGTCCGCAAAAACCTCCTGCGGAGCCGTCAGCAAATCGAAAATGATGTCCCTTGCAAACTTGTCTTATTCTGCATCTGGGAGGATTGCAGAAATGAACTTGAAATTGCTCATGGGCCCTGACAACAAGTGCTCAAATACCTCCAAATGGGGAGGATTACTTTAGCCGTCTTGCAAAAGTTCCATGCACATGGCTAGAAATATATGAACATATGAATTTCAATTTCATTGATTGGCTATGGAAATTCTCGTTTCAGAGCGCACTGGCTGCTCGTTTCAAGCGCTGGACTTTGGTAAACCGATCAAGAAACACTCTAGAAACAAACACTCAATGAAAACCACAATTTGTTGATTGATTTCGTAAACATCAAACGTGGCGTGCTGGAAAATCCTCCATTTAGTTCAACGATTTTACCAGCTATAAACCTATATAAACCTCCAATTTATGACTTTCGAATGCCACGTTTCATTACTTTTCGAGGGTACCATGTTTTGCACCACTTTTCAATTGGCGACATCGGGTCGACCTGTGTCTCCGGATGCTTCAGATGTGACAGCGTGTAGAGCTCCTTGTTTGGGTGGAGAATTTTGCGGTCATGGAAGACTTCTGGTGTCCAGAACTGTCAATGGAACATGGATACGTCTGGTGTCCAGACTTCTAATCATTGAGGATGACACCCCTTACAAAATCCATCGCTTCTAGTGACTGGTTGGCCAGTGAGGAACATAAACTGCAAATAATGGGTTTTCCATTGGTATCTTGGGAAAGTAATGATTTCAATGTTTACCAAATCCCACTTTCCTGAAATATTGTTGAGCTCCAGGGATCTCAGTCTTAGGTTCGCAAGCTATGGAATTACATGGGTTTGTCTGACAATATGGTATCCCTCAATCCATTGGTTAATCATCACTTTCCCCATGAAAATAGCCAGAACTGGAGGTCAAATCCCCTTTCCCAACGTCATCTTTAAGTTGATTATATACCCCAGTATGCACCAATTATACCCGGTGCCCCAATAACCTCTCCATGAAATCGACATGAATTCCCATTGTTAGTAGGCCGGTATCACCCCCATTCTTGATGCGAAAAAGTCACGAATTTGCTTGTTTATGTTGTTTTCATGACGTCAAATCAAATCACCAAAATCAAGTCAAATGACCATGAAAAATCAGCATCGAATCACAATTTTCATCCATTTTCCCATTATGTTGATTTAATGTTCATGGAAAATCATCTAAGTCCCATGGATTTTAATGGATTTTAAGGGATCTTGTGGACAAAAATATGACTTTAATGGACATGCCCACATTTTTGTCCCCTCAAAGCCATATATTTTTGGCACCTGCCGGGACCTGCCAGGCAGCTGTAAAGGAGGGCTTCCCATTGGGCCCCACCGTGCAAAAGGTGGACACCGTACGTCGACTGTTGGGCGCCTTGCGTTTCTCCACTCCTAGGCTTTTTTGCTTAGGAAGAGAGTGACACTTTAGTGTTCATGGTGCATAAATACTTACCATGGAATAGTTACTTTAGTGTCACATAGTGGCTTAGGGAATCTTCCAGAACTATAGTAACTATGGAAAATGGATGAACTAATAGTACTATAATGGTGGATCATCCCACCTAGTAAGTGGTTTGTAACTGGGTTTACCAGCCATTAAACCATTAATGAGATAAACCACCTATGAGACTTACTAACTAATGTGGCAAACCCAAAGCCATAACCCATCCCCAAAATCACCATCTATGGATGGGATTACAACCATCCCCAAATGGTAAGTTTATTATTTTACCGTATACCACGTTACATGCTTATGTCATGGCCTGAAATATGTCGTCATAATGAACTCATAATTTACTCAATATATCTCACTATATCTCACTATTATCCACGATTGGGATACTTAGGATACTTCGTTTTGCAAGCCTGAAGTCACCTGCTCATGTCCCTCCCGGCCACCCGGCCACATCGCCCAACGGCCCGTTGCAGCCCAACGAGTTGTCTTTTTCTGACCGCTGGACTCCGAAGTCCGCGGAATCAGACCGCGGCATCGGTCAGGAATCGAAGTATTGATTCTCACTTCTAGGCTTCGGTACGGGCCTGGGCACGACCAATGTGGTGCAGCATGCTTTAACACATTGGTAAAATACACTTTTCAAGGAAAAATGGTGGGGACACCAAACAGGACCTGATGCCAAAATGGCGACAGTCAACCAGATATCTGACAAGGTTGCTCATTGAAAGTGACACTAACCAGGTTGCCTCAGGTTGATGTTGGTTTCTGTAATTCCCTCCTGTTTCATCTACCTACAACGGCAAGTTTCCTTCATCATTTCCGCAGTCCTGGTGTAGCCAAGAACATCAAATCCAAAGTGGTGTAGCCGCTTAGCACATCCGAAGCGTTGGAAACAAAACATGAACAACAACAGGTATGGCAAACAAAAAAAGGATCCAAACTGTGCTGTATACACTATCCGTATCATTCCGTCTTGGAAAACATGGGCTCATCCAGGCTATTCAAAAATAGATTCCCTATCAATCGTCATGCTACTCACCAAGACCCAAAGGATACCCAATGATTTAGCTGGTTAGATAACACGATTTGAAATCACTGTTTGAATACAAACGAAAAACTCGTAAATTATCAATCTCTGGTTGGTGGCTTCAGCCCCTCTGAAAAATATGAAAGTCACTTGGGATGATGACATTCCCAATATATGGAAAAATAAAACATGTTCCAAACCACCAAGGTCATGATTTGATATGATTTGGGGTTGAGGACCCTTCGAAGTATCTGGATTCATGCTGGGATGCGCATCCAATTTTGATCCGTAGCTAATAAGAATTATAAAACTAACCCAGAGCTATATTATTGTACATATATATATGTATATATATATATGTATATATATATTATATATACATACATACATATATATATATATATATGTAGATAAAAATCAATAAGTATATATATATATATTTAAATTTGTATACATATGTATTTGTGTGTGTACACGGTATATCCCCTGAAGTCATACCCCCCGGGCCGCCCAAGGCCGCCGCACCGTTTGGTCACCTCTTTAATGACCCCAACACCCACCGTCTTTCCATGGTCGCGGATCGCGAAGCGGCCTACGGCATTACGGGGGGCGCCTTGGGTGCCCCAAGGTGCAGCTGGTGATGGAAATGTGATGTCTGTGTGGTGGAAAAATATATAATTATAGTTCATTATATTTATATAATCTATAAAGAACTATAATTATAGCTAAACCTCCAAAATGAACTATAGATTATCTGGTTGGTGGTTTCAACCCCTCTGAAAAATATGAAAGTCACTTGGGATGATGACATTCCCAATATACGGAAAAATAAAAAATGTTCCAAACCACCAACCAGTTATATAGATGTATCTACCAGAAGCCAGTATCATTCAAAAAAAAACATAATGGCAGAAATAGGCATAGAACTACACGTGCCACTGTTCAAAGTTATGTTAAATTACAAGAGGCTACTCCCAAGCATCAGGCAGGCATACATCAAGCAAATACTGACCTGGTGGTTGGGTTTGCATTCGTTTTCTTGAAAAGCTGGCGTTCCGAACCACCACTCCCCCCCCCCAAAAAAAAAAGGTCAACCATGCAGTGGAAGGTCAACCATTATCCATGAGGTCGTTTGGCCCCCAGTGCGCCTAGTGGTGGATAAGCACTGAAGGATTCCACGCAGACCAGGCCTCTCGGTCTCCTCAAATGATAAAGGAAGGATGGATGTGCATCACGCATACACATGCAGTTGCATATCCATGTGCATATGCGTATGTATACATATATATGTATATATGTATATATGTATATATATATGTATCTATATATATGTATAAATATGTATATATATATATATATGTATATATATATGAATAAATATGTATATATGTATATGTATATATATATATATTTATATGTATATATATATATATATGTATATATATGTATATATATATATATGCATATATGTATATATATATTTGCTTACAATACAATACAATACAATACATTACATTACATTACATTGCATATATATATATATGTATGTAATTAATTATATAACCTCTATAATTATTATATTTATATATATATAGCCCGCCGGCAACTATGAATTCTGCATAGTTCCTTATATAATCATGCAAAAGGTTGCATTAATTTTCCAGAGTCCGTCATGACCTTGAAATTTCACTGGCCCGAGAATGGCGCCAAAAACTTAAGCGACCCAATGACTGAAATATGAATCCCTTTGCAAATGGAAGTATCAAACAGCTTTGACAAATGGGTTACCATCATCAACCATGATTAACCATCATTAACCATCATGAATGGGTTAATATCCATGCCTATTCATAGATTCCCTATCGGGTTACAAAAATCATCTACATCCATCGACACCAAAAGGGTGACCCTCTGCCGATGTCTTTCTGGACGTCACCCGTTGCCCTCTGGTCACCTAACGGTTTGCTATAGAAAATGGCCCATTGACTTCGACTATTATCTGGTTGGTGGTAGACCTACCCCTCTGAAAAATATGAAAGTCAGTTGGGATGATGACAGTCCCAATATATGGAAAATATAAATATGTTCTAAACCACCATAATAAATCATCCCCAAAATCACCATATTTGTTTCATGGGTGCGAAGAAAAACAACTCCAAATATGTGGTTTATCATTGTTTTATTAACATGACCCGATTTTCCTGGGGGTTCCCCATGTTTTTTTTCTCCAGTTCCAAGAGGCATTTTCACTTTGACCACCTCGCCGGATTTCGCACTTGCAGGATGCGCTTCCTGACGGCTGTAAACTGGACTTGAATGCCCAAAAGTTAGGATATTGTGCCCGTATCTATACTGTATATATATATATATAATTAAATTACATATGTATAAATAATTTAATATATATATGATTAAATATAATATAATTATATACCATTAATGAATTATACTAGCGCTAGTAGCTGGAAGTGCGCCTCTAGTTTGCGCCGCTTTTCTCTACCAGTTTCAACTGGCAGGGGTGCATTTACCAGTTGCATGTGCGGTTCATAATATCCCGAGCTTGTTTTCTTGAGTGTCAGGCCGACAGGCCCCACTTGCAATTGGGATTGTAAATCTCCCTCTGCAAGCTACCAATTACCTTAACTACCAATTAACTTTGGTGAACCGTAGTTCAACCCCCCGGGTAAGGCCCATCATCAAATTTCCCAAATGTGAGACATCTCCTCCAGCAAACTGGACTACAAACGGTGGCTTCAGTCTCTCCAACAAAAAACGTTAAAACCTTCCGGTGCTCGGTCCATTGAAACCACCGGCTGGTCTCTGAACTTATGCACCTTGATGGACTTGGTGTGCCAAAAAAAAATGTGGTAAAACCTGTCTGGAAAAGTTCCGTTCATCCACTAACAATGGACCTTTACTGAAGGTTCATAGGGTGCTTTTGCCGAAGTTGCCAGTGCTGCTGATGCCAAACAGTTGTGCAACAATATTGGTCCTAAAATATTGCTCTGCACATTTATTCCGCATCACTAATGATCCTCTGGCAGGATCCAACCACAAAGATTTCACTGCAGAATCCTGGAAACCATCCCATCCTCACGGTTTCTGCGTTTATCACATGCTTGGTTGGAACATGTTGAAACTACTTGATTTTTGAGTTTAGTGTTTTGCAAGCCCAAGGTTCATTTTGAAAAAAACAAACAACAAATCACAAACTACTGGATGGCAATCAAGAATATGATCATATTTCTAAGTTTTGGCCGTCCCTGGGCACACGAAGATGCCTCGCAAACTAGGCTGTCACAGGCTGTCCCGCCAAGCATCCGCGTCATTTCCCGTCTTACCTGATCCCAGCTTGGAAATGCCCCAGAGTGCTTTGTAGTAAAAGTTGTGGGGTTTTGACTTGCGAATATTGGGATATAATCATGTATATATATATATATGTATACTTATATGAAATATACATTTACATATACAATAGCACATACTGTAATATATATATATATACATGGATTCCCTGGTTTATGTGCTGGTTTAAAGCCCTGGGATTGTGAAAGGGATCGTCACTGTGGGGTATCAAGGTATCCTACAATATCGTCCTAAGTTTACAGCATTTTACAGCACTACTGGAAACCACAAGCGAACCCTTTGTCAATCAGTCGTGTTCTTCCTAGCAAGAACACATGCAAATGTTGGACAGCCGATTTTGAATTTCAATGATACTAGAGGATGACACCTGGCAACTTGAACAAATCACTGCGTCTCAGAGAATTGTGGGTGCACGGCGGCCACAATCCAAGATGAAGACCTACTTGCAATTGTTGGTAGGGTCAGATTCAAGCATGGGCAAATAGCTGACATAGCGCTGCCGCATGCTGCCGCCTAGCTGCGGTCCACCCTGCTGAGGAGTTCTTCGAACTCACATGGCACCTGTGTTGACGTCAAGCGCCGCCACGGCTGTAGCTAAGTTGGTGAAAATATGGGGGACATATATACAATGTGGGCCCCCCTAGATAGCTAAGTTGGTTTATACCTCCAATAACTATGCTTTATGATACACAAATAACTATAGTTAATGGTGTTTATAAACCATCTTATAACTGGCGGGCCCCACTTTGTATATATATATAGCCAACTTATAGCTAGGGCCACTAGGGTGGCCCACCTTGGATTTTCCCAATCCATTCCAACAAAAAATGAACGTATTATTTAGATAACACATACATATAGTATCATATATATATAGTGTCACTTTGATGTACTGAGGGGCACTTCGGGCTGTAAATTTACAAATGATCCACTCAAAAAATGGGTTGTCTGTACTGGCCTTTTTTGATGCTAGCTGGGGCTCGAGGCAACCACATTGAGGAAATTCAAAGGGTTTCATAAGAAACTGCACATGGCCATAAGAACTTACACTTACAGCAGTGGTACAGTTCAGCTGGAATGCCTGAACACATATTTTTGGGCTGAACTCGTCTGTCAAAATCAGTCGATTTAGCTTTGCCAACAATAAAACATGATAAAACTATCTTTCCACACGCTAAACCAGATTTGTTTCCCTCTCCCCCTCTGTCTCTCCTACTTTTCTGTGCTCCAAATATATTTCTTTAATGAAAACATATGTGTGTACAGGACTATAGTTGTACGATATGCAATTTGTATAAACCAGCATGTATATATATATATATATATGCATATATAAATTATAGAAATTTGAAATATAAATGATAAATATATATATATACACTACATATGTACATAGATAAACACATATGCTCCTACGCCAATGTCTTGTCACTCCAAGCACCTCGTATCACCCAACCCACCTGGCTGGTATGCACCATGATGGCTGGGCAGTAGCCAGCGCGGATCCCTGGGTGGTCGAACACCACCACCTGGTGAAGAATGTGCCCCATAGCCATGGAACAATGGGGGGACAAATGTTGTCATTTTTAGTTTGTTAGTCTCCAACCGTCTACATCTCTATATATATATATATATATATACGTTTATTTATATGTGCGTGTATGCATTTACTGTTTTAGCTATCACACATATCAATATATATATATAAAACATGAAATGTTATATAATATTGATGTAGTAATATATTGCAGCTATGACATACGTATGGGAACCATATGTCATATGTCCACCTGCCCGGAAACACTGGGGCATAGAAAATCATAGGGTGAAACCATCCAGTGGTTGTTCCCTATACCCTCTGGTAAACTAACGTACCTATGGAAAATCACCATTTTCAATGGGTAAATCAACTATACATGGCCATTTCCAATAGCTATGTTAGTTTACCAGAGGGTAGTTCTTGCAGATTGATGATGCGACCAGTCGTTGATCTGGTTGCGGAGTGTTCCTATCTTTTTTTTGTGTCTCCAGTCTATATCTTAGGCTGTGCCACTACCCTGCATTTGAATGGATTGTGAAGCTAAATGAAACTAGATGCTTTGTACTCCACCGAAATGGTGATTTGATTTGTAAACCATAACTTCTAGTGACCTGCCTAAGTGTATGAGGGACGTCCATCATCACAGTTATCATAGAGGTCCCAATGATATAATCCAAATAGTTATCCCAACAGTTTTCCCATGCATCATTGCCTATCATTGCCAAAATCATTGCAAATTTCATGGTTTCTAGCTACCTATCTGGGGTATATAACTTGGTATATAGCTTGTTGATCCCTTGCCAACACTTATTCATTTTTGAGTGGGAAATATATGGATAAATGGCCAAACTAATCCCGAGTGCTAAACATCTACAATCTGCAGTAACTTGTTGGTCGCTCCAACCCCCTTGAAAAATACTTTCGTCATTGGAGACCCTCCCGTTTCCATCGTTAAAAACTACACATATTTGGAACATCTTGAAACCACCGATGTCACCAACTATAGTGCGCGTGCGCGTGTGGCCAGATATGCATCTGTTCCGACACCAAGTTCTCGAAAGTCGTGGGGCCCCGTAGTTATAAGGTTGGTTTATAAATCCCATTAAGTAACTACATTATAGTACACACACATATATATATACAGTATAATTCTATTCAAGTGATATGTTCCCCATAAATCCAAACGTTGACATCGTAGCCTTAAGTCATCTTCATCAACGTTAGCTCCTTGGACGTGGCCCGTGGCACCTGTGCCATGAAGCTCTCCGCATCCGCCGCCACGTCCGAGGAGTTACTCGCCACCATGCCGCGGCGGAGCTCGCAAGCCTCGACGCCACCTGGCGCTGTGTCCAATGGCAAGGGCCTGGTGAAAGTGCGAAGTTCACATCACCCAAGATAAACGGGGATATCATGAATCTGCAGAAATATACATAAATATATATATATATGGATGTATAATGATTCATGATCTCCAACAAATACATGTCCCAGTGATTTTAAAATCTCCCCTTCCACCGCGGCAAAAAAAACAAATCCAAGCTCAAATGGGAACAGCCAAACAAACCCGGCGGAACATCAGCGAGCTTGCCAAGACACTCAGGTTGACGCTCACCACATCGCCCCCTTGGGCTTCGCTCAGTTTCTTTCCCGCGCGGAGGAGCGATTTCACCTCCGCCACCAGGCCTAAGGGCGATGGGCCCATGGGGACTTGAGGAAACGGGCGGGTGAATGGTAAACGAACACACCAAATCATGGGGAGATGATTAGAAAACACGGAAACCATCCACGATCCATATTGTCATCACAACTTGGAGTAATTCACTAAGCTGACAATTGTTCCCCCGGGTCTAAACCATCATTCCAATGAGGTCCTCCTTCATATATCCAGAGATCATGATGCACAGTTTCCAGCCGATCCTCCGTGTGCAGTGCAGGTGCAAACCCACTGGATGCCATGGCGAAACCCAACAGTACAACAAAAGGCTTGAAGCAACCAAACAACAACGAAATACCCTCTGGTAAACTAACAGTTTGCTATTGAAAATGGCCATAGAAATAGTTGATTTACCCATGAAAAATGGTGATTTTTCATCGTTATGTGACAGTTTACCAGAGGGTATGTGTTTTGACTTGTAGTCAATAAGTGACACCATTGGGAATAACGCGGTTATGGTAATACAGGCTTTCAACATACCTTTGCCGCCAGTGCAGGCAGGTCACCGCTAGGTGAGAAAATCACCTCAGTGTCGCTGAGGTGAACATGATGACACAGCTCCCACAACCACAGCGAATGTCGCCGTCCCATAACGTACCGCCCATGTCGCCGTCTGAAAATCAAGGTGAGACTGAAGCTAGGGAGTGAAGATGAGTGAAGAAACACCCTCACCATTACCATATTACCATATTCATGAACAACTTCTATACAGTATCCCAGCAGCCAACAAACCTAATTCATGTACATGTTCTTCAAGGGTGTTGTATACCTAATCGTATATTATGAACCCGTTTGCCCCCTGCAAATTTAACGTAGCCATAAAAACTATGGCCCATTTAGCTCGATAACTCACACATTGGCTTGTCTGTTAGAAGTGATTTTCAATAGTTAATTTGCCAGAGGGTTTGGGCATGGACAATTACATAGACATAGCCAATGTCAACGTTAAAAAAAACACTTTCTGTGGACATACCTGGTAGACCTATTATTGTAGATATAACTGATAGACATATTATTATGGATATAACATGATATAAGTGATATACCTATTTTATCATTCAATCAGATTTACACAAGGTGGTGCCGCCCCAGTTATAAGATGGTTTCAAAACCCCATTAACTATAGTTATTTGCGTATCAAAACCCATAGTTATCGGAGTTATAAACGCACCAACTTAGCGATTCCGAACTGGGACACCACCGTGCATATTCCACATGTCATGACCATCTTCCCCCCGAAAAGTGCAGCGCGCACCTTGATGCCAGGTCTAATCGACCCAGTCTCCACACGCCCCACGATGACACAGCCCACATCAGGGACATCGTGGACCTTGAGGACCGGTAGCCGCAACGGCTTCTCCTTGGGCAGTTTGGACTTTTTAATGGTGAATCTTCGATACAATGTGGGCCTCCCTAGATAGCTAAGTTGGTGCAAATACCTCCAATAACTATGGTTATGATACGCAAATAACTAATTATAGTTAATGGGGTTTATAAACCATCTTCTAACTGGGGGGGCCCACATTGTACCTGCCAAAAAATCTAACTTTTAGCTGGTCAGCTAGTACATTTAACCACTGCCAGCAACGGATTGAAGATGATTAGAGTATCTACCCAAGGTTGACCTAGTTTTGTGGTTTGTTTTTTTTCAGGAGAAAGGAGATGAACATAGATCCACAAATTCAGAAACCTTACCAACCAAGTAGCAGAAGTTCCTGAGAATCACCCATGTTGAGGGGAAAGTATGGGAAATTGGTCGGATGGCAAATCACCATCATTGTCAAAAACTAAGAGGGTCAGGAGCCAAGATTTTAAACTGCAGGATTTTTTTGGCCGGTTTTTTGTGTGGAATCAAGGTATGGTCGATGGTTTTGGGGGGCCCTCAATGGACGGTGGAAGCGGGCGAAACACCATGCGATGGATGACACTGGAGGCGAATTCCATCACCATCCTTCACCATTCTTAGCCACTATTACTCTCTGGTAAACTGTCACATAACTATGGAAAATCACCATTCTATAGCTGGGTAAATCAACTATTTCTATGGCCATCTTCAAGTTCGCAAACTGTTAGTTTACCGGAGGGTAAACAGCATTCAGCATAACTGTAACCATGAACATTCCATTACGTATCCCATTGCCACGTGAGATAAAAATCCCATTGCCAATTCTACTCCCTATGGATCCAATCACTGAGAAGGTACTTAACCCTACATCATACCCCAGTCCCACTTCCTAAGAAGGTACCTGGTTGGTGGTAGACCTAGCCCTCTGAAAAATATGAGTCAGTTGGGATGATGACATTCCCAATATGATGGGAAAAATAACATTCATGTTCCAAACCAGCAACCAGGTAAGGCTGGATCCATAGGGACTAGTTGCTATTCTAGTTGGTTGATGGGTTTCTCCTCTACAATGGGCTAGTTCCTAATCCCCAGCCGGGTAATAACAAATAATATAACTCCCTATCAATGGCCATTTCAGGAACCGATTGATTGGAGGTACCTACCACATAGAAGGCCTATTTCTTAGGCCTATGTAAATATCCCCAGAATTCATATGGCCTGAAAAATTGTACGTTTACGTACCTCTATTTTAGGATCCTGAAATTCCCATTATGGTTGGTGGTAGACCAACCCCTCTGAAAAATATGAGCCAGTTGGGATGATGACATTCCCAATATATGAAGAAAAAATGTTCCAAACCACAAACCAGCCATTGATATGGTTGGTTGGTCGCTTTTCCTACGATGATCCCCAAGAATTTTTCCCCAAGCATCGGCTGGACGGTTCATCTCGCCGAGAGAGTCTAAAGCTTCGATAGCGGAATGGCCTGGCACGATCCAAGAGAGGTCTCAGCGAATCTAAGGTGGCAATCTGCACATCTATATGCAACTTATATATATAATTAAAGATAATTATATGTATAATTATAGGCATACGCGTCTATATGTATGTATATAAATAAATAAATCAAACAAATGAACATACATATATATATAAATATATACATACCTACACGCGTATACATATTATATCATATTATATGTTTGGACATATGTATCCATGTGTGGATGATGTTGCATTTTTGGGATTGAACTTCGGTGGCTTATTGCTTGCTTCCTGGCGGCTGCATCCCAGAATGCGGAATCCAACATGGCATGCTGCGATGTGTCGCTGTCAGATCCTGATAGGACCATTGACGCCAGAATGGGAGCAACAGAGTAGCCAGTTTGCCATACAATCCCCCTTTGCCATCATGTGCCAAATGCAATCGTGAAAACTGAGATGGGGCAACCCTCTTACTCTTGCTTCATCAACCAGCAAGTGAGCTGGGCTGGTTGAACGAAACATGTAAATGAAACCATGTTTTTAACTGCTTTTACTCACTTAATTAATTTAATCTCTCTCTCGCTCTCCTCTCTCTCTCTCTGTTTTTTTTTTTTCTCTCTCTCTCTCTCTCACTCTCACTCTCACTCTCACTCTCTCTCTTTCTCTCTCTCTCTCTCTCTCCATCGCCAATCAATTTAATCAATGATTAAAATGATGTTACCAATTTAAAACCGGATGGACAAAAAGGCAATTAAGTGATAGTGCCAATCAATAAATAGGATTATACATTCTATAAATGGAGTTTTCTTAGTACTTATAAGTACTTATAACTGACCAAACTTAGAAGAAAGACTTTGGGTCTTTCCATGTCTTTCCATGTCTTCCTTCATCTCACCAAAAGATTCAAACATCTGACTGGTCGGCCGTAACTGTAATCAGATTGATCTGATTTGCTCATCCGATGTTCACCTGCGTACCATGGCATCTCGCTGGATTTGGAGGTGAGATTTTCACCTGGAATGGCGTGGCGACGTTTTTTCCATGGGAAAATGCTGGGATGGTGGTGAAACATGGTGAAACCATCAGCAAAATGCTGGAAAAATGATGGTGAAACTAGTGAAATCATGGGATTTTGCTTTGAATTTAGCATCGGTTCATGATGGTTCATGACTTTATATGACAGTTTGCCCATAGTATGGTTTAGACTAAACGGTTTACCATCTGACTATTTAACATAGCCATGGAAAAAAACATTATAAATGGAGGTTTTAATGGGAAAATCATCTATAAATGGGTCATTTTCCATGGCTATGTTAAATATCCAGATGGTAGATTGCCCATGCAGTTTGATGATTTACTGTACATGGATTTACCTATTGTGTCAATGTCAATGGTGATTTTCCGTAGCATTTCCAGAGGATTGCTTGACCATGATGGCCATGATGTGTAGCTTTCAACTGGCACACGTGGGTTTCCAATGATAAAACCGTTTTCAAAACGTCACAAGACATCCCACGAGCCTCCAGTAATCAAACATGGCAATGGAAAGTCCTCATTTATAGATGATATTCCCATGAAAACCTCAATTGTTTGGGGATTCCCAGCCAGCCATGTTTGATGACCGGAGGGTAGACATATACGAAGCACCGCAAGTATCGTGTAAATCCAAGGTTTTCGGCATATCAGTTGAACATATCAGGAACACAACCACCTACACCTCACATAGGAGAGCATGGATTAAACTTGAACAACTTGTTTTTGTTAATGTTTCCCATGGAAATGTTGGAGTGGGGTCACGGTATAACACGTATATACATGGTTTCCCGTGGACTTTCTCCACAACAACCATTCTTTCTGGCCTGAAAGTCCGGCCACAGGTATTACAGGCAGGTCCTCGCAGGAATATTGGGTGAGGATAGTGGGAAGAACTGGAGAACTGTATAATGGTGGTAATGACTAACATCTATAAATCACCATTATACAGTTCATAGATAATCTACCATTATAGTGGTGATTTCCCAAAACTGTAGAACGTGTCTACAAATGGTTCATTTTTCTGATAATGACTAACATAGCTATGAAAAATGGACCATTTATAGATGATTTACCTACTAGAAACGGTGATTTTCCATAGCTACGTTAGTTTAGCAAATGGTAATGGAAAATATAAAGGGCATATAATGATGGGATTCAGGATATAATGCTGGAATGCAGTACATAACGGTGGTAGAATCCTATCACCCTTAAAGTGAGACATCTGACACATACCCAGTCTATGGTACCCTATTAATGTGGTTTCATCCCCTACATCATGGTTTCTAGAGAGAGTGTTTTATAGTATCTACTACTGAGTTCTCAGGTTTGTTTGGAGTAACTTTGTTCATAACCACCCTCTGGTAATCTAACAGATTGCAGTCTATAAAATCACAATAAAATATTTAGTTATATTTAGTTCATCAAACTAATCAGGCCATCTATACCATAGAAAACTGATAGTCATTACCGGATGCCATTAATTATTTAAATTTATTGAACCCAAAAGTAATTTACAAAATAACAGATGATTGAAAAAACAACTCCATTTAGCCCGGAGATTTCCCGGAAGATGTTCAAAGGAATTTTGTGATGAAACTGTGTCGAAGGGTGGGTAACCAGTTGACCAGCCAGTATTTTTCTTTTCCGTTGATACCATGGATTGCGGCTTGCAAGACTACAAAGTCGTACTTGGGGTTTGCTGGGGTCTTAATTTTATGGGTATAACCAAGGTATATCACTGGATTTTAAGCCCCCATCAGTTGCTTTTTTTGGGGCTTCTTGTTTACTATGGCATACCATGGTGAAAACTATATCCACATATCACTGGAACTGCGCAGTCTGGAGCTTGAGGATCCCCCTCCGGGAATTCGCGGTGGATGTCCTTGAGTTTGTAACCCACTTCCTTGAGGAAAGCGGTCATCGCTTTTTTGATTTCCTCATATCTGGCAGAGTCAAATTGCACGGTGTAGTCATCCATCTTGGTGACCCACACCACCACGTGCCTCAGTATTTTTTGAGTGGTCAATCTGGTTAATAGTGGTTAATAGTGGTTAATAGTGGTTAATAGTGGTTAATAGTGGTTAATAGTCAATAGTGGTTAATGTTGATTTTCCGGATGTACACCTCAAAATTTGTGAACGACATCAGAATCATCATCACCAATGTTGCCATCAACATCTCATTGTATTGATTGGAAGTCCCCATGAACATACTCGCATTATGTCATCCAATCATCAGTGCAACTGCCACATGCATATACACAATATACAGGTACATATACATTATCGTATGTCGTGTGATTGACACCGAACACAGCACAACACAATCATTTCGCACAACATGGCCTAATACAACATAACAAAACATAAACATAACATAACATAGCATAACATAACATAAGCATAACATTGCATTGCATTGCTTTACATTACATTACATTACATCATATCATGTTACATTACACTACACAACACTACACTATACATGCATAGTTACATGACATTAGTAGAATGCAATACCTTTACATTCACATCTACATTGACATTTACAGCACCATGGTTAGCAACAATCATCATCAAATTAATGCCATCAGTAAATCCATCAGTTCGACTCCTCGTTTCAACCTCTATGTTCGTCCAATCGCAAAAGCCACCAAACAAATCGCAAGGGCAAGCGAGTCTGCAAGCAGTCCTTGAACATTCCCTGCAATCGGCTGAGATTGTTTTAGAGTACAGTACTTGGATTAGTCTTACATAACAATCTTAAGTCCAACTATCGCAATGAATTGTCTATGAATTCTTTCTGGTCCCATCAATCCAACCATCCAGTGAATGTGTTTTCTTATGGACAACCAGCGCAAAAATAATCGACTCGATCAACAAGCATACCTTCGAATACGTTGCGGTTGCCATGGCCCAAACCACGGAAATAGAAACACATCTTGAGATGGTCTTTTTTTATTCCCCGCACATATCTAGGAATGCCTGGATGTGGTCTTTGAGAATGGGACTGGCATGTTTCATCTTAATTCCCCGTAGTACTGACCATCAAGGTCTCCCAGTAAGGTCCGGCATAGGTCGCTCCCCGCGAAGGCCAAGCAGCTTGATGCCCATCGTGAAGCTGTCCAGTGCAAGGCCCTTGACTGTGCCACTATCAACGGCTGCCTCCCATTCGCCTGAAATTTCACAGCTGAGTTTACTGAGTTTAGAGGATCCCACTTAGTAAGCCCCATGCACGGGGGTGATCATATATATATATAACTAGCTTATAACATAGTTGCTAAGTGTGATGATCCTCCAAGTAATGGTTCTACTGGTGAGGGCCATCTGTGAAATGAGGGAAGTATTGCCACTCCACTGGGATGAGAAACTGGAGATCAGGAGCCCCAAATCATGCTGCAACTGCATCATCAATCCAACCAAACGACACACATTCCAACTGCAAACATGATATTTCCAGCCCTTTTTCAGTGTTGGACAGGTGTATTGGAAAGGGTGTTTCAATCCTGCATGCCGCATGACGACTCATCCCCAGCGACAGGCTTGTCAGGAGGCTATGCACTTAGGCTTGATATGTAGCAGTAACCAGTACGAACCGCAGTTTCATGGGTCACAAACATCAATGAGAACACCTCCTTCAGTGTTTTCCCCAAAGAGAAACAACATGAAACAACCATCACTGCTCTTCGTCCTTGTGCAGCTGACACCACCAGCACGGCCACATCTGCCAAGGACATCACGCTCAAGTAGTTTCGAGCGAGGTCCTGGCGAACACCCAGGGATGGACTCTGGATCTGTGAAGATGTTCATCGAACATCTGTCGTTTCAAAATCGGAGATTTCCAGAGACTTCCCAATCATCATCCCAGGAATCATTGATCCAGAGATCACGCCATCAAACTCAGAGATTTCCAGAGATGTCCCAATTCGAAGATCCAATCATCATCCCAGAAATCACGCCATGATGACCTCCAATCTGAAAAACATCTTCGCCAGGGAAACAAATCTTGGGGTAGATCAGATGATCATGGAAAAACATCTTTGAATATATTTTTGAATTATTTTAAGCCATGAACCAGGTCATGTTGGGATGTTTTTGCCCAAGAGTCCATCAAAACACCACCAAAACACCCACGAAACTGCAAATGTTGCCCTAAGATGTGGGGAGTTTTACTGAATTGTTCTCGACAAAGAACAAGGACATGGTCATAGATGGCCCGTTGAATTTCCCATATGTCCCGGGTCCATGACCGGAATCTCCTGGCGTCCAGGGGTATCGAAGGCGCAATATGAACAGTTGGAGGATTCAAACCTCTGCATGCTCGACAGCACAGTAGAGCCCAATTCTCCTTCGTCAGACTTGGCAGAACAGCACTGACCGCAAGGTTAGCCTCTGATAAACTAACATAGCTATGGAAAATCAACATTTTTTAATGGGAAAATCAACTATAAATTGCCATAGCTATGGTATAGATGATCCATTTATGGATGATTTACCAGTATTTTCCTATTCAGAATGGTGGGTTTTCGCTATGTTAAATAACCAGAGGGTAGCTTCAAAAGGATCATCTCCCAAAAATGGGAACAATTCTTAAGATTCTTAACACTTACCCAGGGCTATTAGCAAGCTAGGACCCTCTGGTAGTTTAACATAGCTATGAATGGGAACAATTCTTAACACTTGCCCATTCTTAGATGAATTACCCTCTGGTAATTTAATATAGTCATATCGGTAATTCATCTAAAAATGGGCAGACGGCAATGGTCCATATCTTTTGCTGGCTGGCCCTGAACAAGAATCCCCAAAAATTATGGAACCCCACGGCCACACAAAGTCCGGAAGGTGGGTAACCCAAGTAAAAGGATGGTTCGCACGTGTTTATACAACCCAAGTATACGATTGATATTCACCAGTTTTATATATTAAAAAAACACCTATATATGCATATATATGCACACAGCAGTATATAAATAAATCTACATATATGTATATATATATAATATATATATATATATATCAGTCCTCCAATTCTGACTAGTTCAATAAACCAACCTCAATTAGTTAGAATATTCTATAGTTATCTATAGTTTATCTTCAAAAAGCAGCTACAAAAAATACAAGTCATGGCTTTCTGCCAGCAGTTGACCGCGCCAAGGCTCTCTCGTCTTGCAAGCGGTCCAACATCCAGCCGTGCGCGTAGGCAGGACGTCCCAGTTCCCATGCCAAGTCCTGGCCCAAGACCCAAGGCTCCAGAGAACGGTGTTTTTCATAAAGTTTATCACCCGTTAACTAAGTGAACCAACTATAGATGAGGTTTATAATTCACCGAACTAACTATAGATCTGGTTTATAAATGTTTATAACCCCTTAACTAACCTCAACTCTAGAGACATAAAATTGTACCGATATATATATATATATATTATTATTATATTACATGATTTCGTTCTATGGTATAGTATATTTTATTAAATAATATTTGATTAAATTATACGATATTAAATTATATTATATTAAATTACATTATGTATTAATTATTATTTTATATGTTACATAAATAAATATATATATATACATATTGCCCACAAACAAGAGAAATCAGGCAGTTGGAAAATGTTGTAAACAAACTTGGCAAGGTATGGGACACCACCTTGTACAGCCCATACGATTCCCAAAAAATGAGAGTATGGATAGAGTATGGATAGAGTATGGTATGTTTACTTATGTTTACCTACGGAAAGAGAAAAGGAATCGCTTGGGAGGTCTCGATTTGTCAGGAGGTTAGCCATTTTAAGATTCATTCAGAGGGGTACGAATGTTGGGAAGCACAAACATCCCACACATATATAGATATTTCACTCTATCGGCTACCAATTCAATAGGAATAACATGGCTGCTTACCCAAGCATATATGACTGTTTCTTAAAACTAGGGGACCCCAACAAAAACCATTGATAAACATTGATGTTCCATCAACAAACTGAAAAAAACTTGGGGTCACTGGAATCCACTGGACATATCAATTGATCATTATTGATATCATGATCCACCACTAAACTACCAATAACTTGGGGGTGTTTTCCTGGGTCCACCACTTTCGGAAGCACCAGCTCATCAAGCAGCACCTGGACCTGCCGATGTGCTTCTGGATCAAATGCATCCAGGGAAGCGCTCAGTTTTCCAAGAACTGTGGTCTTCCCGGACCTCATTGGTCAGATTTGGGGAAGTGACACCGGCCAAATTCACCCGCAGAGCCCGAGATTTCACATGGAACTCAACCGTTGGGCCGTTTTATCCAGTGTTTTCAGGATGTTTGGGAGCCCATTTTTTGGATTTCATGGCGTTCCATGTTAAACTTTGAGGCCCAAGCAGGGAAGTTAGCAAATCAATCAATGAATTTCCATTAGACAGAAACTGGGATGAGCTAGCCCAAAGTGTGATATAAGCGAGATTTGAGGGGGTTATAGCTGATATGACTACAATGCAGCCTTCACAAATATGGCATATTGAAGCTAGCTGGGGTGATACAACATGACACTACATGGGATGTGTGATGATGTGATGTGTTGGTGATGTCCTTCCATCTTTCCAGTTTGGAACACCACAAACGAGCTTTATGTGTCAAAAAGAACTGCTTCTTCATGCTTCTTCCAACTACAAACTAGGCCTTTTTGCTGCTCTACATAATTGCATAGCTATTGGCTCAACTGCCCAAAATATCCTGTCTCAAACCAAAGCACTCCCCCACCCCAAAGCATCCAAAGCATCAGTTTCTGGGGCTTGGATCTAATATGAGAGGGATATGATATGACTAGGGTCCGACTGAGTTGGTTTCGTGAAAACCGGCGGGGAAACCATGATGTTTTTTTCCATCATGTTGTTTCTTCAAAAACTGAAACCAGGTCCAAAACGAAACACCTGGACTTTATATCGGGAATTTTCATAGTGGCCCATGTGCTACCCATGAGATCCTGGTGATGCACAAAGAAGACAGCTGGGTCACTGAGAAGGGCCCATCACCGCCAAACTCACCTGAAACGTGTCAACGTGTCGAAACTCACAGCATATGTGTCATGGTCAGAAGTTCTGGTATTATGCATATATATATAATAATTATATGTATATATGTTATGCCCTTAATCATCCCCTAATGTCTTATGGATTATATGGGCATATGATGCATATGGACTGACCAATGTAAAAAAAATACCAAAATGGTATCATGAATGCCAGATTGTGGATTATGGTCATCCACTGATCTCCAAAAATCATGGATTGATCAACATTGCCCAACATGGCACTAACATAGAACACAAGTTACATGTTTTCAAACAAAACACCCATTAAAGTCCTCTGAAACTGCACAACGGTTTGTGCTACGGTGAAACTACCACAACCCAGCCCCCGGTGAAACAGTGCCTCTACAGAACCTTCCATGCAAAAGAGAGGGTAAGCTCCATGTCGAGTTCCAACTTTAAGTTTAAACTATTGACACCCAAGCAAACATCACAAAGCTAGTTTGAACATTGACCTGACACTACCCATGTTTTTTTCACAATCATTTTTGTAACTTGTTCTGAAAACTGAAAACCCTGCCATTTCTGGTTTTTCCAAATGCATTTTAAGCGCTGATTTTGAGCGTTTTGCCATCACATGGGGATTTCCAGGCGCCTGTGCTTTGGCCATGGCGTTTTGGACCGAGCCGCACCGCCCGGGGGACCGGACGCACGGGCCGCTGGGGAGGTCGGCCCAGCGATGAACCAAAACTGCAGATCTCCGGATGAATCAACAAAAACTGGTTGGTGGTTGACTCTGGAAATGATGGAATCTATGGTTAATGGTTGATGATTATCTATGGTTAATGGTTAGAAAGTAGCAAAAACTGGTTGGTGGTTTCAACATACCCCTCTGGAAAATGATGGACTTCGTCAGTTCAGTTCGGATGATGACATTCCCAATTGAAAAATAAAAACTGTTCCAAACCACCAAGCAGAAAAGATGTGGATTTGATTTCGCCATAAAAAGTGTGAAGGTTTCATCGGCAACCATTTCAGGTTTGACATCCGAAAATCGGAAATCTAGAAGAAACCTCTACCACAAAAAAATCGATGTCAGGTAAAAGCTGGATATGAGGCATGGTTTGTTGATGTACGAACCACCTGCTAGAGACCAGTGGGCCGTGTCATGTCTACTCACCTATATCAAGAAAATCAGTATCGAAGTTGGCCACAGTCCATCCAACTGAAAGCCAGAAAAAAGTGGAATAGACATAGACATGAATGCACCATACTTTATCTAATAATGATGGGATGAAACTCCGAATTTACAAACAAATTGCTTGGCATTACTCCTTGTCTCCTTGGTTTTCTTTGGTGGTTTTCTCTTCCGCTGCTGAAAGTTCATCTATTGTTGGGATATGGTGGTAAGTCGATCTAAAACATTGAAGCAAATAAACCCACACACATTACCCTGTGATTCCCTGTGGTAATTCAACATGGTCACAGAAAATTACCTACATGTAGATGATTTACCTATCAAGCATGCAGCATGGCCACTTTCCATGACTATGTTACAGTAGATTACCGGAACGGAAAGTGTATAGCTAAACACTATTCAGCATTCTAACCTGTAGATTCGAAAATGGTAGTTAGTGGGATGGTTCCTCGGGTAGATCGAAGACTGTTTCTGAATTGCAATGGAGAGTTTTACGTGCAACGAGTGATTCAAACCCAATAATTCCAACGTATATAGTTCGGATACCCTCTGGTAAACTAACAAAACTATGGAAAATCACAATTTTTAATGGGAAAACTCACTATAAATAGCAATTTTCAATAGCTATGTTAGTTTACCAGAGGGTATCCACACGCACACGAATGCAGTGAGTACTAAACTCCTATGTCTTGGCGCCTTATAATTGGGGCTGCTGTAGGCCCAGAAAGATCCGCCATGGCTTCACCAAGCATCGGATGCGTTTGTGAATCTCTCGTTCACTGCGATCCACCCAGCCATGCACCACACAAACATACCTGGGCAGCTGGGCGGAAACTGGAATGATCCCGGAGAAACCTGGACGTCTAACAACTTCAAAAAAACAACCTCCAAAGTGAGTGGATTTTTACATCATCCAATCATATCCAATCATATCCAATCATATCCAATCCATGAACCAAAGGTTTCCCCACAGGATGCATGGTCTGTCATTCTTACATTTCTTACCCTGTGAACAACTGGGAGATTTCAACGGATGGCAAACAAGCCTGGCGGCCTGGCAAAAAAGATGTTTCGGAGCCACAACAAAAAGCCAGTGCGTCCGAAAAAGGTGAGTCCAACTATGTTTGTTATGTTTGTTGGGTTTCTAACTGATTCTAACTCCCATAAATACCATAAATACAAGTTGCATCAAGTTGCATCATATCATATCATATCATATTCTCCATGAACCCAAACGTCATCCTAAGTAATGTTTGTGTTCACCAATCTAGCTGTTTATATAGGGGGCCCCCACCTCCTACAAATCAATGGCGGGTTCAGGTCAAGGTATGTACAGTCATTGGGTCAACTGAGCAATCTCAATCCAACGCCGACTATGCACGCCCTTTGATGTCCGAATGGGTGGTAGCTTGGGGCAACCCAAATATGGCCACTTCATTGGTGAAAGGGATGGCCAACTGGTCAATGAGTACATTTTAGGGTGCCCTATTTTCGGAACTCATCCTGAAAGTTGATGGCCAACATGTTCTTGCACTTCTTTACGGCTAGTCTTTGGGGGAAAAAACAAACTACTGGCCTGATTCAAAATCGCTACTGTAGATGGTATAGCTTTCTGGTATCAAGATCGCACTGATTTGACATTTATCTGGCATATATAAAGTCCATTGAACGTTGCACACCCAATCATGCACCCGCAAATTTTGATGGTCTTGTAGCAACCCCTTAAATGGTAAATGTAGGTATGATGATTTCTTTTCCGTGCGTTGAATTGCTGCTATCATCTTACAATACCGGGCCCCTTGCAGTCAATTATAACAAATTAGTCTATGGCTAACCCTCTTCTACCTTAGCAACTAATCAATAAACCTGTTTCATAAGTATCCTAAATTCCTGGGTGGGAAAAGTATGGCCGCAACTTCCAACCAGTTGCGGATTCCTCAGGTGATCCTCCAAAGGTGAAACGGTGAAACCCATTTTTTTTCAGCGGACCGGGCCCCAACCCACCAGGTAACCAATGGCCTTTATGGGTGACTCCACCAAGAGAATGCATGGTTAAGAGTCGCAGTTGTCTCGTGGTTATTGGTGGTTAAGATTCGTTGTAACTAAGCCCACCCATGTTGGGGGAGTCACCTGGCTGGTTTATCCCACCAATCAAACATTCAATACCCATTACGTCCCCTTCAACCCCGTTAAATTTCCATTAAACCGATTAAATCACCATGAAACTCCCATAAAACCAATCAAATCCCCCTCCAATCACCATGAAACTCCCTTAAAACCCATCAAATCCCACTCCAACCACCATGAAACTCCAATAAAACCCATCAAATCTTCTCCAACCACCATGAAACTCCGATAAAACCCATCAAATCCCCCTCCAATCAACATGAAACTGCAATAAAACCAATAAACCCCTCCCTCCAATCACAATGAAGCTTCCCAACAGCGTCCTGATGCCAGGCAGCTCCTTATCCACCGCATATTGACACCACTGGAGCCGCAACCAATAGGCACCTGTTGACAATGGCTTGGTTTAATAGTATTATCCATGGTTAAGATCTATTGGCATATATTATATAAATATAACAAATATAGCGATAACCATAGTATATATCCATTGTTTTTGTTGGTTAAACGGTTAAACTATGTTAACAGTTTTTTCAAGGTGGTTGATGAGCTAAGTGTAGCTATGGGATGCTATGGGTATCCAAATTCCCTGTTACATGAGGAGCCATGAGGAGCCTCAGAAGTGTGTCACCGCCACGGAGATTCAAGGTGGGCTTTGCAAATGATAGCTAAATGTTGTTGCCCGAATGGTATGTTTATAGGTGATAAAACTAGAATATTAAAGAGTTTAAGAAACAACATGAAACAACTACCATAACTACCGGGCCCCACAATTCCAGTAAATGCTGATGGTGAATATTAACGACATTGGATTGGTGTAAGGGAACAAACAGGAAACCCCTGTATTTCATGGGAAAATGGTTGGTTTCCAGCTAAAAGTTTCCCTCAAAGCAATTCACCAAGAGTTTGGCACCTGGCTATGGGGTAACAACACGTGATTAAGCCCGGGGCCCTTGGCTAATGTGGGGTTCATCCCAGTACCACTTTACACCATTCGGGATGGCTTGCACCCATGGCCAATCTAGGGATGGCCGACCATTGGGTTTACAAAGGGGGCCATCCAAGGCATCCAACGTCGGACTGGGCTGTACCTTCATAGCTCCTGGCGCAAACAAGGACGCCACTGGTCCTAGGACGCCAGGCAAATGGTGGATCTTCAAGAAAACATCTGAGCAAACTATATCCTCTTTCTCTCTCTCTCTCTCTCTGCATCGCCTTCTCAAGGAGTTCAGCAGAGCTAAAGGTGAATAAGATACAACTGGCGAACTGCCATACAAACTGGTTTTCAATAGGGCATTCTTCATTGGGAGGAAGGAGTTCTGCCGAGAAGAAGTGATCTGCAAAGTTCATCGAGCCAAAACTTGTGGTTTCTTTGCTGCTTGACTCATGTGTGTTTTCACTCACCAACCCTCACTGATAGCTGTTTCGACTAGTGAAGTCACTCCGTTCTATCAAACCAAACAACAAACAATCTGAAATGATTACATAACCATGAGAAACATTATGTCTTAGATGTTGCTATTGCTTCCAACTGAAATTAGATTTGAAGAACTGTTGTTTGGTGCTTTATCACCCATCTCCATATTTTTCCAGTGCTATGCATACGGCAACACACACAAACATTATATATATATATATGATGTGTGTGATATGTATGCACATAAACAGTTACATATAGATATAAACACATGTGTATATATACAGTATAAATATATATATATATACATACATGCATAAATGCAACAACTATACATACACTGGGGTCAAGTAACGTATGGAAAACCCATGGTTTCCCCAGCAAAACCAAAGCGACCAAGGCGCTGCGCATCAAGGCGATGTAAGAGTCCAAAGGCTTCCGTGGCGTCGGTGCAGATCCTGAGCCAGTGTCGGTAGTTATCCAGTTATCCCCATCAATGCCAGTTAACCATAGTTAACCTATATACTGTATATATAACTATGGTAGTTATCCCCAATTAATGCCAGTTAATCTAACTATAAACCAATTTGTAAGACCTTTTCTAGCTCGGCAGTGGAATAACTGTGTCCTCCCAGTGCCAAGTTGGTACGTTACTTAGCGATTTAATGATACGCGCTACAACCACCCTACTTGGCTTCAAATCCAACCCGGATATCTCCCCGGGTCTCATCTATTTCGGTCAGACGACGACAGCGGACTATCATCTATCATCCTCCAAACAATGGCATCATAAAGAAATAGGTACTGCAAATGCAAAGGTTTCCAATGCTCAAAACAAATTGAATAGAAAAACTGAAAATCCACAAGCTCCTCACATCGCCAAGAAACGGATACTTCTGCGACATGTGTTTGTGGATCCAGGCCTGTTGGGCATTGGTGAAATGAACTCCGCATGGCAAATGCTAGAGTATTCAAAATATTTAAAATTTTCTGTGTGAAGGGCATGTGCACCCACTCAAAAATCACCGTGTCATTTGTCACAGTTCGAGGGGCATTGTTTCACTATATTCATTCTTAAGACTCTTAACCTCCAAAACATCATGTGTGCATCACCCGCTTCCCTGCATCAAGAACTTCCGATCCCATTCAAACGTGGATCACCTTCACCGGTCTTGAAAAAACTAGAGTACCATACCCCATTTCACAGCAGCTTGACATAGCTTGACATAGCTTGATCATGCCACGGCCTGAACCTTGGGTTTTTCCGGCTCCTCCTCGTTATCCTCGTCTTCCTCAAAGGGTGATGCATTGGCCATCCTGGACGCCTCGGCGTGTGCTCAAATACTCACCTGAGGACCTGGTGATGTTGGCTGATGTTGCATCTTTCCTTGCAAATCCGGGAGTGAAAGTTGCATAGAAAACAACTGACACACGAACCACAGAAATAAATAAGAATAATAGATAATAAACAAATAAAATCATAATAAAATAGATAAACATATATATATATATGGGAAGTGCATGCATATATAGATATATTGAAAAGTATCTTATATCAACCAACTATTTTTTTTCCACACATCTTTGCCCCCTTCCGCCATCCCATCGCTCGGCCATCGCTGCGGCACCTCTTTGGCATCCACCGAGACCTGCCAATGCGCCGGTTTCATGATGGCCATCCAATGCTCCGTGGCCTCGCGATTACCCGCGCCGCGCATCTGGAGTGGCCATAAAGAAACACATTTAATGGTGTTTAATGATGATTTAATGATGGTTAATGATGATTAATGATTGTTAATAATGACTGTTTGGTGGTTGACCTACCCCTCTGAAAAATGATGGAGTTCGTCAATGGGAAGGATGACATCCCATATATATAAATGGAAAATAAAAGCCATGTTTGAAACCACCAACCAGTATTTAATCTGTCCACATCCAAATCATTGTAAATCCATGTGTGATCCAAAAAAAATGTCTATCTGTTATGATAGCCGCACCAAATGCGCAAACCCCAGCAATTATACCACACCTTCACGACTCGAGGGGTTTCACTTTCACCCGCGTCCTGCAGACATGTGGCTTTACCATAGGGCAAGCCCCGAAAAAATCAGAAAAAAATATGGTGGGAAAGTCACGACTAATAACTATGGCTATGGGGCAAGTAATAATTAAGTAATTATTGATACCTGTGAAGTAACTAGTAACAACTATGGCTGGAAAAAGTCACTTATCACTTGTTCACAGGAGCTTACTTTTCGATCTGCTTGGGTGTTGGTATGGGTTACTATAAGTGTTCCACAGTTTGTCTTTTATTCATTCATAAATGTGTGTCCATCCAAAAAAAATGCAAACATATGGGGGTGTCTAACCCCTGGTTTAGTCCCCCAATTGGGGGTATACCCTACCAGTGTAGAGCCATGATTTTTCTCTGGATTTGCGTAGCTAATTGATCTCGATTATCGGGAATCAAACATGGAGGGGAACGAAAATAAATGTGACCAAATTTGAATGAGCCCAATACCTCACAGGATGCTATCATTTAAGTTAAATACATTTAAATACATGTTATATACATATATTAATATATCAATATGAATGTGAAATTATATGTGTCTGTGTCTGTAAATGTCCTTTCCTAACGCATCACCCTGGAGGACTCAGCAAATAGAGCTGGCATGAAGTACCAAAAAAAAGTTGGTCAGACTTGGCCCAACACAATCCACCATCCATAACTGGTTGGTGGTATACCTACCCCTCTGAAAAATATGAGTTTGTCATACCTACCCCTCTGAAAAATATATTAGTCAGTTGGGATGATGACATTCCCAATCATTATATGGAAACATAAAATTCATGTTCCAATCCACCATCCATAAAGAACTTCAGGTTGAAACCAGCCATTGGGGCTGCCTCTCCTCGTCGATGGATTGTTCCTCTTCAACCTTCGCCTGACGGCAAGGTGAAGATGTCGAGGTCGATTGCAGAGCTCCGACGAACAAGGAGTCATTGCATGGTGGTGATTTAAATGATTTCGTGGGATTTAAGGACCAAGAAACTTTTACACGTATTGAGTGATCACTCCCTTCTGTCTTCACCAAAGATTTCACATCATATGACATCACTGAACATTTTTTTTTGGGTATGGATCACAATCGATGCAATGAAGGTCGAATAAAATCAACCTTTGCAACAGCATCCATCCTAAAAACCGTTAGTACCCATAATTAAGCCATTGTTAACGCAGTCAACCATGGTTTATCCCCATTGATATCCCATTCAATCATTCTCAGATCATTCCATTAATCAACATTGTTTTTGATTGTCTGTTAGCCACTGTTAATCATGAATTGCACTTACCGTGAAAGTTAGTTAAATGACTACTATTTTAAAACTGGGATATTGCACTATTTTGATCACCGTTAGTTAACAATATATTAACTATCATTGAAACCAAAAGGTGGGTTGGATTGCTAGTGGATTCCCACAACAAGGTTTTTGGCCACCAGCATCAGATTACAACATATTTTTTGAATTAAAAACATTTTTTCCATATTCAATCATTTATTTGATTGTATCTGAATTTATTTGACTTTATTTGAATTTATTTGCTTTGGGACCTCCCTGTAGTTACCAAGAAATACATAGCAATACATCATGTGACAAGCAAATGTGTTTTAAATCCTTTCATCATAGAAGCTCAACATTTGACAACACAAGGAAATATGATAACAGCTGACAGTTGGGCAGCAATTCTGCCGCTGGCCTCAGCAAAGTTGTTGTAAGGTTGCGTTAGTTTTATTTTGTTTGTTTCTTGTTTTTTCCTTTTTTTCCAGCAAATTTGAGATATTTTGAGATTTTTTGAGATTTTCTATGGTCCAGAAAAATATGCAATACAGAACCCAGTCTCGCAAAACCACGTTTGAAAAACAACATTAGAGACATTTTGAGACATTTTGAGATTTTTGGAGATATTTTCAGATTTTGTCAGATTTTTTGAGATTTGTCTTTTAATGTTTTTTCATTTTTTTTATTTTTTCATGTGTTTTTTATTTTTTCAATTTTATGCATATATTTTCATATTTTTGATTGAAAAATACCATTGCCAATCCAGACCACTGCAGATCTAACCCACGTTTTGGTGTTGCTGAAACTATTGGGATACTAACCACTGCTAAATATCTCAAGACGTATCCCAATAAGTATCCAATGGTTAGCCATACAATAGTCTAACAAGACATCCCAATAAGTACTCCAATAAGCATCCCAATAAGTATCCTAATGATGAACCCCAGCCATGCCGAGCCTGGGCAGCCTGGGTGGCATCTTTGGCACGTCCCAGACGCAAAGCCGCCTTGGTGATGTTGCGCTGCAGCTCCTGGTCCAACAGACGCGCCTGGCGACGAGATGAAAACCAAAAAACCAACGGGGAATCCACAGCTCAAATCTGCGGAAAAGGTGAGATTAGAAACACCAAGTTAAATGTGTAATTATATATATATATACAAAAATAATATATATAATTAGAATATATATTAAACACATAAATAATATATTAAATATAAATATATTTTATATAATATATAATAACTAATGTATAGATTATATATATACTTTACATAATTAGAATATATATAAAATATAGAAAAATATAATATATATATATATAAATATTTTTTTTAATATAATTAATAAATATATATATATAGATAGATAGATAGATAGATAGATAAATAATATAATATAATATAACATATATATACTATATACTATATACTATGATATTCAATAAAAACAAATATATATATATAGTAAAATATATTATATATATATACATATTTAATATACTATAATGTATATAATATATATATATACTATTATATCATATATATATATATAATAAATATATATATATACTATAATAATTTTAATATATTTACTATAATGTATAAAACTATTTATAAATATATATATGTATATTTATTTATATATTAACCTTATAGATAAGGTAAAATCGGCATCGTTTGAATCGTTTAACAGTTGGCCTATATTCCCAATGGTTTGCAAGAAAAAACGTTTAAAGAAAAACACTATTGGCAAGTAAAAACAGTTGAACCTTCCGAGCCAAGATATACAGTATAGTACAAAACTCAAGCTCCCCCCTGGTGTTTTTCCAGGAAAAAGAAACCCTTCAACCTCAGCCAGGTGCCGAGATACAGTGGAGTATGCCCAGCACAAGGAGAACAAGTGGATTGGCTGAAAGTCGTCCAGTCCTCCATAAATTGGTCATGAACGGCATTCCCAGTTGATGATAACCCCACATATAAAGAGGATACAGTATAAGCCCTCCACAACCAATCACAACCATCATTTATCAATCACATACTCCATATGTTCGAGGTTTGTTCCCCCATTTACTTGATCTTTAATCATCTACATCCCATGTATATACCCTATGGACCCTATGGATAAACATTTACATAAATGAAAAACAAACTTTTGGAACATGATCTGCAATTTGTGTTTTTTTCCACCTCTATGTCAACGTTTACGGGAGGGTATAACCACCATTAAAATCCTATTAGATCCTTGGGTTTACCAAATGACCTAAAGTACTGTGTATGAAGACCTCCATCTCCACCATCGGCAAGGCTCTCCGAAGTGCTTCGCCCCGTAAGGTTTCGAAGAGTTCGGACACTTCGGGAGGGATCTCAGCCTTCGGGAGGGATTCGAGAAGAAACTTCCCATTGTTGCTATCAATGTCAATGGGTTGAGTTAAGGGAACATTGACTAAAAAGGAAGCCATTCTTTTTACCACCAATATCAGGATTGTTTTCTGTTTTTCTTTATCCTTCATCAAAGTCAGGGGTGGGAGGATGTGAACGGATGTGATTGTTTTCATCCACACAGTTTGACAATACCACCAGGTAAACTAACATAACTATGGAACACCACCACTTTTGACAGGTAAATTAATTATATAAACAAGCCATTTTCAATAGCGTGGTTTACTGGAGGGTACGTACCGACCACTATTTTTGTTGGTTAAGTGCCGACAACTGACCTCCTTGCCAGACTGGTTGGTGACATTCCCACATCCCGTTGATGTAGTCCGAGACCTAAAGATATTTTCTCATGACATGATCCTGTCGAGTTTTTTGTTAAAAAAACATGATTCACCCACACACACACACACCTACAGGGTGGTGCCCCACAGTCAGCTAATAACTATTGTTTTTCATACTTGTAACTTATAACTTATAACCATAGTTAATGGGGTTTATAAACCATCTTTTAACTGGGGAGCTGCAGATTGTAGCTTTTCTTGCTTGAACTTGGTGAAATTCACCTGCTCACTGGACACATCTGGAGAATTCCCAAACCTTCACATGTCCAGCCAATTGGGGGATTGCCCGGCCAACATGTGCAGGAAAATCATTGTGCTTCCCATCAACAAAAACAAGGCTTCCAGTTCCGGCAGAATGTTTCCTTGAGCCAATTCTGAGACACAAAAACGTGTCTGGACACATCCAGAAAAGAGTCGCCGCTATCCCTGTTTTCACAGGCTTCATCGCCAGATCTGCTGGCTAATCCCCACATTTCCCTAATGCGAACTAATCCCAAACGTCTTCCTTGTCCATATTTTCAGCTCGGCGGGAAATCATAAGAACGATTTGCCAACATCTGAGCTGAAGTGTTTCTCTGAACATAGGCTTCATCCGATTCAATGGTTTATCATAAGTTTCCCCATGGGTTCCAGTCATGGCCGTTTGGCCATTAGATCCCAAAATCATGCTGGTGATATATCCCATTGATGCCCGCCTCAGCCGTTGCGCGGGTGTCTTCCAACGGCACCTTACAGCGGGATGCGTGATTAGCATAGGGGATACACCAGTGATCTCCAATGAGATTGATGGGTATTTCTGGGTGGTACTGAGAGAATCTGCAAAGTTCGGAGTCCCTCAGGAATTGCGCTATGAAAACGTCTGACATTCCAGATATGGCTGGGCTATACCCAGCTGATACTTCCCAGAAGCCTGTGACAAAGGAAAAAAACCTGCCTGTGTTCCAGCGTCAGTTGAGCAAAAGCGAGCCCTCGCTAAAGGAACCTTCCAGCGCAGGTTGGAGAAGTTGACCGAAACACTGACCACTTCCTCTATCTTCCTCTATCATCTCAAATCATGTCGCAAAACCATCTAAATCACTTACAAGAAGGTCAGTTTGTATCATTGCATGTAATGACTATATAATATCAAATGATGCATGTGTGTTGGTGTTAATGTCAGGCTGGTTGAGTGACACCGCAGTAAAACCATGAACCAGTGACGTGACTATACTGTACTATTGAATCAACTAGCGACCAATGATGTGATCAACAAATCATCACATCAATTACCGTTTTCGGGTGCATATGGTACACAATTGCATCCAATTACGCTCATCAACTCAACGTATCTCAACATTTTTTTTTCTCCCCCTGCTGCATGACCCACTCTGCGGCTCACGCGCCAATGGACTTTGCCATTGGGGGAGGCTATGTACAGCCACAGCGGTCACCGCGGGAGGCGACTATCCGGTGGGCGTTCATGCCACCGGACGTCAGCCAGGGTCGCGGCGAACGGCGGGGGCTCCCCATCGACGCCGGGTGCGGCCGCGGCCGGGAGTTCGAGGAGAGTCTCGGCCAGGGCGCGCTGCGCCGCGACGGATAGGAGGCCGGCCCAACGGTGCACGTAGGCCTGAACTGCCGCCGAGCGGAGGAGTGCTGGCGCAGTGCGGGCGCGGGCGTGCGCCAAGGCTCGGAGGAAGTCGGCGGCTTCCTCGCCCCAACGACCTCCTACTTCGAGACCTAAGATGAGTAGGTGGCAGCGGCGCGAGCCGGAAAACTCGGGGTAGGTGTGTTCCCGCTTGCGCTGGGAGGCTGCCAGGATCGCCGCGCCCGGGTTCGCGTCGGAAGCGTGGCGCACCTGTCCGGTGCGGCCAAGGGGGCTGACGAGGGTCACGTCGACTGCCAGCTGAGCCCCGTGCCAGAGCGGCAAGTCGTTTGCGAGGACTTCGATCTGGCGTGCGTCGGTGACCGGGACCGCGAGGTTCATGCGCGAGAGCGGCACGTTGACCGCGACGCGGGCACCGGCCTCGCGGCAGATGCGGGCGACCGCGCGTTCGATGGGCGCAGCTCGTGCCCGGAGGACGCCAGTGGTGGCGCATGCGGCACGGTGGTCGCCGTAAGGGTCGAGTGCCAAGCCACACCGACACCGGGAAGGGCCGCAGCTCAAGGGGGCTCGGAGCCGCCGTTGCAGCAAGGTGCGGAAAAGCGGGTTGCCGAGCTGGAATTCCGGGCTGGTAGGAAGGGTTGTGACTGCGCGGCCGCTGTGTGGGCCAGCCTGGGATAGGAGAAGCGCGCGCTCCGGAGGGGAAAGGTCAGATAGGAGCGCTGCGAGCTCGTCCAAGTCTTGGGCTGCACTGATGTCGCGCTGCCACCCCCGCAGGAAATCGCCCGGGGTCCGGTCTTCGTGCGAGAAGGTATGGCGGCCGCCGATGATAGATTCCCAGGGTGGGACAGTCGCCCCGCTGTTCCGGAGGAGCTGGACTGCCTGGGAGGCGGCGAGGATGCTGGGTGGTTGTGGGCGGGCCTCGCCGCTGAGGAGCTGGAGAAGGCGGTCCGCCACAAGAGGAAGGCGCGCGTGGAGGATGGGCAAGGTGTCGGCCCATGAGGCCCAATACGCGGCGAGGCGCGAACGGTGGGCCGAGCGCAGGCCGCACCCCCCCAAGCGCAATGGGAGTTGGGCCCGGCGTAGCTGCAGGTCCGAAAGGGCCGCGCCTGCCGCCACCAGGGTGCTGACGCAATGTGCCACCGCGGCGTCGTGGGCGGCTGCAAAGTCTGAGGTGTCCGCCGGTGGGAGGACGCGGAGGAAATAGTTGCTCCGGGGGGCTGCGCAGAAAAGGAGCAACAGCCAGGCGGCCTGCAGGTTCTCTACCCATGGGATGCGGTGGAGAAGGAGGTCTTGTTTGGTGCGGACCTCGGTAAGAGCATGTTGCACGTATTGCGCGCTCCCAATGGGGGTGCCCAGGACCTGGAGGCCTTGCGCCGAAGGGGGCAGAGTCCAGTCGCCGACCCAAACCCGGTCGTTGCTGTCAGCCGGCTGCAGCTCTGGGAGGTGGCACGGCTCTTCCCCAGCCGCATTCCAGATTCGGGTCTTACCTTGGTTGAGTTCGATGCACGCGTGGCCTCGGAGGGAAACGCGCAAGGTGGAATAGAGCGCGTGGGTGCGGTCAGGCGACGAAATGACATAGATGTCATCGAGGAAAGCAAAGAGCGCTTCCCCGGACCGCATCGTGGCCGCGGTCTCTTGCAGCGCAGGGTGCTGGGCAAGCGCAAACAGGGCAGGCATGAGCGGGTCGCCTTGCTCCCCCCCTTCAGCTTGCTGAACGGAGTGGCAGGCGCCACTAGAGTCCCACCAGAGGTAGGTGCTGTCTTGGCCGTAGAAGAGGCGGGCGGAGGGGGGGAGGGGGCGAAGCGCAGGGGAGCGGAGAAGGCTGCCGAGCATCGACTGGCGTCCGACATGATCGAAAGCGCCGACGCCGTCGACCGACAGCACGGTAGCGCGGGGGTCGAGCTCGGTCGCGACCCGGACGGCGCGTGCGAGGCCTTCTGCTCCGGCTTTGGTGCTGAGGGCGTACTGAAAGGGGTGGCACGCCTCTTGGAACTGGGCTGAGAATTGCTGCGCCAAGGTCCGGCCGACCAGCCGGCGGAACACGTCGCTCATCACGAGGCCGCGCACACGCCCGTTGCCTTTCTGGAGGGCAACAAGGCGGCCGACTCGGAGGCCGTCCATAATGAGGGGAGGCACCCGCGCCGAGGCCAGGAGCGAGGCCGCGTCGCACAGGAGGCGGGAGTCGGATTCAGACTCGAGCAAGACCCGGAGGTGCTCATTGGTGCAGCCAGACGGACCAGCGGCCGCCCCGCGGCGGGCCCGGCGGAGGTTTTGCAGGAATCTGGTGGCGTCGACGTGGAGCAGCTCATTGGGCTGGAAAGAGGCAACGTCGTCCGAGAGGGGTCGATGCCGGACTTGCGGGCGCCGGGACGGGTTGCGCAGCTCGGCCAGGGTGGCGGACGAGAGCGGCGCGAGGGGCTCGGCCACTAGCGACCGGGCAGCCGCGGAAAGTTCCCCTTGATGTGCCAGGCTGGCTGCACGGGAAGCACGCGCATCAGCAGAGGGGACGCTCGAGGACGGCGCTGTGGGGTGGAAGCTGCTGGCAGCTTCGCCGAGCAGCTGGTGCCACTGGCCGTTCCGGAACATAGTGGCTCGGCGGTCGAGGTCGCTGGGTTCGGCGCGCTCCCCGGGACGGGACCGGTAGCAGAGCATCCGCGGGGCCAGGAGGAAGAGCTTCCAGCCACGTGCTTGGGCAGGGTCCGTGTCGGCGGGGGGGTCGCAGATTTCGGTGAGGCCCAGGCGGAGCGCAAAGGCAAGGACCCCCTGCAAGCGCCGGGGCGCACCTTGGAACGTCGAGACCCGCACCCGCAAGGTGTGGGCGAGGTCGAGGTCGTCAAGGCTGCGGAGCGCTTGTTGGAGCCGAGCTGCGGGGTTTGGAGAGGGCGAAGGAGGGGGAGGCGGAGGGTCTGGGACCTCGGCAGGTTCTGCGGGAGCAGGGTCCGCCGCGGCTGCGTGTCGTCCACGCCCGCGGCCGCGACCGCCGCGGCGCGGCGGGGGGCGGTGGGCACGGGCCACCTGTTGGGCCAGAGCCCGGACAGTGGCCAGCTCTCTGGGCGCCGAAGTCTCGACCGCGGGATGCACGGGGCCGGGATCGGCAGGGAACTGGATGGGCGCCGGAGGGTCCGGGCGCGCTCGGAAGGTGTCCGAGTGCCGGTCGAGGTCGGCAGCAAGGTGAAGGCCACCATAGAGTTGGAGAAGCACTTCTTGGCCAGCGGCGGGGACGTACGCGTCGGGGTCGCAGAGGTGGCGAACTGCCCAGCCCAGATGCGCTTGGGCACCTGGCGGGAGCGCGGCCGCCTGTCGGGAAAGGCGCTGGTGCGAGGGAAGCGCGCCAGCAGCTGGGCAAGCGTGGAGGGCTTCCAGGAGGGTGGTGAGGGGGACGGGGGGCGCGGCAGTCAGCGCTTGCCGGGCGCGCTCCCACCACTGTGTGGTGGCGGTGGCTTGTTGCCAGGCCAAGGCGGCATCCTCGTGGAGCTCGCCTGTCGCGGCGAGGAGCAGGGGCACATACAGCCAGGAGTTGGCATCCGTCCGGACAATGCCACTTGGGGGGCCGCGCTGGCGCCAGGCGGCCGCGCCCCTGGGGCGGGGAGAAGGGGGCGGCGTGGCGCGCTCGGGCTCGGATTCTTGGAAGGGGTTGAAGTGGAGCCCGTGGCAAGTGCTGCTCAAGCTGGCATCGAGCGCTGGGTCCCAGGCATGACGGCACAGAGGACATCGTGGAGGGTGCACTTGCGCGCGGGATCTGGCGAGGCAGGCGAAATGGTAGGCATGCCGGCAGCCGGGCCAATGCACGACCGCCCGGCGCCCCACCCCGGAAGGGAGTAGGGGCTCGAGGCAGGTGCAACATGTGGGCGCGGCATGGGCGCCATCGGTAGGAGCGGTGGGGGGAGGTGCGTCCTCGCCGTCACTGAGGACGACGGGGGCGGGTGAGACATCCGGGAGGGTCCAACGGTAGTCAAACATGGTAATGGAAAATCCTCCATTTGCAGTCACATTGTAGTCATTTGTATATACATGTTCTTCTCACTAATTAAAACCTTCACTTAAATGGGATTTAGACAATTGCCATGCATGTTTGATTACAGAAGGCTAATTCCATCAATCATTTTTTCCACTGTTACTCACCAGCAATTAGCCTTGATCACCATTAGACACCATTAATCACCATTAATCACCATTATTCACACTCATTAGGCACGTTATTAACCATCATTCACGTTATTAACCACCATTAAGCATCATTAATCACCATTAGACACCATTAGTCACCACCATTGACTACCAACCACCGGATGTCGCCAATGATCCTTCACCATCAGCGCGCCTGCTTTCGCCACAGCGGCACGCTGAAGGTCACTGGCGGCAGCCGCCAGGCCCATCGGTGAAGGGCAGCCGGCAGGCGCCACATGGCCATGGCGCGGACGTGGGATGTGCTTGACCTCGATTCTAAGAGTTTTTTTCGCATATAATTCGGATGTCTTTTTCTTCAGGAATTATTTTTCAAAATTGGATATGTGATATGTAAGAACAAGATCTCAAGCATTCCCTGCTATAGATTTCCTATTTATTGCTCTGTTCCCCGCAGGGAAAGAAGCAAGCCCACTCTATAGTTGTGATGGTATAGTTTGCGCATGTCTTTCAAATTTGATTGAAAACCCAAGAGACTGATGGTTTGCCCAGTGCTACCAATCACACTTGGTGAGGCTTATGAAGTTTTTCTCAGTTGGACTCCAGCACTCCGGGAATCATCTGCCTTCGACATCAAATGTGTTCGGCGTCCCATCCTTTGTGGCTTTGAGCAAACAGCTGTCATTATAGCCAGCTGAGATATGACTCACGTTTGCATTGGATGACCTCTTAAGTATCCACCCCGAAGAAAAAACATGGAATCCACAGAAATCACAACATGAGTCAACATGGCCCCCGTGCTTTGTGGTCACTACCCACTTCATTTTCTGCAAAGCTGTCCCCTTCACAAATCAATGCCCCTGGCACCGCTTGGCACCAGCAACTCACAACGGGAATCCCAATCATCTTACTTCGGAAATGGTTCATAATCATAATTGTCAATACTCCAGAAATCTAACTACAATATGGGTGTGTCTGAAAACATGGTATGGAAACATTGTAGGGGAAAATACGGTCGTAAAATGTTGTAAATCATCTCCAATCATAAAATATGATAAAAACATGGGTGGTATAAGCCAAAATATGGGTGGTTTTTGAACTTACCGGAATTTCAAGGCTGTAACCCGGCACATCAAGGCGGGTACTCGGAGTTCACCACTCGGCTGTGCAAAGGTTTCACGATGAAAACGTCTTGGAACAGCTGTGCCACCTGGTCTCAAGATGTCAGGCCGGTTCCAAACAGCTTGGTGACTGTGAAAAAAATGAGATCAGCTGTCTTTGAACCCAAATCAGTTGAGTTATATGTGGTTCCCTGAAAATTGGGCACACAATTCCAGTTTCAATCAATAAAAAAACGTCACAACAGAAATATGAAGAAACATGGAAAAACGGCAGCAATAAAAGCACTCAAAATAGCACGTCATAGTTCGAAACCAGAAGTTATAAACATGTTCGGTGGGGTTGTTTCCGCAGCCTTGGATAAAGAAACTCAGTTGATTCATTGGCGGGTTGCCCCAAATAGCAACTATATAATTGAACATAAATTGCTATTTAGATAGGTTCCGCCCCGATTAGTAAAGTGGAGGTTTAGATAATCATGGACTAATGTAAGACACTTTAAAGGTCCGCAGTAACCTCAACAATATCAAGGCCATCTTGTGCTGCAAAAGGCTGCTTTGGGTTAGCGTTTTATTCTCATGAGAAATGGGCAGTTTCCAAATGGCGGGCCGGAGTCCTAGAGGGTAAACCCACTGGCAGACCTCCAACTGGGGACACTGAATACCACCTAGCCTTGGGAAAAAAACAAAGGATATAGCACCGGATTGACCATGGTCTACCACCAACTGGCGAATATGTGGTTCCTGTGCTTAGTTGTAGAGATGCCAGCACAGGAACCTCATATTCCCCGAGACAAGCAAAAACATCAGCAAGGGACCATGGTTTACCAGGTACAGCATCAACAAGGTGGTCCGGCCCTACTTTGCTATAAAGCAACTTGAAACAGCCGGAAGATAAAGGTACAGGACCAATTGAATCCATGTGGATCCATGTGGACCGTGGATCCCCTTATTCGATGCCACCCTGAGGCCCCGAGCAATGAACAGCAGGCCGCAACTGACCTTAGCATGATCTTATACAGCGTCCCTGGGAGTTCCTCCCAAGCCCATGGAGCAGGTTTTTTTTAAACGAAGAAGTTGCCTTCTGGTTATTTAATCGTTTGCCTTGGTATAGATGGCCCATAGAAATAGGCGATCTATGACGATGATTTATATTATTACTACTAACAATTGTGCTTTTCCGTAGCTACATTAAATTACCAAAGGGTAACACACGCAGCAATGAACAATCCATACTTTGTAGCTGCCATTTCTATTAAAAATCCTTGAGTTGGGTGTACTTCTCACCAGCTGAGCCCAAGCACAACATCTCTCTATACAATCCTCAAGAAGGAGGAAGGGGCATTCTGAAATTTTCTGATACAGGAACCCCCTCGTAGAGACAAAAATCTTATCGAAGGAAGTTTAGAAGTCAAACTTCCGACAATATGGACAGATGAAAAGCAGAGATGGGAAGAGTCAGAGAAGAGAAGAAGAAAGAGAAAGTCTCAGAAGAAAGAAGATCCAGGTGCGCGAAAAGGTACGAAAGTCGCAAACACTGTCTTTTTCCAATGATTTGTGGCTCCGGAGGGTCGAAAAGAAGGCTCTCTAAAGCGGCGGGTGCGGAGCCAGCTGGCCAAATGAAAGATGAAAAATTGCATTTGGCGCGAAGCACATTCCAAGTCAAAAGGTGCAAAACACCTCAGCTTCGGAGCACTTTTAGAAGTTGCGCTGTCGAGAAAGTGCACGCTGTTGTGGCGCGAAGCACATTTCCAAGTGAAAATGTACAAAACACACCATTCTCGGACCACTTTTGGCAGTTGAGATGTCGAAAAAGTGCACACCTTTGTGGCGCGAAGCAAATTTCCAAGTCAAAATGTACAAAGCACACCATGGTCGGAGCACTTTTGGAAGTTGAGATGTCGAAAAAGTGCACGCCGTTGTGGCGCGAAGCACATTTCGAAGTCAAAATGTACAACGCACACCAGGTTCGGACCACTTTTGGAAGTTGAGATGGCGAAAAAGTGCACGCCGTTGTGGCGCGAAGCACATTTCGAAGTCAAAAGTGCAAAAGACTGACGGTTCGGAGCACTTTTGGGCGTTCAGATGTTTTTTTCGTGGCAGGCGCAAGGGATTGTGCACCTTGTCAAAAGTGAGCAAAAAAGAGGGCTTTGCAACATTTCCAAAAACGATGGCAGGCGTGGGACAGTTGAAGAGGATCTGCAAAGATGCATTTTCCGTGGCAGGCGCAGTACAAGAGACATGTTTATCAGAGATGCTAGGAGGTCCGGGGTGCTGATTTCCTGAGAGGGGTTGCATTTTGGAGCATCAGATCTTCAGTTTTGGGAAGATGATTTTGCGTGACAGGTGCAACACTTCGTATGACCTGGCAGGCGCAATACTTTAGACAGGTGAAGTGGAGAAATCGCAAAACGCATCGGTACGAGGCCGTCAGCTCTGCACTCAACTTTCCATTATTGAAGGAAGTCTCGCAGAATTGCTTCGTTTTTGATGTTGTCAACTTCGAAACATGAGGAAGTCTCACAGAATTGCTTCGTTTTTGATGTTGTCAAGTTCAAACATAGAGGAAGTCGCGCAGAATTGCTGCGTTTTCAAGCTTACAGTTAGACAGACAGACAGACAGACAGGCAGACAAACAGATAGATAGATAGATAGATAGATAGGATAGATAGGATAGATAGGATAGATAGGATAGATAGGATAGATAGGATAGATAGGATAGATAGGATAGATAGGATAGATAGGATAGATAGGATAGATAGGATAGATAGATAGATAGATAGATAGATAGATAAACAATTACAAACACAACAGCCACTACACTACACTACTGCTACAACTACAAATGCAAATATACTACGCTACATTACGCTACACTAATTACACTACACTACGCTACACTACACTACATTAATTACATCTAATTACACTACACGACGCCAATTACACAACAACAACAACAACAACAACAACAACAACAACAACAACAACAACAACAACAACAACAACAACAACAACAACAACAACAACAACAACAACAACAACAACAACAACACACAACAACAACAACAACAACAACAACAACAACAACAACAACAACAACAACAACAACAACAACAACAACAACAACAACAACAACAACAACAACAACAACAACAACAACAACAACAACAACAACAACAACAACAACAACAACAACAACACAAACAACAACACCAACAACAACAACAACAACAACAACAACAACAACAACAACAACAACAACAACAACAACAACAACAACAACAACAACAACAACAACAACAACAACAACAACAACAACAACAACAACAACAACAACAACAACAACAACAACAACAACATACAACAACAACAACAACCAACAACCAACAACCAACAACCAACAACCAACAACCAACAACAACAACAACAACAACAACAACAACAACAACAACAACAACAACAACAACAACAACAACAACAACAACAACAACAACAACAACAACAACAACAACAACCTGCTCCTACTACTACTACTACTACTACTACCACCACTACTACTACTACTGCTACTACTACTACTACTACCACCACGACTAAAACTACAATGACAGCTACACTGCACTACACTAACTGCACTGCAGTACACTACAGCTACAAATGCAACTGCAACTACAACCACGCTACATTACACAGCGCTGCGCTAGACTGATTACATTGCACGACGCTAGAACTACAATTGCAACTGCAACTGCAACTACCACTACATTACAGCTTACACTACACTACACTACACTATACCACACTACACTACACAGCACTACACGACATTAAGCTGCACTACACTACACTAATTACACCACATCACGACTACAACTGCAACTGCACTTGCAACTACACTGACTACACTACATTACAACTACAACTCCACTACACTACACTACAACTACGGCTACAACTGCAACTACAACATCTACAACTACAACTGCACTACACCACACCTGTCGGTCCATCAGTGGATTCGCTCTGCCATCCCTGATTCACAACAACCAACCTCTCCTATGAGTTTCCTATTTTTGAAACTTCCGCCACCGCCTTGTGCGGTACTACTGGTACGTGCAAGGCTGCCACCATTCCATTCAGGAATCTGGATAGAGACATGTCGCTTCTACTGTAAATAAAAACAACTCCACCGGTTTTTTTCTCTGGCTCACTTTCATTGGATACTGTAAATTATTGTAGTTCAGTAACCGGAACCGTTCGGCCATTTTGGGGACAGTTCCCGCAATCTCAACCAGCATTTGCAGAATTTACAGCGATATTTCATTGTATCCCCATTACCCTCCTGCAGTCAAACGTGGCAATGGAAAATCGCCCATATATAGATGTTCTTTGTTGAAACCTCCATTTATATATAGTTGATTTTCTATTGCTAGCTATGTTTGATTACCTAAGTGTAAATCATCATATTCATCACATTTCCGGGGTGAACTTGGCCGAGGACACGACATGGGTGAAGGTATCAAAGAACTTGCAAATGAAACAAGCGCCTGACGTCTATCAGTCAATGGCTGGCTGGGATTTTCCAAATAAATAGGCCGAACATTTGTGTTGACTCATATCGAAACAAAATGAAAAAAAGGCTGGTTGGTGGTTTCAGCCCCTCTGAAAAATATTAGTCAGTTGGGGTTATTATTCCCAATATATGGAAACATGTTCCAAACCACCAACCAGTTAACAAAGGGGTTGCCAAAGATACCACTGTCATATTGGATCGCTTATCTAAACGAAACAGTGTTTTTTTTACCCAGCAGTATACGGTCATGGCTGCATCACCCTGGTCGCATCAAAAAGGAGCCCGTGGCGATTCCAACATGTTTGGGCTCTGGTCATTTAACACTTTGCTATGGGCAGCTTGTGTGGAACATTGTTATAACATGTTATGAGATGTTGCGATATATTACCAGTGTTTACTGTTTACGTTAGTTCGATGATTTACCTATCAACATTTTGTTTTCAAAGCTTTATTACCAGAGGATCACATTGGTACAGTAACTTGAGGTCCATCATTGCAAGAGGCACAGTTCTTTGAGTTTTGGCAAGGCAAGTAGGCAAGCCACCAGTTGCGTACAATTACCATGCCTACCCTTCAATACCCCTTTGGAAAAGAAGACATTTAGTGAGAATTTTCCTCCCAATGCGTGGTCAACACTTATCCCCAATGGATAAATATGACGAACAAGAAAACACTAACCAAAAACAACCCCCCCAAAGAAACACATAATATAGTAAGACGACGACGACAACAACAACAACAATAACTATTTGTCCAGCCATCATGACGCAAGCGTCACACAGAACTGCCAAGCCTTCCCGCAACGTCTCGAGAGCAAAACGCACCTGTTTCTGGTGGCGTTGAAGTGCTGCAGGTGACGTGCATTCCCTTCCTCCTAGGTTCGGTAGTGCACCATACTTAGCTAAGTTGGTTGACATATCTGCAATCCCGTGTCTTCAACTCTAAGCTGATTTCGATCAGTGGAGATGTGCCAGCACGATTTTTCTTCCTTGCTGGCTCTGACTGCTTCGAGCTTGCAATTACAATTCTTGCTTCAATTTCACCGTTTCTAGGTGAAAGTTCTTGGAAAAAAGGGCTGCGAGCCCTCCTCAGACGTTGACAGAGGGAGCAGTCCCGCCACTCCATCGCTGGGAGCCCATAGTACCGGTTTTTAGTCCCAGACCGGTCAGACCTTTATTCATCTAAGCCTTCAAAACATACATTCAACATCATTCAACCATATTCAACCCTTACATCATCATCTGGTCAGAAACACCCCCCATCACCGCCCCAATGTCATCCAATTTCAAACTTGGGACTAATGGTATCTGAGGGATGGTCCAAGTTTCATATTGTTCTTCGGATAAGCATGCCAGATCTGGCTGAACATGTCGAACCAATGGAAATCACCAACTAGTTAACTAGTTTCATACGGAGTCAATACATATCAGTACGGTATTTGTGGGGATGAACATCTATTTGCAAGCTGTTTTAGGGTTCACCAGGGTACCAGGGGCTTTGACCCATAGCCATATCTTTTTCATCCCAAGATTGGCATGGTGCACACCCCAAATAAAGAAAACTCAGGTACATATGGATGCAGCTGCTGATCGGCCACTGCAGCAAAGGCTGAGCTGCAAGCTACCAGTAGCAAACCGATGCTGCAAGTATAGCAAAAACCGAACCAAAATGAACCAAATGTATTCGTTTATCGCGTTGCTATTGAGATATCTGAGATATTTGTAGATATCTTACTATTTATTTCAGTTTGATCCATTCCCCCTGTAACGTGCTCTTCATGCGACCTCTGGCAATTAGATTGCAAACCCTTAGTTCTTGTGACCACCTGAACCTACTACCCTGTCAACTTGACCCTCTCAGGCATGTTTAGAAAACAAATCGCCTTCCAACTGGCAGGGTCTATGATGACTCCGGTGACCTCAAACCATGGGTAGCTGGGGAATCAGGAATCAACATGAGGGATGCCTATGGATATGCCTCTAAGGATACCTACACAGATACCTATGGAGATTTCTATGGGGATACCTCCACAGGTACTTATGGGGATGCCTATGGGGATACCTACACATGCAAATACCTATGGGGATACCTATAGAGAAACCTATGGAGATACCTAGGGAGATACCTACACAAACACCTATGGGGAGATAGGGGTTTTAAAAATACAGTAGTAGTTTAAATCAGGACATTATTATCTATAAATGGTGGATTTCCCAGCAAGCCACGTTTGAGTGTCGGAGGGTATGTTGATTTGGACGGTGGTAACTACCATTTCAGTTCTGCCAGCTGCCCAGCGGGATGACGCCTACATCAATCAGGTGCACGTCGTCGGCCATGTTTCTTTTTGAATGGGTCCCTGCCATGGTATTTATTCTGGTGAATCCCAAAAAAATAAACGCAACTTGTAAACAAATGTCGAATGCAAAATATGTATCCCATGAAAAGAGGCAAACACCGGTTTTGATCCATTCCCAACATCAGTTTTGAGCAGCGACCACAAAGTTGGGGAATGTTGGGGACCGCGTGACCTGTCACAAAATAATTCTATGACAGCTGCGACTGCACAGCAGCCTCGAATTATAAATTGTGGGCAGCGAAGATTTAGCGATGCAAAGGATGAAGCATTGACAGATATATTATGTGGTTTGAACCTATCCCAAAGTAAGTGCAATCAAAATTCATCATTATTGAAAAGATAAACAACTGTTTTTTCTTGACAATGCTGAGCTGATGTTTTTTTCTACTGATTGGTCCCAGATCAGAACTCTTTACACTGGTCACTCCATTGTCAGTCCAATTCCTATCCTTACATCTACCGGTCATAGACATTGGTCACCCAGGGGGACGTCTGCTCAGCCAAGCAAAATTGGGACGGGAAAGACACATGGATCGACTATTTGTTGGCGAAGAAAAAACATCTATAATGGGTGGATAACTATTTATTCTCAATTGTTTTCGTGGGGTCGTCTGAAAATGGACATGTTTTTTTGGCCCTGAAATGGAGTTCCCTAAAATCAGGGATCGCCAATTCCATAGGTTTCACTATTAAAATGGCATGATTTGGGGCTAGCCCCATGACTTCGGAAAGCTCCAAATTGCCATTGAACAATAAGGTGTTTATGATTCTGAACCAGATGGTGACATGAGGCCCCCAAGTCTCAGACAAACATGCGGTAAGTAAGCCTCAGAAAATCACAATTTTTTTCATACGCAAACTATACATCAAACAGTTACAGGAAGGGGCCACATACTTAGCTAAGTTGACTTACAACTAGGTTAGCTGTTGGGTTTTTAGGGGATTGATATGACTATAGTTACTCTGGTTTAAAAACAAATTTATAACTAGGGGGCACTTCCTGTAAATTGCCAAAGAGCATCACCTTCCCCAGGCCAAATTCAGACACGCTTTCTTCGCAAGCCGAGTTTTATGAGGACTGACACAAAGTGCTGTCGGCTGGCTGCCGTTGCGATAGCGCAAAGACAGGTCCCTACCAGGGGGGCTTTGAAATGCCCACCTTGGGCCATACCAGAAAAAAATCCCCTCTAAAGAAAAATAACCCTGCAATGGAAAATCTGTGTGATTGTATCATATTGTGTAAATCATTCATAAAACATGGGCAGGAATTACGTATACTGTGGTTTTCAATTACCAAAGTCCAAGTATCATTAGGTACCTCCTTCAAAAGGAAGCCTTCGAACATTCAGGATCGAAATGCAGGTGACAACGGGCATTTGACCTATAGAGATGAGGACTTAGCCAAGGCAACTGGAAACAGAACAGTAGTTGATAGGTGCTGCCTGTTGGACGCATTTGGGAGTTTTTCCAATCGGCGTCTGATGCAAGCTACCAATGGGAATCTCTTCCCCCTAGTAGGGGCCTGTTAGCGTGCCAGGAATTTCTGACACCTGCGCATCATATGCTCTCCTGGGCCATGGCTGCGACCCTTAGAGCTTTTAAAAATATCGGTATACATATCATTGCATACACATATTGACCGACGAGTGATCACTTCTAGGCATCGACGTTCTTCAGCCCTGGCTCAAAGAGGCGTTGAGAAAACACAAAAAAAATGGGTCCTATTTGGAATAACTGGGGCATAGATGTATTGTTTGTTTACCTCATCTAGGCGAAGCATTACCAATGTGTAGCTACAAATAGGCATGTGCATAGATACAAATATTATATATTGCAATGAAAACATATAACCAAGGAGAACAAAAATAATGAGGTGCACATATATATATATATCTATATTACTCCCAACAAACATGCATGGTAAGGGGCAAATCATCCACTTTGGGGTCTATCATGTCAAGGTTAACAGCTCCACAGCGTGCGTTACCCAGAATGCATAGCAAACAAGTTGTCAGAATGGGAACCTTACTGGTAATGTAATAACTTAATAACGATATGAGACGATATGGTAAAAACATGTAAAATCGAGTTTGCTGATGTTGGATGGTTGCACCCTCCTGTTTTGGTGGTGGCACCCCCAAATGTTACTCCGATGGCACCCAAGAAAAGGCCTCATAAAGGGTTGTTGGACTCGGTTTGACACCAAATTTGCATCAAACCGGGCAACTATTCACACTCCTTTCAACATTGCCAACCGTAGATACCCTAACATTTTTTTTACTGGGCAGCAACTATATATGATTATATACTTAGATATGATATCACATATGGCACCAGTACCAGAGGTTGATTTTCATCACGTTTACCCAAAGGTTTTAGAAGTACCAAAGGTGGCATTTTTGGGCAAATTCCAACTATGCCACAATGGTTTCCCTATTGATTGTGAATTTATCATAATATATCTACCATGAAGACTAGAGTTACTGGAGTTCTGTTTACCTATTTATAGTAGCTACTGTACCCACTTCAGGCACTGTACCACAACATCCCCGCCTCACATGGTCTCCGCCACTGCGGTCACCGCGGTGGCCGTAGTGTCCACCGCCGCGGCAGCCGTAGCGGCCACTGCTGGGGCGGCCGTGGCGGCTTTGAAGGTCAGTTGCTGGATGGCATCCTGCAATTTCAAGGAACATCTTCACCGGGTCTTCCCTGGTTTTCCCCATGACATAGGGGTTCTGATTCAGATTTTATTTTCAACCAATTTTTCATCAGTCGGGTTTTTTGGGACGACGAATCTATATTCCCCGAATATTAAACAACCCCATGCTATGGTGCCAAACATATCCAAACCCTCCACTAAGTCATGGTTTCTGGGGGATGTTTATATTAGGGGGAAGGGATTAGTCAATGGTGTGAATCATGATTTGTTACTGCGATAATTCCTAGCTGATATTACCGCGGCTATGATCAGTTGTATCATCTTAGTTTGTATGTCAATTGTTTATGCGCAGATGACACCGGACTTTGCGGCCGATTTAGCCGATGTTTTTTGGCACATGACGTGGGATTTATGTACCAATTTTGTTATGTTTTTTCTTAATTCACATGACATGGGAGTTATGCGCCGACCTAACGGGCAGGTATTTTCCATTTGTTTGACAGATGACATGGGAATATCTATTGGTATACTATAGTAGGCTATGATTGTTTATCATCATAATCAAAAACGGTGTAATGATGATTTTTGACAATGTTAAATTTTACTATAGTTATTATTATATATATATATCATGGTGGTTGTACTGTGGTAATGTATGCCCAGATTGGGTTCAGGTTGGAAACATCCAGGAGCAAGTCGAAATTGATTTTGTTGCCAATTTTCCTGTGTTTTCCACATGTGTGTTTGCAAAAAAAATGGAAACCCAGGGAAACCATTTGTACATGGATGATTCTTCCCCTGCAATTTTTGATTGCCAGAGGCTAAGCTTAGGGTTGCATGGTTGATCAGCCAATGTTCAAACCCAGGGCCGACATTGCAGAAATTGGAGATACCTACCATACGCATCCTTATGTATATTGTAAAGCTTTTGGTAAAGTTCTTGTGAAAGAGAAACTTCCCACACAATATAGCCTCATGAATTTGGCCTCTTATTGGGCACGGTAGCTTCATTTGGAGTTCCTGGATTGCTCGTTGACCTTGAAGCTGAATGGCTTTCTTTCCACCACAACTAATTAGTGGTGGATCCGTCAATCCATGTTTGGTTCACCAAGCCAACAAAAAACACTTCGCTGAGTCCTTCCATCAAAAGGAGAGGGAACTGGCTATCGCCGAGGTTTTGCTCCGAAACATGTTTTCCACCAATCAAACTCAGAGAAAATGCAGTATCCTATAGGACCAAAACAATAGAAACCAACGAACCCGAATGCAGTCACATAAGACACTTTTGTGGAACAAGTTGTTGAACAATCTTGTAAATTGTTCCATTTTGCCCCTGTTACCGTACCAGTGCACTGTAGACCGTGGAATGTGGAAGGGAGTGGAGGGCAAAGTGAGGAATGTAAAGAAGGTGGAGTGTTGAGTGTGGAATACAGTGTGTAGAGTGTGAAGATGTGTGAAGTGGGGATTGTGGAGTGTGGAGTGTAAAGTGAAAAGTGTGGGGTGGAAAGTGTGAAGTGTAGTGTGTGGAGTGTAAAGTGTAAAGTGTGGAGTGTGGAGTGTAAAGTGTAGAGCGTGGAGTAAATAGTGTGGAGTGTAAAGTGTAGAGTGTAGGTGTTAAGTGTAGTGCGAAGTATGGAGTGTAAAGTGTAAAGTGTGGAGTGCAAAGTGTGGAGTGTAGAGTGTGGAGTGTAGGTGCAAAGTGAAGTGTAAAGTGTGGAGTGTGGAGTGTAAAGTGTGGAGTGTGAACTGTAAATTGCGGAGTGTAAAGTATGGATTGCAAAGTGTAAAGTTTAGGCCGGCGCTGAAGCCCCTCGCGGGCGCACATGCATGGATCAACGGCTGGCGAGGACAAAAGTCCCGGAGCGGACTCTTGGAGTTTTTCTTTTGGTTTTTCTTTTGGTTTTTCTTTTGGTGTGGAGTGTAAAGTGTGGAGTGTGGAGTGTAAAGTGTGGAGTGTAAAGTGTGGAGTGTGAAGTGTAAAGTGTGGAGTGTAAAGTGTGGAGTGTGGAGTGTCGTGTGGTGTGAAGTGTGGAGTGTGGAGTGCGGCGTGTAAAGTGTAGTGTGTGGAGTAAAAAGTGTGGAGTAAAAGGTGTGGAGTTAAAAGTGTGGAGTGTGGTGTAGAGTGAAGGGTGTGGAGTGTAAAGTGGGGTGTAGAGAGTTTAGAGTGCGGAGTGTAAGGTGTAAAGCGTGGCCTGTAAAGTGTAAAGTGTGGAGTGCAAAGTGCAGAGTGTGGAGTGTAGAGTGTGGAGTGTAAAGTGTGGAGTGTAGAGTGTAAAGTGTGGAGTGTAAAGTGTAAAGTGTGGAGTGTAAAGTGCGGAGTGTAAAGTGTAGTGTAGAGTGTAAAGTGTGGAGTGTAAAGTGTAGTGTAAAGAGTAAAGTGTGGAGTGTAGAGTGTGGAGTGTGGAGTGCAGAGTGTGGAGTGCAGAGTGTGGAGTGTAAAGTGTGGAGTGTAAAGTGTAGAGAGTGAAGTGGAAAGTGCGGAGTGTAAAGTGTGGAGTGTGGAGTGTGGAGTATAAAGTGTGGATTGGGGAGTGTAAAGTGTCAAGTGTCAAGTGTGGAGTGTGGAGTGTAAAGTGTAGTGCGTGGAGTGTGGAGTGTGAAGTGTGGAGTGTGGAGTGTAGAGTGTGGAGTGTAAAGTGTAGAGTGTAAAGTGTGGAATGTAAAGTGTGGAGTGTAAAGTGTCAAGTGTTGAGTGTGGAGTGTGGGGTGTGGAGTGTAGAGTGCGGAGTGTGGTGTGTGGACTGTGGAGTGTAGTGTGTGGAGTGTGTGGAGTGTAGAGTGTAAATTGTGAAGTGTAAAGCGTAAAGTGTGCAGTGTGGAGTGTAGAGTGTAGAGTGTGAACTGTAAAGTGCGGAGTGTAAAGTATGGATTGCAAAGTGTAAAGTGCAGAGTCTCGTGCGTAGAGTGTGGAGTGTAGAGTGTGGAGTATAAAGTGTCAAGTGTAAAGTGTGGAGGGTAAGGTGTAAAATGTGGAGTGTAAAGTGTGGAGTGTGGAGTGTGGAGTGTATGTAGTGTGTGGGGTGCACAGTGTAGAATGTAAAGTGTAAAGTGTGGAGTGTAGAGAGTAGAGTGTGGAGTGCATGCCATGCCTGCGACGGATTTTGCACATTGTCACCACCTGACGCAGCCCTGACATTGGTATTCGCAAAAAACACGCAAAGCGACACATCTGAAGTGCTGCGCCTGCCACGCAAAATGACGATGGAGTTCTCCAATGTGCTGCGCCTGCTACAAAAAATGCAACTCATCACATCTTCTGAAAACGACGCAAAAGTATTGCGCCTGCCACACAAAACCACTTTCGACACGTTATGAAACATGTTGGAATGTCACAAAGTGCCACGCCTGCCACGTGAAACGAGGCTACGCGACGTTTGAAACCTCCAAAAGTGACCACTTTTGCAGAACTTGCCATATATAGGCACGGCCATAGCGACCTCATTGGCAACGGTTGCGGACGGTTGCGGACGGTTGCGGACGGTTGCGGTCGCAGAAGCGGCGTCGAGCGAACACGTCCCCACCCCCAGACCCCAAGTAAAATGAGAACCCTGAGCTACGCATTCGGGAATTAAAAGAAGGTGAGATACGGCGTCAGCGAAGCAATACAATCCACACCAACTAATTCTGTAAAATTGTACAAATTCCAGCATCACAAAATTTTGGTAGATTTAGTGCGATTTAGCACGCCAATACCTGGATCTTCCATATGGTATTTCTCCCGTTGCTCACTAGACATGTTGCCGTTCTTGCGGAAAAGCACCCTTCCTGAAAATAAATATAAATAAATGCCGTTGTGAGAAATTGTCAGCCCACGTGATCGGGTATTTTCGCCGTTTGGTCGGGTATATTTGCCGTTTGGTCGGGCATTTTCGCCGCTGAAAAACGGGCTTGGCAGCAATCTATCAGAAGAAACTCTGGTTTGCCCAAAACGGTCGTTCTTGTGCAAAACGATTTTTTTGGGCAAAAGGCAGAAATTACGCCCACTTTGAGAGGCAGGTATATTATATATGTATATTATACATCTTACTTTATATTATATTTTACAGATTATATTATATTATATTATATATCATGTTATATATTATATTATATTATATTAAATTATATTATATTATATTACATTATATTATATTAAGTTATATTTTATTATATTGTTTTATATGATATATCATATTATATTATATTATATTATGTTATATTATGTTATGTTATAATAAGTTATGTTATATATTATATTAGATACTTATATTAAATATCACTTATTTAAAAAAAGTTATATATATATATATATGTTGATATATATATATATATGTGTGTGTGTGTTTATATTTATAAATATATGGTGTGAATATATGTATATATGGTGCAGCGTTGGCCACCCCCCCTCCCCCCCCCCACCAATGGGTATGGGTGGACAGTATCGTCTGGTTCTTCTGGCCCCCCCCTGTGGCCTGTGGTGGTGGTATGGTTCTTCTGGTCCCCCCCCCGCCCTGTGGCCTGTGGTGGTGGTATGGTTCTTCTGGTCCCCCTCCCCCTGTGGCCTGTGGTGGTGGTATGTTGGGTATGTTGGTATGTTGGTATGTTGGTATGTATGTATGTATGTATGTATGTATGTATGTATGTATGTATGTATGTATGTATGTATGTATGTATGTATGTATGTATGTATGTATGTATGTATGTATGTATGTATGTATGTATGTATGTATGTAATGTATGTAATGTATGTAATGTATGTAATGTATGTAATGTATGTAATGTATGTAATGTATGTAATGTATGTAATGTATGTAATGTATGTAATGTATGTAATGTATGTAATGTATGTAATGTATGTATGTAATGTATGGTATGTATGTATGTAATGTATGTAATGTATGTATGTATGTATGTATGTATGTATGGAATGTAAGGTAAGGTAATGTAAGGTAAGGTAATGTAAGGTAATGTAATGGTATGTATGTATGGAATGTAAGGTAAGGTAATGTAAGGTAAGGTAATGTAAGGTAATGTAATGGTATGTATGTATGTATGTACGTAGGTATGTAGGTAGGTAGGTAGGTAGGTAGGTAGGTAGGTATGTAGGTATATGTATGTACGTAGGTATGTAGGTAGGTAGGTAGGTAGGTATGTAGGTATGTATGTATGTATGTATGTATGTATGTATGTATGTATGTATGTATATACACCACCACAGGGGCATCATACCCCCCCCCATCCCATGGGGGGGGGTGGGAACACGGGACACGGGATCATATATATATATATATATAATTATACACATGTATATATATATATACATGGTATATAGATTATGAAATATAATATCCGTGACAATGATCAACATCCATGAGCGCTGCCTTTCCGGTCGCGTACTCGGCAGCGAAGATGCCCATGATGGAGAGCCTGAGTTGCCGGTTTCTTGTGGTGAAAGACTGGAATCATAGGCAATTTTGGATACCCTGTAATGAGAGTGTTAATCTATATATACATATATACTAACGAAAAAAAAATGTCTATTTATATATTAATACATGTTATTTATATATATAATGCATATATATATATATATAATTATACTATGTTTTAAGGTATGTATATATTCCCACTTGTAGCCACAGGATGCTAGAGGTTCATATTAACGCACCTAAAGCTGTCGTCAGACAGAGTCCATCGGGATCATCATCCCAGGTACGTTTGGATATGGCGCCCTTTGCAAACCAACCCCCCAAAAGAAACGGCATCAAACATGATCCTTATTCTACCTCAAGATTTCTCAAGGTTCTTGAAACTGTAATTCTAGCAAAAAGTCCTCATAGCTGGAGTTGGCCTGACTGCGCTCCGCCAAGTCAAGACTGGAAAACTGTACCTTTTTACTTACTAGTAGGACCCAAGTCAAGCACATGTTTCCGTTCGCATTTTTTTTGATGGGCTTCCAAATTGCACCAGTAACAGTCCACCAGTAGATGATCAAAGCCCCGCACAACTGAACCAATCAAGAAACTATAAGAGATTATACTCTCCAAAACATTGCAGTTCTTAAGTGTCAGAGACATTTCCACACGCCTGGTTTGCAATCGTTTTCCCTAAATTTACCATTTTGAGGTATACCCCCCGATAATAAAACATAGTTTCCTGGAAAATTCCCCGTGTATAGCATAGATGATTTCCACTCCAATTGCAGGTGGATTCCCATTGCCACGTTTGACTACAGGAAGGTGACTGCAGTAGTTAACCAGGAATAAATAAACCATCAATCAACCATCAAATAACCATTAATCACCCTTAAAGAACCAGTAATTTAGTACCCATTACTTAGCCATGAGTCAACCTCTACTAACACCCAGCCACTCTTCGCAACTGCCACTGCCAGGTGACATGGCAAAACGGCCGTTGACCAACTCACGGTCGCGCATTTCCACCGAGTAGCTGCCTGGAAAATCACCATTTCAACAAGTAAATCAATTATTCATGAGCAAATTGGGCCAATTCCAAAACATACAAGTAGCAAATAGTAGCAATGTCAAATTCTCGGAGAATATGCGAAATGCCCGAAAAGGACAACTGGCTAAGTTGACGCACATGACTTGTTTCACTATGGTTTGTGGCAGATACCTGAGAAGGGAGGAACGAAAGCCAGGGGAGTGCGGAAGAGGTATGAGAGGAGGAGTGAGGATAGAGGAAGATAGAGTAGATATGGGAGAGGAGGTGCAAGGGGAACACGAACAAGTCTACGACGACGAGCGGGCCAAGAGAAATCTTTTCTAGACAACCATGTTCACACGCCCTTATGCAATCGTTGCACCCATAATGGTCCCACATCGGAGCCCGACAGATAGGGGTAGAAGAGTAATAAAGTCACCGTCTGGTAAGGAGATACATAAAGAAAAGTAGCCATTGAGTTCCCTCCTTTCCAAGCAACGCCTTTGCCCTCATCCTGTTCACCATCCTTTCCCTTGTGCTTTAGGCAGTTGTGGAGCTAGAGCTATGTACTGTGCTCAACACTCTAGTACGCAAACCAGCCATTGACATTGACTTCCTTACACTTCCCCGTGTCCTTGCTTTCCTTTTTCCAAGCCCATTCCTCTTTCCCAATGCCTCGATGTTCGGCAAACCTATCAATCCCCTCCCCGCCCACCCTCTATCAATGCCGGCGACATTTTCTCCCGAGGGCACGGACCGACATTCCCTCCAGGGAACGGGCCAGGAAAATGTCCACACCTTGCGCCAATAACGGTCCCATATCAAAGCCCGAGGGGTAGAAGAGTCAGCATAAAATGGTGTGAAGTAATATCCTGATTCTGGATCTTGAGCTACGTGCTGCACTCAGCGATCTGCTGTCATTCTATTCTGCTCTCTATATTTCTATTCTGGTGTCTATATCGCCTCCCAAAACGCACCTCGAGGGACGGACCAGGGGGGAATCGATACCCCACCGTCACCCAATTGCCACCTGGCACATGACCCTCAAAAAAATGCTCAAAAAACACGGCTCCACTGCAACTGAGACCGTGGGCCTCTTTGGCACGCTCTGCCCCCAACCCCCCTTAACTCATTTTGTTCGCAAAAAACTTCGCCTAGCCTGCGGCTGGCTTTCGTAATATCGAACTAGTCGCTATGGTTTATAAGCCAACTTTAAACTGGAGCGGCACCACCTTGCATGAAATATCCCTTTCAGTGGCATCATTTTATCACATATATATATATATATATCTGTGTGTGTCGCATTTCTATGATCTATGATCAAAAGACATGGTTGAAACCACCAACCAGTGAACATATGAACGCCTTTTTAGGATTTTTTCATGTGACTTTGTGGGCATAAATATACATAATATAATGCTTACACATTCGATCCACAAGAGAAAGATCTCAGCGTATGGCCAGTCCCATCGAATCACGGCTCAACCTTTTGGCGACCCCGCAGTTTTTGAAGTTGCACAAAGCATAGTAACTAAAGTAACTATAGATACAGTATACATATCTCTCATATCTTGATGGGAAATGATTTAGTGTCCCAATGTTTCCCATCTACTCGGGGATGACTCTACTCCAACGAAAAGTTGTCGCCTCCGCCAAGACCGGTCTGGCTCCACTTGGCTGGGTCTCCAAAGTTGCCTGGCTCCTTCTTGTCATCCTGGGCCCCAGTGGAAACCGCGCAAGGAAGTGGAGATCAATCCACAAAATCATGCTTGTGACATGCTAGAATTGGACCATGAATGTCTGCAAACACCAAAAAGGTGGATTTTAATCTGCAGCAAATTGATCTTAACATCCCAACAACAGTTTTTTTTAAAGAACACACATCTGAATAAGTTGCTTAGAAACACATCACGAACCTGATATGCGGCGATTCTAGGATAGTTTCGGTTACTAACCATCAATCCAATGACGTCGCAATGAGGTCGCAACAGAATTTATCATAATTTATCCAGATATCATGCCATTCTATCCCCATTTTCTTCCTTAAACTCTCATTCTTTCTGGTTGAATCATCATCCCTCGGATTTTGGGGATTGAATGCTGCCTATCATTGCCTATCTAAAAACAAAATATATCAATCCCATCATCCATTGTATCTTCATGAATACCCATGGTTGAGCGACCGGCTGGGTGTATCATAGTGTATATTAAACTGCTATTGTTGAACTCAGCTCCAGCCGGACATTGAGCTCAGCGGGTATCATTACCATCACTTGAGAAGGGGTGACACGAAAGGTAGTTGTGTCACAGGGGACGCGGGGGATCACTCAGTGCGAAAGCCGAGCGGAGGACAAGGGGGGGGGGCATGGAACTGGACACTCAGAGCAGAGCGGAGATATCTGGATCCGAAAAGAGAGCACCCCACGATGTCCATGGTTGCTCATCACTTAGTCCATTTTTAAATAGCCATTTGGAGGTATACAGTGTCTGACACACACATCGTGCGGGGAAAAAAAAAATACGGTCAGTGTTAGCACAAACTCCACTGTGTCTTTTTGCGGTACCTATGGATGCTCGAACCTGTCACTTTCATCGCACCGTTGGGTACGGGGCAAATGGATGTCGAAAAATCCGCATTGCAAGTCGAATGATGATGATGAGGATGATGATGATTATGATGGTGATGATGATGATGAGGATGATGACGGTGATGCTGATGATGAGACACTGCGAAGGGGCTGCTGCGTGAAGAGACGCGCAAGGCATGTGACGAGAGTTCACTTGGGGGGAGGGGCATGGAACTGGACATTCAGAGCAGAGCGGAGATATCTGGATCCGAAAAGAGAGCACCCCACGATGTCCATGGTTGCTCATCACTTAGTCCATTTTTAAATAGCCATTTGGGGGTATACATTGTCAGACACACGCATCGTGCGGGGGAAAAAAAACACGGTCAGTGTTAGCACAAACTCCACTGTCTTTTTGCGGTACCTATGGATGCTCGAACCTGTCACTTTCATCGCACCGTTGGGTACGGGGCAAATGGATGTCGAAAAATCCGCATTGCAAGTCGAATGATGATGATGAGGATGATGATGATGATTATGATGGTGATGATGATGATGAGGATGATGACGGTGATGCTGATGATGAGACACTGCGAAGGGGCTGCTGCGTGAAGAGACGCACAAGGCATGTGACGAGAGTTCACTTGGGGGGAGGGGCATGGAACTGGACATTCAGAGCAGAGCGGAGATATCTGGATCCGAAAAGAGAGCACCGCACGATGTCCATGGTTGCTCATCACTTAGTCCATTTTTAAATAGCCATTTGGGGGTATACATTGTCAGACACACGCATCGTGCGGGGGAAAAAAAACACGGTCAGTGTTAGCAAACTCCAATGTGTTTTTTTTGCGGTACCTATGGATGCTCGAACCTGTCACTTTCATCGCACCGTTGGGTACGGGGCAAATGGATGTCGAAAAATCCGAATTGCAAGTCGAATGATGATGATGAGGATGATGATGATGATGAGGATGATGACGATGATGCTGATGATGAGACACTGCGAAGGGGCTGCTGCGTGAAGAGACGCACAAGGCATGTGACGAGAGTTCACTTGGGGGGAGGGGCATGGAACTGGACATTCAGAGCAGAGCGGAGATATCTGGATCCGAAAAGAGAGCACCCCACGATGTCCATGGTTGCTCATCACTTAGTCCATTTTTAAATAGCCATTTGGAGGTACACATTGTCAGACACACGCATCGTGCGGGGAAATAAAACACGGTGAGTGTTAGTACAAACTCCAATGCGTCTTTTTGCGGTACCTATGGATGCTCGAACCTGTCACTTTCATCGCACCGTTGGGTACTTGGAAAATGGATGTCGAAAAATCCGAATTTTCAAGTCGAATGATGATGGTGATGAGGAGGATGATGATGATGACGATGATGTTGATGATGATAATGGTGATGATGACGAGACACTGCGAAGGGGCTGCTGCGTGAAGAGACTCACCAGGCATATGGCGAGAGTTCCCTTTGGGGGGGGGATGGGGGGGGGGTCCCTTTCTCCTGGTCGTTCAAGGATAAGGGGTCCAACCCGCCCCTTTGCTTCGCAAAGCAAAACTCAAGGTAGCAGGCTACCTTTCGTGATCATTTTGTTCTGGGACCAAGCTATTCACTGAGCGCAGAAAGCTCCAACCTGCTTCCAGACATAGAGCTCCATGACACCGCAGGCAGCAAAAAGGACGGTGGCGCCAATTTGGCCTGGACCAAGGCCACCGGAAGTTCTACAGTTATGGCCCTTTAGCAGTTATAAGTTCTTAACCCCATTTAAAGGAATGTATAATCCCATTTGTAACCAGTTATAAATAGTAAGCGGCCATAACTGTAGGGACAATGGTGGTAGAATGGGAATAGAATGAGAATAACTAGGGAAAATGCGGATACAATGGGGATAATTATATTACATGATCTACAGTTAATGAGACTAACTATAGGAAAAATACAGAATATAGAGAAAATGGTGGTAAAATCTAATCCCCATAATATTTACAGAAAGGAGCGCTGTGAGCCCGTGTGTCTTTATGGTGTTTGTGAGCTACACATATTTAACACCCCCGCTTCATGGTTCACCTTAAATATGTAATTCGATGTAAATCGCGTGCGAAAGCATGGTTTATGGGGGATTCGTTTTTTGGGGGGAAAAAGGATTAGAAGTGCCATACCGTACAGTAATTATTAAACATAAACGTGTGATATATCTTTAACTGTATTTACACAAACATATACATATACATATATATATATATATATACACAATTATACACATATGTCTGAATTATTAGTCTATGAAATTGTATTGTATACCTCTTGTGCATGGGGTGCAACAACCCTGACAACTCAAATTGAACACAAGAATGGAAACTTCCAGAAGGAACATAATCTTCCAAACCAAATTCTCACAAGAAAAATATCGAGTTTCTCTGCCAAGTTTGCTGGTTCACAGATTCTCCAATGGAAGTCTCGGTGGCCCCCATTTTGGGTTATCCCCCCAAACGAACGTGCTATTAATCCCCTCAAAAAAAGCAACTATCAATGGGGCAAGGAAAACTGATACATTATACATTATCTGAACAATTTCCATGCTCCTTCCATCCCCTCCGGTTATCTAACAATTTGCTATGGAACATGGCCTATAGAAATAGATGATAAACATTACTTTACTATTTAATCTATGATACACATGATTCTTTACCTGTTAATGTTGATCCTTACCTATTAAGAATATTGATTGTCCAGTTTGCAAACCGTTCACTAACCAGAGAGTTAAAGATGCTTAAATCCTATAAATTCCCATGAAATATTCTACTCATATCCCATTATTCCCATTCCAAATCCCAACATAACCCTATATTATAAATCCCATGAAATCCCTATAAATCCCCATTATTCCCATGATTATCGGATATCTATCGGATATATTGCCCTCGGCTTGTACGGCAGCGCTCCTGGGGTAGATTGCAGCGCGGCGAGGCCGGAAGGAACATCTTGCAAGCCTGGCAACCTTACCTCAGGCCAGGGGCTGAATGTTTTTTTCCCCAAGAAAGCATGACAAATTGATGTACCCTCTGGTAAACTAACATAGCTATGGCATAGATGACCCATTTATGGTTGATTTACCAAACTTAAAGATTGTGATTTTCCATGGTAATTGTAAATATTTTTGGGGACAAAAACTAATATCGATGCAACATTTGATGTAAATAACATACTGTACATATGATTGTAAGTATTGATGTGCACGTTGATGTACATATTATTGTTGCGAACATGATAAACTGTTAAATATATATATAAACATGTGATATAAATATCGAAAACATGATGTGAATAAATGGCAAATAGTGATAAATTGATGTACCTCTCTGGTAAATTAAGCTATGGAAAATCACGATCTTTAAGTTCGGTCCGTTCGGTAAATCAAACATGAATGGGTCACCTATACAATAGCCATGCTGGTTGGTGGTAGACCTACCCCTCTGAAAAATATGAGTTCGTCAGTTGGGATGATGATATTCCCAATATATGAAAAAATGTTCCAAACCACCAACCAGCATGTTATATAGTTTACCAGAGGGTACATATTGATGTGAATAAACTGTAAATATGGGTGTAAACGATGATGTGACTTGGTGCACATTGCTGAAGAGAACCACCGGTTTCAATAAAACAGGGCGAGCTTCGTCCGTGGCTGATACGACATGTTTATAGCAACGGCACAATTCGTGATACTTGTTCGTGTGTGATAACATATTCCAACGAACTACACTAAGTATCAAGAGGTGCCATGTGTCCAAACGATTTCAGCATGATCCATGACAAGGTGGTAGTCACGCGAAACAGGGGGAAAAACAAGTGGACCCAGAAAATCTGTCAATAATTGGTCTGCGGGTTTGTCTGAAGATGGGGGCGCCACCAATTCCCGTGTCATGAAATGTCACTTGTCATGCAGGATATACCCGCCATGGTTGTCCTTGTTTTTCTTCAAATATCTCTTAGTTACATTCCGTAGCTAATACCAGGTGAATACAGTGTGGAATGTGCATTTGCTACTGCAGCATTTTTTCCATATATGTTATATGTCTACATGTTTTCGAAATGGTTTCCCAAATTAAATGGGGTTACCCCTTTATCCCTGGATGGTTGATTTCCATGGGAAAATCCCATCAAATGGATGATGACTCTCTCCATCGCCCTCTCCATGGATGGTGACTGGGGGTATCCCTTCAGGACAGCCCCACATTTTCCCGTTAAAATCTCCCGGATATACCTCACCCATTGGCTGCCAGGAAGCGTAGTGCTGCACCACGGCGCCTGCAGCGGCCATCATGGCCACACCTGACGTGGAAAGAAACTCAGTGGAATTTCAAATGCGTTGATACCCTCTGGTAAACTAACATAACTATGGAACATCACCATTATTAAATGGAAAACTCACTATAAATGGCCATTTTCAATAGCTATGTTACTTTAACAGAGGGTAATACTATTACAAGTATTATATGTATGTTTTTGTTTATTTTATATAGTACTATTCATAATATACTCATTTAGATTTATGTATTATTTAGTGTGTTTATATACATATCATATCTACCATATTGTATATATATATGTATTATATATATGTATTATATATAATTATCGTAGAATTAAAATGCATATACATATGTGTGCAGATGTGCGCAGTATCTATCTAATCAATTATTCATCATTGTAGTCATTGGAAAAAACTGTACATCTTAGATAGTTTCCGTCCACCCTCGGTATGCTCTGACGATGTAGCTTTGTTAAAAGCTTGATCCGATCATTGGCCACAGATTCTTTTCTTCGGTGTGTAGTGAAACAATTTTCATCCCTATGGAACCCCTTTCCTGGTTGTTTTACACTCTTGATTTAGCAAATCATGATTTTTTAGCAACCTTAAGGGGGAAACAAAAATGAGTTTGTCTTGCCTTCTATGGCAACTTGGGGATCGCATTTTTTTGGCAAATGCCAGCACATGCTTTAACTATACCTGGACTGCTGTTACGCGCGCAGTATACAAAATCCTGCATTTTTTGAGCCGTCAAATATTATGGATACTGTGTATCAATCTGTTGTTCTGGCCGAACAAACTGCTTACCAAGAGGGATGTCCAAGTATCTATCAATCTATCAATCCATCTACCACGGTCTAAACCATTAAAATCCAATGCCCAGCTGCGTCCGTGCTTGATCTCAGCAGTGCGGAACTTGCGGAAATTCTTCTCCTTGGTTCTCACTCTGCGAGGGAAAAAAATCCCATCTCCAAACCCACGATGTTGTGGGACAGACCCCACCCGGATCTATCATCAACTTCTATGTTTTTCCCCCTGGGGTTTAAAAACTCTACGAAGCGCCAACTTTATGCATAGAGTTGCGTCCGCGCATTTTCTTTAATTGATGGTAAACCCCAATGATAAAATTTGGTGGTACAAACGGGCTTCACTATACTGTATAAGTCGCACATGCACATCTTACGTACGCACACGCACATAACAGTCACAATCAGCGAATCAATGGGAATTTCAGGATCCTAAAATGGAGGTACGTTAGTACCATTTTTAAGGCCATATGTTGTGGTGATATTCACTTACATAGGCCTTATATAGGCCTTATATATGGCAGGTACCTCCATTTAAGGATCCTGAAATTCTCATTGAACGAACCCTACTTACATTTTCCCCAATATTTTGAGGTCTTTGATCCTTGAAATGGTGAACAGTTGCGAGGCAGCCAGGGCTGATCTTATCCGATAACAATCAGAGTACAACAAGCGAAACTGAGGATTAAATCGGATTCAAGCCAACATGATTTGATTTTGCATAAGTTTACACAACATATGTTTTTTATTATACATGATAATGATCCAGTCTATGTAAACTTTGGCGCAACGTTTCACCAATCAGCATTAAGCTTCATCTTCCTTCACAAAGTTCAGGGGGTCGAAGAAACCCACCGGCTGCAAATTCCCTGGCTCCTGGCGAGTCCATGGCTTTGGCCAGATGAAAGATGGTTAAAGGAACAGCCCTCTGGTAAACTAACATAGCTATTATATAAAAAATGCCTTTAAAGTAAGTGAGTTTTTCCCATAAAAAATGGTGATTTTCCAGAGTTACGTTAGTTTACCAGAGGGTATCAATGTGCCAATGCAGCAAGATTCAATGGATTCGTTGCTGAACGAAACTCATCACCGGAGGCCAAAGTTTGACCAGCGGCGATTTTGGGGGCTATTTGTCCTGAACAAGTCCTAGGTTGTACGAGAATATAACGTGGGACATAGCCTTCAACCAATTCCACGAAAAAAGAAGAGTAAACTATCTAAACCTCTTTCAAATTCATGTTTTCGCTATCCCAAGTGGAAGAAAGGAAAAAGAACAGGAACTTGGAACACACAAGAAAAATTGAAATTAAAAAACCTGCACTCAGAGTTATGCGAAACAAAAAAAACAAACGCTGGACTGGTTCCCCCTGTCCTGCGACGGGTGCCATGGCTTGGGTGCCTCCAAGCAACCGGAGGAAGATGGGGGGTGGGACAATCGATACATGCCCTTCGGAACATTGGTATCATCATCATGACCGTCATGATCATCATGATCATGACGATCATGATGACCATCACCACCATCATCATCATCATCATCATCATCACCGTCATCTTTCGAGCTGGGGTTAGTTCCCACATGTTGCTAGGCTAGATGTTTTCAAAAGAAAACACAACCTTTTTGTTATACACCGCGGCCACCAGGTAACACAAATCATTATCTGGGGTTCTGTTCCCTGTCCCTTAATATGCATTCATATGTTACATCCGCGAAAGCACATTGATTGAGGGTAAGAAGATCTAGTCAGTTTGGGCCACTCATTGCGGGGACTCAATCTTAGGGAGAAGAAAGGAGTACATCATCCATAAGGTGGTTTAACACCTCTCCCTTTCCTCTTTCTTGTGGGTTTTCTCAAACCCATTTTGATATTTTGGAGTGCTTCGCTCGCTAGGGCAAGTAATTACACTTCCAGCCGGCATGCCATTGTTCGGACTTTACACATGTCACATGTCCCATAAATAAAATCCATCGTGGTCCACCACCATTAATGAAAAAGAGTGGTACATCCCAATGCCCAAAATGAACCATCAATGGGTGAACTTTTCAACGGCACCTCCTTGAGGATGCCCTGCAGGGCAGTTCCGGCAGCCACCACAAGTCCTGGGATTTATACTGGAATGTCGTATGAGGATGATGTCAGTGGAAGATTTCATAGGATTTTATAGGATTAAAGCATGAATAATGGGGTTTTACACACTCCGTTAATTTAACCATTTACCATATGGAAAACCACCATTTTTTTTTCAAGTTCGGCAAGTCATGGTAAATCAGCGAACTAAATGGTAATGTTCTGTAGCTATGTTAAATTACCATAAATTACCGGAGTGCAAGGGAAGGGAGCAATGCACTAATCATGGGAAATCTTGGGAAAATGCAGGGAAAACGATGGGAAAGTGACATGATGGAGACAATAAGGGAAGAGCAACACAAATGCGGACTGGAGTGACAATTAGCTCGACTATGACCATCATCATGCCGGCAGATCCTCTAGAAGGACGAGAAACAGTAGTCTAGAGATTGGGAAGCAGCAAAAAACATATCGTTGAAATCCTCACTTTCTAAGTTCATTCCTGAATGACCACTGTTCGGTATCCAGCACTTTTTGGCGAATCCATATCTTTGCTTCTTGTTGGCAAGGTATATAGACATCCAAAACTTTGGGCAGAACATTCAGTATAATTCAGTATAATCCACCTGGGTATGGGTCGAAGCAACGGGGGCAGAAAATCCTTTAACAATCAAGGAAATGACCGGTCATGTGTACGAAGGCTATCCATCTCAAACCGTTGCTAAATAGCGCTACCGCTAAATATCTTTGAATTGACCAATACATCGTAAACATCCCAAATGCTCCATGGTGCTGGAATATTTAAACCAACATTTGCCCCGTAAATGACGGTACCCGGTGGTTATTTACAGATGATCTACCAGGAATGGTCATGTTCCATAGCTATTCCATAGTCCATAGCTATGTAAAATTAACAAGATGGTAAATATACAGTAAATATACTATACATGGAGATCATGGCTATGCAAATCTTATAATCTTCACCACTTGAGCCATGAAAAATACCCCTATCCCTATCCCCTTATACTGGTTGGTTAATAGCTATCCCGCAATTATGGTCTATGAATTAAAATCCCCATTCAATCAGAAAAAAATCAAAAAAATCATCACCTATCTCTCCTATGGTATTTTCTTCATGGCTCACGTCTGACCACCGGAGATGACTTTTTTCAGCACCCGGTGGTCAGACCCCACTGTCGGTCGTCCTACAACGCCACCAATGACCAGACCGAGGAGGTTGACACCTGAGCGAAGAGACGACCCAAGAAGCTGCTGTCAAGGCACCAATGGCCGCCCTTTACCGAAAAAAAAAAAGTGACGAAATAATCATCCATGGTAAATGGAAATAATGGACATAGTGGATTTTCTATTCCATTAGACTTCTGAATTGAACTTGTTGATCCCATAGTTTGATTGAAATCGATTGAACTAGATCCCCATGACATCGGATATGTTTGGTTTAAGGCTGTGATCCCTATTATTTCAGGTTACTGAAAAATCCACCATTTATCTGGCAAATTCTAATATTTCACTCACCTGAAACTTGCGATCAGCCATGGCAATGATTCCCCCATTCCAATGATGCCAGTGAGGCTACGACATGAGGTCACGTCATAAAAAAGATATTGCCATTGGATAATCATCAGCAAAAATAGCTAGAGAATCTGGAGAAGTTCTTTTTTTTTGGAGTTGCTGTAATCAAGAACAAACTGGAGTTCACCAGTTTAACCATCGGAAATATCATTGTGATATCACCAGCAACATAGCTGGATTTCAGCAGCACAACCAGGACGGCTGAAGCAACACAATGCTAGTTGTTTGTGAAAAGTACATGCAGGGTGGTGCCCCAGTTCGGAATTGCTAAGTTGAAATAAGTCCAATAACTATAGTTTATAGGTGATATATCTATAGTTTTCATGGGATTATATCCCATTTATAACAAGGGGGCACCACCTTGTGATGAGGATAAATGACTGTTTGATAAAGGTTGATCCCCCAGAAATAAAGACCCTTCAGAAAGCCCTGTTATATACTGTAAGGGGCATTTCAAGTTTGAGCCATCATACTGGGGCTGGTCCCCATTTGAAAGTTTGTTTGGGCTATGGCATACGGAATCCAGCAATCCCCACGACCCCTTTGCACATGGGACATCAAGGGACATCAAGCGCTGCCCATTTCCTCCATTCGCACCCATTTCCTACAATTTCTAATCAAATCAGCCAAACCAAGGTCTAGATATGGTCCATACAATTAGCCCCTGATGGTATATAAAATCCTATATCCCCCAGCAAAAAGGTGGACAATGGTGGACAGCTTTTCCGCTTTCTTGAAAACCTGGCCAGCCGAAGTTACTGCTGCCTGGCAACCCTGTTTTGGTGGTTCCTTGGTCAATTGAACAGTTTTACCGACCTGACACAGCAGCGCAGCTCGAGTCGGGGGTTCACTCTGTGGTGCTGTAGCTGCTGTCCAAACCTTTCAAGTGATTCTCGTTGAGGGGTTTCAATCCATACCAAAAGGTCACTTGGGGATCATCCTGAACTGGTTGGTGGTTGACCTACCCCCCTGCAAAATATGAGTTCGTCAGTTGGGATGATGAATTTCCCAATATATGGAAAACGAAAAAAAATGTTCCAAACCACCAACCAGTAAAGTTACCAGGGCTGAAATGCTTTTTGTTCCATAAAACGAGTGGTTTGTCCTGTCGTCGCCATGTAAAGACATGGAAAGCGTTTCAGAAACATTGGTCAATTGAAAAGTCATGAGAAACCTCCGGCCAGTGATGTTGGGGCCTCCCAGGGTGATAATAAAAGGAACATCAAACACTTTACAGTTTGGCGCGATTTTTCCAAACCTCGTTGCAGAATCCAAGATCTACACGTGATTCTGTTGTTATACGACCATTTGGGGATGATTCCCCCTGATGTAAACCACCATCCCCAAGTGAGCTTTAATTGGTTTATTATCCGGTATGCTCCTGTTTGGGATGATGCAAAAAGGCCCCAACATGATTGGTTAATGGGATGGTTTATTTGTTTTGATAATTTAGCTGTTTGCTATGGAAAAAAACAACAACTTTCTATATTTAATAGGTAAATCATGATATTTATATGTTTATCAATGTTTATCATCTATTTGTATGGGCCATATAGGCCATATACATGTTCAATAATATGTTAAATAACCAGAGGGTACCACACGCTGTTCTGGTTGGTGGTTTCAACCCCTCTGAAAAATAGTATGAGTTCGTCAGTTGGGATGATGACATTTCCAATATATGGAAAGTCATAATCCAGCCATGTTCCAAACCACCAACCAATGTTTGATCTGCTATTTTCTGGGTACCAAAGGTCCAGGTCGTCAACCCCCCAGCGGCCTTGACGTCGACTTCTTCGCCCCCCCGTGCCCTCAACGAGGTGCGAGTGGTGTGACGGCCGCCCAATGGCAACATGAAGCAGCTGCCGACCTGGAGCACGGGAATCAATTCAATGGCCATTTCAGGAACTGATTGATTAATTAGTGGTACCTACCATAGAAAAAAGGCCTATGTAAGGGCTATGTAAGGGGATATATCCCGAAAATATGGTCTTATATTGTACAGTGCCCCCATTCTATCCTGAAATTCCATGAAATTCCCATTGATGGGGACTCACTTCTTGGGGATCTCCAAATTCACCGCCAGAGTTTCAATACTAAGATGGTCTAACTTGGATTTGAGGGTACCCATTTGAGGAAACCCCCAAAATCATACTTTGGAAGATGGATTTGGCACATGACTTGGGACATTGATTTTTAACGATAACGATAAGCACTTCGTTCAACTAAGATACGCCTCGCCGTTTATCAGGCTTGGCAAAGTACTCGGGGACGAACATGGACGTGGCAAGAGTGATGATGGCATCACTACAACCACCCACACAGTGGAAAGTTCCCCTAGCCCTAAACAAACCTGGGGATGCCACTTTCATCCACAAATGATGGATACCACCTGAAAAAATGATAACTGGATCCAAAAAACAAAAACTCCAACAGCGAAGACCTATCTTGCAAAGCCAGGTTCAAGGCACAAATTTCCACGACTTTTGTTGCAAACTCGGGATGAAATTAACCTACATTATAACCAACAGAACGGAACTTCAGTCACTGGCAGAGTCACTGGAAAACTGATCGAATAACAACCAAACTATGGGCAATACTGGTGAGAATGTGGAAATACCAAAGAGGTAGAATACATAAAATTGACACCCTGGAAGTTCAAAAGAAATCAACAAGTGGCAATGATAGAATTCCTATCTTCCTGTCTCATCTTGCGAATGCAAAAGTAGTTTTCGAACGCCAGCCAAGTTGCGACGGCAAAAGCCATGCCGGCCAAAAGCAAGCATCCTAAATTGGCCGTTGAGGATGATCATTGACAGTGAACTCAGCTGCTCATCATCATCATCATCATCATCACAGTCGTGGCTGTGGAAGTACCGAGAGGGACAAAAATGAAGCGTCACATAAAAAACACCAGAATGTGTCAGAACGGGTCCAGTCTGAAGTGTCAAACAGAAAACATCAGAAAACGCAAACTAGCATGATGCATACTGTTTCACTTTTCATAGGGATGCTGCTTAACCTTGAATGAAAGCCGCCTGCTGAGGATAGAATCTAAATGCAATATGCTTGGTGGCTGGCTTGCAGCTGGTCAGTAACCTTTGTTTTGACATGGCTTATCTTAAGACGCCCTGCAAGGAAAAAAATGGTAAAATAATGTAAAATACTAGGTTTCTCCACTGAATGGCTAATCAATGCTATTGACCCACCAACTGAATGTTTTAAAACCAGTTGCTGTAAATTAATCTGAAAAACCGTCCCACCCATTCATGTTGGACACCCATGTGTTATGAGACATGTTGGAGCAAAGGCACGTGTGACTGCCATTTTGTTGAAGGGAGCGGCTGCGGATGGTCTGTGGGGGTCTTGGCAAAAACCTTGATCCATTTGGCAGCGGTTTCATTGTGGGAACCAACGGATCCATATTCTTCATCAACATGGTTCCCCATTGTTGTCTGGTTGGTGGTTGACCTACCCATCTTGAAAAATATGAGTCAATGGGAAGGATGACAACCCATATATGAAATGGAACATAATCCAAATGTTTGAAACCACCAACCAGTTGTGGTTGTTGCTGTTGTGGCTGTTGTTGTGGGTGTCCCTCTACCATGCTTGGAAAGCACCCAAGTCACACTAAGTTTTGATGTGTTTATGTGCTTCACGTTCGTCAATTTTTTGCCATGGTACCCATGACGATTTTGCCGTTGAAATGCCCATTGTTTCGATCCGGGATTTCTGAGTCCGCCATGTTTGAGGACACCAAATCAATGGCCATTTCAGGAACCCCAAAGTGGAGGTACCTACATGTACCTACCATATATAAGGCCTATGTAAGGCCTATGTAAGGGGATCTGATATACCCCCAAAATATGGCCTTTTATGGTACAGTACCTCCATTTTAGGATCCTGGAATTCCCATTGACCAAAGGTAACATATACGCCATTAACCATGGTAACCCATGGGGTATCCAGTATATCCAGTATCCATCACTATTCCACTCAAACACTATGAAAACCAAACATAACCAGTGTCGACCATTAAACATCACCAATGGGTTGCTTACATGTGAAAATTCCTGCTTGGATGGCTATGGTTAAGCCACTTCTTCTCGTATCCCGTTGCCCAGGGATGAGCCACCGGAAAAAACCCACTGATTTTCCACCCACCTCTGCACTCAAAATGCTGCCAGCCACGATTTCCTGTGCTGATTTTCATAGGGCGCTGGCCGCCACTGGCGTGTCGGGTATAGGATCACAAATGTCACCACTGGCCGCGGGACAAAAGATTCTCACCACAAATGTTCAACGCCAAAAGCAACGATATGTATGTATCTATCAATCTATCCATCTATTGTTCTATTCATCTATCTAAACATCTATCAATCTATCCATCCATCCATGTATCCATGTGTCCATCATTCCATCTACTGTATCCATCCATCCATCTATTCATCCATCTATCCATCCATCCATCCATCTACCTATCCATCAATCCATCTGTCCATAGATCCATCCTTCTATATGCCATCTGTTCATTGTCCATCCATCGGTCCGTCTATTCATTTTTCCAGCTACCTTTTTCTTTCATATGTATACGTATGTATACATACACATATATATATATATATCTATATAGTATTGTACATATACAAATATGTATTATATATCTAATTATGTATGTACACCTGTTATTATATGTACTATATACCTACATATGATCAGTGTTGGACAGTCTTGCCCCTGTCCACCCTTTGGAGTTCAAGATGGCTCAGTGGGTGGCTGAGGTAGTAGCTATTTGAACTGCAGCGGGGTCTGCCGGGTCTGCTGTTTGGACTTTTTTTTTATAGATCCGCCATGAGTATATCTTCTCCTCCACTTCCCAACAAAAGAAAAACTACACCGTGCATATAGGCCATCTCCCAAGAAAAGCAGCACATCTAAGCAAGAACATTTAAGGATATTAAGGAGTTCATATCTATTCCGGAATGATCTAAATATAATGATAGAATTCAGAATGATAGATAAAATGAGTGGATGATTGCTGATTTCCCCCCTCATTGCCATGATTGTTTGCCATTTCCAACGAAGTCCTTGGATGGAGGAGGGAAAATGAACATCTGCCATCATCTGCCCATCTGGAATAGCGCTGGATCCTGATAGTTCTCCATATGTTCGCCTTTGGGGCCTCCGGCAGAGCCCGGCGCCAGTGGAAGTGATCTGATGCTTCGTGGCATGCTCAGATCATCCAGGTATCAATTGAAATGTGTCATTTGAATCATTTGACCCTAGGAGATGCCTCTTTTACCCAATTCTGCAGGTGCTTTTTTTGGGGGCAAACATGTGAAAAAAACAAAAGGTACAAGCACCGACTTCCATGCCCATTCAGTACAACTATTGGGGGTACAGCCGGAGGGGGCACATCTTTTACCATCCTTTGAGCCTTGCAGTGCTGCAGCCCCAAAAAAAGGTACAGACAGCCTCTGTCCACTCCAAAGCCACCATCAGCCACAACCTGGGGAGGGGATAGCTTTGCCCAAGAAGGGGCCAAGAAGGAGCCACCTCAAATTCCAGATCTTTATCAGCATGTTCAAACGTTTATCTATCATCTATGAAGTGCTAGGGAAACTCAAGTCGTAGCTCCAACAGGCTCCCATTTTATCGGAATTTTTGAAACCGCTCCTTCCATTCACTACTGGGTAACACTTAATAGTTGTGTCAAAAAATATAAACAATGCATCACCAAAGTGGCTTCAATAGATTGAAACATCTTTATATTGTCAAAGTGACTGACCTGCCGCTCTGAATCATCAGAGGATGGGGCACCCAACAATGTCCGCAGTCCGCCCCACAATGGCTGCAGCATGCTCGATGTTTTCGGACGAACATACCTGCGGCACGTCTTCCGGGCTGGTTTGGAATCCAGGAGACCTGGGAGTTTGTAAGCCAGCAATACTGGCAAGTGTGGTTGAAGATAGACAATTGAATCGCTTGAGAATGCAAGACAGTCACCACATGCCGCCACCGCAGTTACAACAAAATAAGAATGGGAGGGAAACCGAACCCATAGATTAAACGAATTTAAAAGACATACGCTTGCATGCCATCCAATCCCCAAGTAAACAAACAACTTAAGAGCAGTTGGGTGTGTCTGAAAAGGGGGTATGCCACCCATTCATGGCAATTCAACCAGTACAGTATCATGATGATTTGCCAGTGGATTTAGAGGTGTTCCATGCGATTCCCGTAAATTTTCAGGTACCAGGTACCACACATTCATTGAATCAGGTGACTGACAGCAGCTGGGCACGTCTCCGGTCCCATCTGCCCCAGTCAACTCAGTGAAGTTCGGACCTGGCTGCTGTCGTTTTGGCAAAGAATGGCCAAAGATGCCCCGTAGAATTTTCGTCGCAGGAATTAGTTTTCTCAAATTCACAAAACCAGCATTAACCAGCCATACCATAGTCATTGCTATCCACCAAATCCTAGGGATTAAGAGGACTTGGCCCGGCAAGCTTGAGCTTGGTAAGTGATGCGGCTTGCCCCTGCAGCGCAGGAACCCAACTCTCCGATTCTGAAGGTATTGTGCTCTCTGAGTTTCTCTTCATTTTACATGAGCCAGTGCCAATACATGCCACTATGATATATCTGGTTGGTGGTTTCAATGGGGATGATTATTCCCATATATTATGGAAAATAAAAAATGTTCCAAACCACCAACCAGTATATGTCTTGTGGGCCAGAGTGCATGGTTCCCATAGTGGGTTCCCTGATGTCAACCGCACAATTGTGCGTTACTCTCTAGGCTGGTCATTTCACATGTCGAAAATCCTCCAGGTGCCCGCTGGGCCACCCTTACGGCTCAACAAGTCCTGGCATCCAAGGGGTTGGAGTCTCAACTCGAAGTCGAGGATTTATATTGGGAATAATGGAGAATATGGAGAATATCGTGGGAATAATGGGGATTTATGGGAATTTCATGGGATTTATAGGGTTATTTTGGGATTTTGAATGGGAATAATGGGATATGGATATGAGTAGAATATTTCATGGGAATCTAAAGGGTTTAAGCATCAATTGGATTTCGGTAAACCCTCTCGTTATTTAACGCTTTGCTAGTAGGCAAATCATCACAAATCATCTGTAAACGGGCCATTTTCCATGGATATTTGTTTCTTTTTAAGTCCATCGATTGATCGTGAATTTAAAACATGTTGGGCACTTGCCACCGACAGTACATAAATCCAACCACAAACCAGCCCCAGTGTCCCTTCTGTTTGAGATGTTTGGGGTTTTGAATGGTTTTGAAAGCACAACTGCATCCAAAAAATGTGTATCGGATATTTCTCGGTTTAACCATGTAGATTCGTATAGAATTCACAGCAGCGTTTCATTGGTTCACCAATTTCAATATTTTCCATGGACCCAGTTGCTGTGCATCCCAGGCACCTTAACTCACTGACCGCTTTGGGTCAGCTCGAACTTTGATACACTTCCTGTACCGCTCTTGGTGACGCCGGAGCACTCACACTCAGGTGGAGTCCGAGTGAATGACGTAGAGGAAGGTGGCCATGCGATACTTCCAGACTTCTTTCATTTCCTTGGATGCAGGTGGTTGACTTGATCTGCAAAACTGGAAGTCAAGTGATGCCAAGTGGAGATCATGATGCCCAAGATGGTATCAAGTTGAACCCCCAACTCGATGCATTGCAGCTTGGATATCCCATGAAAGTGGTTAGTCGATGCTAAGTTGGCACTTCATGTGGACGAATCTTTACTTCCTCCTTTACCAAGCAAACATGATCTTTTGTGCATAAACTAACACAATTCAAACTCTTAATGACCCAAATAGATCCAACATACTCATCATTTGCTGCTTAAATGTATCTTCTTGGTTGAGTTTGTCCTCAGTCTTGCCATTTTTTGTTCAACTCCAACTTGTTTGAAACCACCGTCCTCTTGGTACGTAAACTCCCGTTTTTCCCCAAGGATAAGGAAAGTACCAGTGGCTGTTTCTTCTAAGGAAAGCACAACAAATAATTAAACTTATAAACTCCAATTTTCCTTCAAAGACCGACTATTTCCAATATGTTTCCATATGTACCCAAGAATGCCAGCACAAAATATGATACATGTTTCAAACAAAAACATGTTTCACAACAACATATCTGATCGGATCACATGTTCCTATGTTCCTTTTCCCTAGTTTTCAACAGAAGTCACTACTTGAAGGATCATCCCGTTGATCTTACAAGATCCTATAGGTTGCTTGGCTGTCAATCGGAATATCATCCCAGAAAAAAGGTGTGAAATTCCCAAGAGATCGCATGAAAGGAAGAGGAACATATCCATTACAGAGTTTGGTTTACATATAGATATCCCAACGCTTCTATTTAATGATGGGAACTTTTGCCTATTAGATATTTCAAGGGAATCCCTGGGGGCGTGGGGATGATTCCCCTTTCTGATTCCAGTGAGGTCACAGTGAAGTCAACCGTGGTTTATTGGGATAACTATAGTGAAGTGATTAATAGGTGATTAATAGTGATTAATAGGGATTGATACAATAATGTCCTTTTGGTAAAAATAGGTTTGGGCCGGTTTGGTATACCATCTATCATCATTTACCTGTTGTTAAAGGGGTTTCTGAAGAAACCCCTCTAAGAACCAATCAATGGGAAAAGGACATCTATGAAAGTCATTATATATAATATATTATAATTTACCCAGATGATAATGGGGCATAGTTCGTGGGTAAGTTATCTCACTTTCTAAGCAATGAACTACACAACCATTGCCATTTATAGTATATTGGGAAAAATATCATGGGAAAATATGTGAACATATAATGAACAAATAATCCGTTGCCAATAGGATATTCCCGTTATAAATAGATGAACACCACTATGAGGACAATCGAACCCAAAAAATGGGAAACTCATGGGAAAATAATCTATAAATGGGAGTCACCCAAAATATAATGAATGTAAACATCTAAATAAAAAAAAATCTAATGATGTAAATAGATATGCACCCCATTTATCCATTTATAGATGATTTCCCAATAGATAAACAGCCCATATTATAGCTACAGTATTTTTTTGTTGGTTTATAACTTCAATGACTATGGTCTATGATACTTATAACCATACTTGATGGGGTTTATACACCATTTTTTTATATAGGATACCCTCTGGTAAAACAACATAGCTATCGAAAATCACCATTTATAGTGGATTTTCCCATGAAAAATGGTGATTTTCCATAGCTATGTTAAATTACCAAAGGGTATTCCCCTATAAATATCTAATGATTTTCTGATGGCTTCGGGAAGCCGAGGCACCGCACGGTAGCCGTTCAACTGGGCCTCGTGCCGGACGAAGGCGTCCACGGCGTCACAGGTGGGCGCAGGGTCCTCTAAGCCCACGGTGAGGGCGAAGACCTCAGGTTACCCTCTGGTAATTTAACATAGCTATTGAAAATGACCATTTATAGTGGATTTTCCCATTGAAAATGGTGATTTTCTATAGTTATGTTAGTTTACCAGAGGGTACAAGCTGTGGATCTTTAGCATTGTGATTTCATGGTGATTTATATCCTCCATAGACCATAGTTAGTGTAACATGATATAACTATAGCTGATATGGGGTTTATAAACCAACTTATAACGTTAAACCAAGTGATTCTGGTTGGTGGTTGACCTACCCCTCTGAAAAATGATGGAGTCCGTCAGTTGGGGTTTATGCCATTCCCAACTGAATGGAAAAATAACAAATGTTCCGAACCACCAACCAGGATTTCATGCTGATTTAGTGGAATTTGATGGTGATTTTGGCTGGGGATTTAATGGTGATTTAGTGGAATTTGATGGTGATTTTGGCTGGGGATTTAATGGTGATTTAGTGGAATTTGATGGTGATTTCATGGTGATTTACTGGGATTGAATGATGATTTAATGATGATTTATTTAATGGGATTGAATGATGATTTATTGAGACTGAATGGTGATTTTCTAGAGTTTGGTAACTAGCAATTAGCAATTATGATTTATTGGGTTTTAATCATGATTTATTGCATTTATTAAGGCTCTACCCCCCAGCCTCTAAGAATTCCCAGATCCAAAATCTGTCAACTTTCCTAGACCCCCCAAGTGCCCAATAAAAATAGTTGTTCACCCCAGAGTTCCAGTACTTTTTACATCTTTTTACCATTTTTGTTGGGGTATTTGCAAGGTCTAGGTCTAGGTTCACCCAAAAAGACACCATAAGATCCCCCCCATCATGGCCATTGCCACAGCACGGCTCGAGGCTTGGCCGGATAGCCGAAGCGGAAGTAGCGCATGACGTCGGCGGCGGGGCAGAGCCGCGCGCTGCGCGCCCCGATCAAACGGCACTCGTAGTCGAAGAAGGCGCTGAGACAACGGAAACCAACGGAGGAGTTGGCACAAAGCCAGTGATCTAAGCCTGAGCCGACATTTTGGGGGTGTAGTTCCCCTAATAAGGTTATACTTATATATATATATAGGTGTGTATTAATAGATAAATAGATAATATATATATATATATAGCTACAACCTCCGGATGTGCAAAAAAAAAACTCGAAATTGAAATTGCTGTGTTTCTTTTTGCGTTTCGCCCAAAAAAACGTTGTTTTTTCATGTTTGCTCTTTCATGTTCTTCCCTATTTTATCATGAAATTTGGTTGGCTACCTCGCAGCCTTCAATAACCCCAAAGAGATCAAGTAAAAAACCACAACAGAAACCAATGACTGATTACCTTGGACACTTTGGAAGAAGCCTCTTAAACTCAAAGGAGCCTCTAAGTGAAAGAAAAATTATGCATCCCTAGAACGTTGCAGAGACTTGGCTTCTCCATCGCTTAGATTGAACACAAAAGCAAATCCTGGCAGATTCTTTTGTCGCTTCATTGGCATTTGCCCTGTCCATCTAATCTGTCAGGCATTTGAGCTTCAGGATCAATACCTTTCAACAACAACAAAACACACACCAATCTGCTCAAAAAAATAATACGCCTTTTTGCTGGCAAATTACGTTTTTTCGTGCCGTTGTAAAAATTGTATAAGGATAGGCCGCTCAATGTGACAGATTCAGAATTTCATTGCTTCACAAACACCCTTCTAAGTCCAAATTGCCACCTGCTCAACTGCTGCGAGTTAGATATGATTATGATCGAGAAGGATGCTGCAACAGAACCCCTGTGCCAAATGAGCTTCCCTGAGATGACCTTGCGATTGACCTGTTTGGCATGTTGTACTTAACTCAAGAGTGTATCACCTTCTTCGCTTTCATTTGATGACCATTTGGTTCTAAGAGTAATTCAAGAGAATGTTGTCTGAAAACGAATCCACATAACAGCGTGCAGGACCATGACACATGGTAGAAGGCCAAAAAAAACCATCTAGAAGGTCAAAAAAAAGAACATCCAAAAAGCGCTCGAAGTCAAAAAAAGTGGAACTACCCCAAAAAAGTGTTTTCCCGAAAAACAAACAAATGTCACGTGTTTGACGATGCAGCATATATTTCACCATAGTTGTTGGGCCTCCATATCCCAACTTATGGAAGTTCTTACCATAGCTATGCCGCTATGCCCATCGATAACCCCAACTGAACCCACAAGAGAAAAATCCAATAGGATCCAAGAGGTTTCTGGTTGTCATCGTGAATCTGAGATAGGTTTCGATACCCTGCAAATAAAGGACTTAAGATTCAAGCTGGCTCAGAGTAAAAATGAGTAAACAATCCCATTTGTTGATGGAAAAAAGACTAGCCTTCCGAGGTTTCACCAGGTGTCGTTGGAGACAAGGGTGCAATGTATTTAGCCATGCTCCTGGTCATCACTACAGTGATTCCAAATGAGAAGTGGGCTTCGAATTTCTGCAATTTAAAAGAGTTACCAGTTAAAGTTACTTGTGCTTAGTAGGGAATGAGGGAATGATCCACAATAACTATCAATAATAATCCCATTCCCCCATTCCCATCCATTCCCTACTAAGCACCAGTAAGTAAACAGTGGGTACTGGCAAAGCATGGCCCGTGCCAAGGATCGTTGGGAGCGCACACCCGGATAAAACTCGGAATTGCGGACCATCTCCTCAATGCATCCAAGCGTCATGTGACGTGAATCTTGAGTTGTGCTTTGTCTTGTCGCAGGCTAAAGGTCCAAAGTTGACAATGTATATCATGAACGTGCATATATATATATATATACAAAATATATACAAATATATATATTGTACATAATATATATATAATATGTAATTAATCATATGTATAAATTTATATGTGCATGTGTGACTTTATGTGTATATAAAAAGAAAGAGCGGTTCAACTCACTACATGAAATCACAACGCTGATCCCACGATCCCCCTGGCTTCATCACTGGCATTGAGCCACGTTGTTGCAAATGATATGGTAAGTACCTGGTAAACATACAAAACGCCATTGAAAATGGCCATAGAAATAGTAAGTTTTCCCATTGAACATTGTGTTTTTCCGTAGTTATGTTAGTTTAACATGGTAAGTAGATGAAATCACAGCAAACCAAACATCTGATCCACCTGATCATCCTACGTACAATCGCTGAAAGCTATGCTAGGCCAAAGTACACATCAACTCGTCATCTTACAATCAGCAAATCTAGGCAGCATATCCCCTATGCGTATGAAAAAATACCACGCATATCATACTTTTCTAGGTATCAATCACAGCAAAACAGAACCAGCAAAAACACCAACCTCCAAATTTTCACATTTTACACACATCACCAAATGCGAATTTTACCCTCTGGTAAACTAACATAGCTATTGAACATTGCCATAGACATAGTGAGTTTTCCCATGAAAAAAGGTGATTTTCCAGTTCGTTATGTGACAGTGTACCAGGCCGGGTACCATGTTCTGCTGACATTTTCCGGTGATGTTTGGGAGAAGTTGTCACAACCCGGACGACGACTCACTGGTGAAGCAACGAAGTAGTGGTGCAAATCTGCCTGGGGCATCACCTCGATGAGTTGGACAAACAAAAAAACGCAGAAAGCTGGGAGGTTTCCAGGAAATATTCAAAATAGTGGTATAGCACCAACACCAAATGAATATATATATATATATGCATCTATATATATATATATTATAAATACATATATATATATATATACATCTGCAAAATATTGTATAATCATATTTGTTCAAAATGCTTATAACAAATTATACCAGATATATACTTGAAAACTACCATCTTCCTCGAGGTCAAAATGCGGTTTTAAAATCAGTGGACATCACAGAAAGGATTATGTGTGCAGCCTATCTCAACTTAATGCTGGAATCCTCAAAAGGTAAGATTTACCACCCCCTTGTAGTACCACCACCAGTCCTACAAGATAGTGCTCCCATTTATGTTTCTGGCTTATAACCCCGAATTTAAAAAGACTGCAATTCAATGTCAATATGTCATAAATCCCACAGTTATTTTGGAATGTTTATTAAATATTATAAGCCAACTTTGCCATGGAGAGTGCCCAAAAAAGGACGCTCTCCATACGTCTGGATCATGGAGGTGAGCAAGCCAATCCGCTTGCTATCATCCCACTAAGGTTACTGCTGTGTCTTTGTAACCCACATGAGCTCCCGATTCGTGGCTTATGCCATATGTAAATATATATATAATTAATTCCAAAGAAAGGTTCTTAACCACTTAAGGTCATGATACCCGTGATATCCCCATTATATCCATGGTTCTTATCCAAAACTATCGTTGCATTTACCAAGTAGAAACCACTTCAGCTCAGACACCACCTGCTGGCAAAAGCGAAGCTCTGGCGCAATTTTCACCAGCTCCCGAAGGGTTCCATACATCGGGGTGTCCTGGTTCAAAATCTGGCGGCGAGAGAGAGAAAGAGAGAGAGATATATATATATATATATATATGATATATGTGTAACACTAGTGAACCCAACATTGAATAAACAAAAACAATCAAAAACACACACATATATATATATGTGTACATGTATCTAGTTGTACATAATATATATATATATATACACTGCTAATATGTAACAGTAACTACATATGCACAGGCAGTATTTATGGAAATACCTTTGCACCGTGTGGGAAAGAGCATGAAACCACCAAGTTCCTCTCATGCTGGGGCAAGAAATGCAGTTGGAGTCTGTTTCGAGGCATGTTCCGGCAGTCAACCATGGCAGGCTGGGCAAATCCCTAAAATGAAGATTTAACTGGGAACATCATCTATAGATGGGTACCTGCCCTGTGAGGGTAGAACCAGCAAACAATATTGAGAGCGATAAACAAAGTTAATCAAAGTTAAATGGGGTGCATCAATGAACATCAGGCTATAGCACTATAGCAAGGGCCATTCTCATGATCATCTTCATAGAAAATGGAACAACATCAAAATCAACTGCCAGAACGGGCCTCCCCTAGATACGTGAGTTGGTTTGCATGTCATATTTCACTAACCTGAAATAGTTGATTTACCCATTAAAAATTGTGGTTTTCCATAGTTATGTTAGTTTACCAGAGGGTATATCCCCACGATACTATTTAATTGTTCCTTGAAATAAACATTTCAGCTTTCTTCCGCGGCCACGCTGCTAAAACCAGCAGAATATTCTTCGAGTTTGCAAGGCATCCCATGATATCACCGGCACCTCAAGGAGGAGAAAGGCGGCGCGTGGATTCTGTCTACCTGGCTGGAAAATAGACTATAAATTGAGGTTGCAATGGGCAAATCAATCATAAACCCAATCATCACAATATAAATGCTAATAAACCTACATAAAGCTACCAGTCGGGGAGGGTTATGTGATGGTAAACCTAGCAGGTGGATCCCACATCTGAGGATTGTTTACTCAACATCAATGGGGTCATTTTGAATGTATCCTCTGCTACGCTATGGAAAATGGCCCAGTCGAAATCGTTGATTGACCTAATTTACCTATGAAACATGGCGATTTGTAATGACTAAAAGTTGCTATTGAAAATGACCCACTTAGAAATCGTTGATTTACCAAACTTAAAGACGGTGATTTTCCATAGCTATGTAAGTTTACCAGAGGGGTACATCTGAGTTTTCCATCCAAATCACTAGAAATAACAAAATGAAAACGAGATTTGGCTAGGGTGGAGGGTGAAGTTGATGACCTTCTGGCCACATACATTGATATCTTAATACATATTATCGGTCTGTCCTGGCATCAGGTATGCCCACCTGGATCTCAAAAAATGAGGGAATCCATGGGCGGCATGTGCTGTATCCCTGGTCTCTGATCACAATCTAGTACCGTACAATATCATACAATCAATGAAAAATCAATTACAGTAAAATATCCATTACAACATCATACAATATCATACAATATCACAATTTGCAATATATGATATTTGGGTATAGGGGTACCCCCAGTCATCATCCATTTTAGACGGGTTGTCCCTTAGAAACCATCCATTTTGGGGTATCTCCATTTATGGAAACCAAACAAAAAAGCTAGATTTTCAGGATGTATCCCCTGAAAAATAGCCCTGAAAAATAGGCCTTATATATGGTAGGTACCATTCCAGGAGAACCTCCATTTGTGACCGGGATCAGCACCGTCAAACCCGACGCGGCGAACTCCCTTCTTAAGCGCCAAGGCGCAGATCTCCAGCGTCAGACGTGCGAAGGCTGGATTCACCTTGTCCAGTTCTGTGGCTTGCTTAACCTATCCATGTCAGCCCCGGTAGTTCAAAGAGATTATATATATATATAATTCTGTATATCGTATATAACATGTTTATATTATATTATAAACTCACACACACATGTCACATATATACATATATAATTATAAAGAGTGTGTATAATAATGATCTAAACTTCACCGACCGTCCACCGGAACCTCCGAACCTCCTGCCTTGTCCTTGATGGCTGCATGGGTCGGTGGCCGCTCTCCGGCTCCGTAGTCCGAGTCTCGGACCAACCAATCGCGGCCTCGGCATCGATTTCCTGCGAGGGGCCCCAGCGATGTTGACTTTACAAAGCATAAAAGTAAAGCCATGTTGTAAAAAAAAACAAGAAGATTTGGTGAAAGTGGTTTGTTAGAAGTAAAGCCATTTACGTCATTTTACAAACCATGAAGCACTTTCCACAAGATACCATAAGCCATAGAGCTTGCTGATGTTCTTTGAAAGTGAAGTAAACATACATTCCTGTATCTATCATAAGTGATTCAACTTGCTTAGTTCTAAAACTTCAAAACATGTCATAAAGCAACTTATCTATGAAGTAAACATATGGAGGCTTCCGAAAATGATGCTATCAGAATCATCGGTATCAATACTAAAATGGTCTAATGTTGGAAACATGTGGGGTTCTGTATTTTAGGAACCCCCCATATATCTACCAGAAACCATAGAAGTTGCTTAGTTCCTTTTAAAAAAAAACTTACTGTAACTTTTTTTATAAACCAACTTACTTATCCAGGAAGGGAACCACTTCCTCTGATATTTTATTTAGTTTAACTATGTTTAACCATTAACCGCTATCGATCATGTTCTCTGAGTTTAACTAACCTTTATAGTATAGACATAAACACATTGGTTTCCTCACTATATACCGTTATATATACACAATCATGATTGGTCATTTACCGCGTCATGATTTTCTGGATCCCATGGATTTTCACTTTCTGAATTTCCCGTGGAAAAAAATACCACCGTTTTCCAACATTTTTCCACATCTCGGTTGATAGTTCAAAACAGTCAAAATCCCTATTGTCCCATCTATTAACATCTAGTAACTGTGTTTCCCCATCATTCCCATCATTTCCCTATCATTTTCCCCATCATTTCCCCATCATTTTCCCCATCATTTCCCCATCATTTTCCCTATCATTTTCCCATCATTTTCCCCAACTTTCCCCACCTTTCTCCAAAGTGACCATGTTTCAAGCGTTCGAAGGCAATGGCCTCTACGGCGCGATGGGCGGCCACCTCCAGACCTGGAGGCTATGGCAATGCCATTTGGTGGGTGAAAACGCCGGAAAAAATGGGAAAAACGTTGGAAAAAGTGGGACAAACCTGAGGAATTTTTGGAACATCTGGTAAAACTGTGGGTAAAATCTGGTAAACATGTAATTAGGAAAAATGAAGGAAAAGATGTGGGAACATATGGGAACATGTTGGGAACAAATTGGATGATAATTGGTTGGACAATTTATTGAAACATGTCGGGAAACATGCGGGTAACATGTCATTACCCACATGCCTGTACATATTGGTAAACTGTGGGTGGGTTGAAAGGGAATATTGATCGAAAACCATGGGTTTTAACCAGCAAATTACATGGGTTTTCCGGTTTCAATGTTCCCATCCAATCCTGGGAAATGGGGATTTATGTACCGTGGGTCTACGAATTCCAAATTGTGACTTTGGTATTCTCTAAGTTCACTGCATTTCATGAGCGGCTTTTGGTGGTGAACTGATGCCTTTATTGTGAAGCTAATTGGTGGTTTCGACCCCCCTGAAAAATTAATATTAGTCAGATTGGATCATCATCCCAACTATTGGGGAAAATAACAAAAATGTTCCAAACCACCAACCAGGAAGTTACTACAGGTAGCGGCAGATTGTAGCATTCTCTACCCATGATTCAATTCAACCCGCCTTCTGAGTTCCGCAGGTGATCAGGCAGCACCAAATCAGGTTTCACCTGCGTTTCAGCCGGTGAATGATGGTCATACGGAGTCATACGGGAGAAACAAAGTCATCAACTTGGACCCGCATCATTTTTCAGAGTCAAGTTTCTGTCAATCCACCAGCCATGTTTCTTGGATTTTTTTGGTGTAATCTCGGTGTAATCTCCACGTATTCTGATTATTTCTGCACCTGATTCAACTCCTGCCACCAGCGCAGTCTTGCCGAAGCTTTTCTGGAATCTGTCACAACATCCTGAGAAACAACGGGGTGGATCTGCGGATCGGACGAAATAACGCATCACGGGTTCGTTTGCTGCGAGCGATATCGGGGCTCACCAGTTAACCAAAGTGAGATTTAACTATTTTCAACCACCCCACATCTGGGCACAGTAGGCCCTGGGTCAATTCATTCAAAATCGAGGTGTGGACTCCATAAATAATGGCCGCGTCAGTTTTTGAGGATCTCTCTCTCAATCCACTTTTTGGAAGGGGGAAACAGTAGGATCCGTACCCAACGCGATGACATGCGGTTTGCGGTTTGCGTGCTGCTTTCCAGGCTGCCCTCCTACAGGTGGCCTGTTGGGTGAAGCGACCACTGGTCAAACAACGTCACGCCTGGAATGCAAGGGCAAAACAATGTCTACAATTGGTGCAAAATCAGAGGTTCCAAAACAAAGAAACCATAACAAACCACACACCAGCCATTGATATGCATTGATTATGTCATCTGTTTTGGCTAAGCATCATGGCTCCCAGGTTCTGGCTCAAATCCGGTGCTTCCATGCCCGACTGATGGGCTGACACCAATATTGTTTTGACCCTGTTTTTTGCTACACAATTCCTGTTGGATTTTAATAGATGCTTTGTCAAATTCATCATATTTTGCTACAAAAGGCCAATGCGTTTTTTATGATGGCCTACTATTATTAATATGATTAACATGCGTCCGTCATAGAATAAAACTCAGAAGCACTGCCTATAAAATATGAGAAAGGACCTGTAGGGATCACAAGGCCTCCCTTTCAGTAGCTTAAGCTCGAAGGGAATTAAGCAGGTAAAATCAGGTGTATATATAATCATATATACATGTATGTATGTATGTATGTATGTACCAGAGCCACCAAACGGCTTCCCATTGGCTACTGGAAATTGAGTTCCCCAACGGCCGTCCATTGACGAGCCATTATGATACTTAAAATAACAACATAACAAATCGATGAATCTTACCCCAATCTATCATTTTATTGCTATTTCCAGGGGGTTCAATCATATCCCTAAAGACATCATCATAAGCTTATACATCCACCCACGCCAGAGCAGCCTTTCTGCCAACAAGAGCGGAGGAGGGCACTCAGGCCCGGTTGGGACACGAGCTGACCAGTTGAGTTGATGGATCAAACATTTTTTGGGTGGACTAGCACAAATATAAACCATCTATTCTGTCAGCTGGCGTAGCCATCTGCAGCAAACAAAGGCAGCATACCTTTCAAGGCACTGAAAACCCAAAGTCAAAGGTGTGCATCGTTGTGCTAACCTTTTGACTTTACCAACAAAATCCTCATCATCATACGTCGATGCCAGCAGCGGATTGCAAAAGCGGGATTGGTCTATGACCAAATGGTCAAGCCTTAGATGTCATGCTTAGGGGCCCACAAAGGCACACATACAAATGGACAATTTGAGAACTTAAACAAATGTGTAGTATCCCAGCAACTGGTGGAATTTTGGCCTGATCTTGTATAACATGATCTCATTCTCAATGGCCTCACGTGCCAAACCTTAGATTCCGATTCAACATGATTCAAACCAAACCAAACAGATGATCATTGGTGTAATTATTTTTTTTGGTCCACTCATGCTGCTAGAAGGCAATTGTGGGCACTATGCAGCAAAAAATTTGAACGTGTGAGGACTGATCGGTTCTCCACATCCAGCACCGGACCAGCATTCCGATCCCTCGACATAGATGATCGCATAGCCACTAGATTCACAAACAGAGATGCCCGCAACCTAAGATAGCATCACACACCCCAAGATTTAACTTAACACTTCTCAAAGATAGGAAAATCACAGAGTTCTCTATGCCCAGGGGCGCAGCGTGTTCATCCTGTGGATTTGCCTGTGCAACTGCCAGGGTCACTCCCTTGAGCCACTTTGCCAGAACAGCTGCTTCCTTAGATAGGTATTGTATGCTAGACCCACTCTCAAAATACAACTTACAATATCATTCCCACATCTTGCAACAACATACTATGCAATCACAGGCCAAGGCTCACTCCCATTGAAATATTTCTGCACTAAAGTCGGATAATTGTTCATACCCAGAGGGTACAGTTGTTTCCTCAAGAAACCGATGAGATAACATCAGCTGATATCACAAATGCACAAGCCACCTAACCCAAAGCCCAGGCACAAGGCTGGAAACACACCCCGGTTTCCTGAGCATTTCAACTCTTTGAAATTAACGCACGTTTACACTGGTCATAGGAACTAGCTAAGACGGTGATTTAAGATGTGTCCAACTGTCCAAATACGAAGAAAAGTCTCTGATCCGGTGTCTTTTGCACTCACGCGCAAAGTCCACATGTGCCTGCCGAAGTCGTTCTTCCTGAGTATCGCCCTGCCAGACGTCATCATTCTTGATGAGCTCCACGATGGCCTGAGATGGGAATGCAGGACAAACCACGACAAGCTCTAAGTATAATAGGTAAAACATGGTAAAATCAAAAAAAACGGGGAAACTACAGAAACCAACGAAACACAAGAGACTCAACCAAAGACAGCTGACACTTGCAGCAATTTCTGGAGTAAGTGCTAGGTCAACCAAGTGAAGCCAGTCTGTAAACACCATGGAAATGTCAAAGCCAGGGCATCTTACCCAATGATTTGGGCGGCTGCCATTCACAATGAAGTCATTTGTTGTTTTCAAGGTCGCTCTATGAGGTGCATGTTCACCAAAAAAGGTGTATATGTTGGGCCCACTCGTTCTCGCATCACAGTACATGCAGCATTTATCACTAACCCACGAAGTTGTCAGCTTTAGGGCACGTTGCAGATATTTCTGATCTCCTTTCAACGCAAAAAGGACCCCTCGATATGGACCACAGATAGGTCCAGACAACGAACGTTCATATGGCTGCCCATATGCATCCACATTCATGAACCTGCCCTCTTGCAATTCTGTAAGTGAGTAAACCACCCAGGCATCGAGACAATCATAGGTTTCAGGCACACTTCGATTGACATCCATGACATATATGAGAAAGCGTTCATCCCAGGAAGATCTTCCTCGAGTAAGTGGGCTACCTATGGTCAACACCGTGAAACTCCTTCTGCGGTGCGAATCAGCATCATCCCCATGACACAGAACTGGAAACACTGTGCTCAGATCGATATCCTTGGGTAAACATGGTTAAAAAAACGCATATGTTCAGAAAATAAACGCAGATTGCAAATGGGAAATGGATAGCGCACTCAAATGCAAACAAGCTTCTGGGTCCGACAGAATGGGATGGTTTTGAAACCAAGGGTTGGATCTTTGCGCATTCCAAAAAGCTTCCAACGCCTAAACCAGCAGAGCTGCATGAGGTGTGTATATATATATATATACCGTATGCCTAATTAGTGCAAATTACTCGCATAAAAAAAAAAGCCTAGGCACACCAGGTGGCCCAAGCCAACGGTCACGAAATAAGTTCACATCATAGCAGTACATTGAATGGATCCTGAACCATCCAAACATTGCAGGATGAACACGTACAAAACCAAATTCTTGAACAAAAGCAGGCTTGCGTACCAAACACATTTTTTGCAACAGTAGTCTTTTTGGAAAAACAACGTGAAACAGAAGAACATGTATAGTGCAAGCTAGGGACACCTCACTTGGCAAGAAGAGATGCCATCGATCCAGATATGTAGGAACGGGGCGGCTTTGATCCATCAACACAACTTGTATCCTGGGAATCAGTGTCAACAAATGGGACATAATGGATATACACTGGGGTAACACTGGTTATAAGGTCAACCCTCCAGAAGAATAGACAAGATACTCTTTGGGTTTGGGAAGCATTTGTCTCCAGGGTTGTCTGTGCAACCAGGCCCAGAAGCGGCGACCAGCATGTTTGGTATCCGTCTCATCGATCTTCACCAAATCTCTCAAGTTGGCCCTGGGATAACACAGTGTGTTTTCGCATATTGTAATTTATATCTTGTGGCAGTTAAGATATTCCAGTCACAAAATGAAATTGAACCCATCCTCTTTGTTGCATACAAAGTTACGGGAGGTATTTTCCAGGGATACGTCGGCGAAGCACACCCAGGAAATCAAGCAATGTTTGGACACTGACCTGAGTGAGGAAAGTGAAATAGGGGACCCAATTTGATGTTGGGGCAGAAGTGTGTACATCCCAAAAAATGCAGCAAAGTAGCATATCTTCCTAACTCCAAAAATTCCTCCACCAGGTCCATGAGTCATAGCACATGCCAGTGAGCTTAAGCATGTGCAAGTAATGCTGGGCCCCCAACATCTATACATAAATCAGTGTAACATCCGTGTATTTGCTGAACGTGTTGTAACCCCAAAGGTGTAAAGTTTTCCACAACATCCCACGACTGATCCATGAATACCTGCAGTGCCAGTTCAAAAATGTATGGTTTATGAAGTTCCAACTGCACTACTTCAAGACTGGATAATGTGTCCACTCATTGATCAACAAGATGCCATGAAATGCCTAATTTTCGTCCACAGGCATCAACCCCAGAATGCCTATGTTCCAGCATGGCTATTGATGCCATCGAATCACCGGCCACGACAGGCCACGAAGAAAGACTACTGGCATTTTGCCAAAGTCAGCACGGCAACCCAAGATCGAACACATTGGATGTCATACATCAGGGAATGATTTGAATGAAAAACAGGAAACATACAATGTATATAGTTACCAATGACCAGTTGCAAGATAAAGACATATTACCATAGAAATTAAAAACACATAGTTACAAAATCATCCCTGGCATATGGAATCAAATCCCCGGGCAGGCCGCTGGATATATATGAATTTGGGCAACATATCACACAGCAGGATTCACCCAAAACAAACATACTAAGGAATACATTGATTGATCAAGATGTTAATGCTAGCTTGAGTTTATGATTATGATATGACATCTTCAACAAATTAATTTAAACTTAAACCCTAAATCCTGCTGTGTGCAATGATGGTTTGAATTGTCCAGTTTTTTTCCAGGGTCCGTTCCAAGCAATCAGTGCACCCACCTAGAACCAATACTGTTATTCCACAGTGGTAAGTCTTTGGGGGTGGATATCTTTAATCTATCAGTCGGAATCCTCTGCTATGCTGGACTCCTCAGCACGGGACTGGACCTGTTTCTTTTTCTTGGGTCCCTTAGCAGCATTGACCCTGCGTTTCCCATCATTTAAGTCACCCAAAATCACCGCGGCTTTGGTTTTCGATGCCTCAAGTTTCACATTGAAGTCCTGAGGGTCCACATCCGACAGTGGTGTGTTGATAAGAGTGTTCACCACTCCGAACTCTTCAAGGGCTGGTTCACGGTGACCATCCAAAGCAGCCACCTGCAGATGGTTGGTATCACACATCACCACTACCGAAATAAGACACATTCGACTTGAAACCCCATAAGCGTGTTACCCCATACAAGTGTGTTTGTTTTAAGATGCGTAGTATAGATACCCCAAGTCAAAATTAATTTGGCAAAGACACCAGTTCACTGCAGTTTCTGACCCCATAGTCCTCGATGTCCTGTATGCATTTGGGAAGCTCATTGACGATCTGCTTCAACCTGGGCTGGACAAGACATCCCACAGGAAAAATTGTGAAACTAATGTTGACCCACTAGAACCCAATGAAACGAACACTGTTTATCAACAATTCTCAAAGGAACTTTTTGTGCATTTTCTTCATTTCAGCCATTGCTTCCTGGGCAGGTGTTTTTTCTTTCTTCGCTTTCTTGGACCGAATCTGCCCAGTGGTAAGGTTCATGAATTCCGGGAGGTTTCCATGTAACCCTTGCAACTGCTTTGCAAGCAGTTGCTTGGCAGCTCCGTCTCGGACACGTCCAGACAAGCTTGCCTTAGATATCCAATAATGTATGTATTTGATATTGCTAAATGCAGTACATCAACACATATTTTTAAACCATGTTGCAGAGGTTGTGGCTGTTGATCCCGTTTGGTGGTCTTCCATCACCTCTTTCAAAATCTTATACATCCTAGCTTTGCGCGACGATGGCGCCTGCCGAGGTCACAGAATCCAGAGCTGAAGTGGGACGAGCATACAAAGGAAAGGTATCCCAGCCAGGCCTGTGGGTGAGGAGTTCCAGCCTGTCCTGAAGCGGAGATGGGCCAGTCAGGGGGACTGTAGGTTTATCCCCGACAAAGTTATGCTTGTGAATTATGACTCCAATATTTTTCCAAAACATGTTTTCCATCGTTATTATTATGCAATATGCACTGATCAAAGATAATACATTATACAATTTGTGAATCTGAAGTCTGAGGATACCTTAAGTAGTCTGAGTCTAAGAGCCAAGTTTCCCTTGGTAAGCTCTTGGATGAAGGCTTTGGCCTCTGTACTCTTTCCATAAATCTTCTCAAGCTGAAACATCGTGACCTTAGCTGACCAGGAGTCACAACTATACCATACTATAGACTATACCCTTTCAAGACCCACAAAAAACATATGGACATATGTCTTGGGAAAATACCAGGATACCATCAAACTATTTGAGATGGGGCCCTAACCGTTGTGTAGCGGTCCGTCCGCAACGTGGAAACAAACGAAACATATTTTTCTTCGATCTCAATCTCTGCGATGTCCTGGTTCTGGATCCAGGTCTTCAACATTTGGAACCTGGGATACCAGAATGAGGGGGAATTACATAAGATCTATACAATTCCAAATCAAACAGTTTGATTTAGAAAAAAACGATTGATTGGGGTTGCAACTAGGTAGCCGCTCTTTGTCAGAGGCCAAGCTAAACTTGGCAACCAACTCCGGCTTCGCTTCCTTGTAGATCGCTCGCCTCATTGCTGCGTATTGCCTCTTTCTTTCCTGAACTGGAGCTGATTAGGGGTTCTAGGAGCAGTTTTCTCAAACAAATGTACAAACTTGGAAATCTATGTGGTTTCATTTTTTTCCAAAGAGGCGAGTATCATCGTATGGCATCTCACTGGGTTTTTGCATTGACATTATCTTTTCCTTCTCCTCCTCAGTGAGATTTTTACGACGCTCCTTCCTTTCACTGCTTCCTGGTGTAGGATCCTTAGAGCACGGTTTGCCGGAGACATGCTGGTTACTTAAGAAAACCCTTAAGCCTTAAATGTTAAGCTCAATATATTACATTACATATCACCATCATATTTTGGATATCTTCCAATTTCGAAGGGGTGATCCATGTCAGGGTACCCAATATCATAGGTGCTGGCTATTTGAGATAAGTTTACTGGAGCCTTAAGCACATTATCCCCCCAATGGGAAGGGATTTTCAACCAAGGGGCCTCTTCAAAATCCAACATTCGGCGCGGGCTGGAGAAATTGGACTCTGAGACTCCCAAGTCAATGCTAGCCAGTGTCAATGTTCGTTCCTTGAGCATCTCCTGGGCTAATGGAAGCTGAACCAAACGAGGGATAAGTACAAGGATGATCCCATAGCTGAACCAAAGAGGGGTTATGGTCTTAGTTGGGATAATCCGATGCTATCACAAGGTTTCTTTTACTTGTATTTTGAATTCAGTGGTTAGTAACCCAGAGCCAGGCCATGAAAAGAGGCAGTCCTGGCTTCCTGATTTTGCAATCTCTTGCCGTTTGGGAGCTGGTTTCGTGGAAGGCGATGCTGAGGCCGGTCTTTTCTTATCATTCACCTTCTCTTCATCACCTTTTCTTTTCTTCTGTGGCTCCTCTTCTCCTGTCACCTGAACCTGCTTTCTCTTTGTTCCCTCCGTTGACGCCAAGCTTGTGTTCACCAGTGGACGGGCTTGCCCAAGGATGCACAGAGCTGTACATGGTTCATCTTTTCCTGCATTCTCATCTTCAACCTCTTTCTTCTCCTTCTTTTCCTTCTTCTGCTTCTTGTTCTTCGCATCAGCACCCTGTCCAGATGCAGCTGGTTCACCAGATCTCTTTGACACGTTATCCTTTTCCTTTTCCTGCGTCTCTGTGGCTGTGGGTGCTGGTGCTCGACTGCCTGATGCTGTGCTTGCCTGTGACGCCTTGCTTGCTTCAACCTTCTCCGTTTCAACCTCTTTCTTCTCCTTCTTTTCCTTCTTCTGCTTCTTGCCAGTCACATCATCTTGCTTTGCATCAGGTTCACCTGCATCACCAGAGGCCTTGGAGACCTTCGTCTTAGCATCATTCGAAACCTTCTTCTCTCCTTTTTCCTCCTTGGTTGTGGGTGCCGGGGCTGCAGTGGCCATTGCTGTGCTTGCCTGTGATGCCTTGCTTGCTTCAACCTTCTCGGGCTCAGCTTCTTTCTTCTCCTTCTTTTCTTTCTTCTCCTTCTTTGTCTTCACATGTGCTTCAGAAGGCTTGTTGGATTCCATGGGCTTGTCAGTGGAATCATTCGAATCCTTCTTCTCTTCTGTCTTCTCTTTGGCTGTTGGTGCTGGTGCTGGTGCTCGACTGCCTGATGCTGTGCTTGCCTGTGACGCCTTGCTTGCTTCAACCTTCTCCGTTTCAACCTCTTTCTTCTCCTTCTTTTCCTTCTTCTGCTTCTTGCCAGTCACATCATCTTGCTTTGCATCAGGTTCACCTGCATCACCAGAGGCCTTGGAGACCTTCGTCTTAGCATCATTCGAAACCTTCTTCTCTCCTTTTTTCTCCTTGGTTGTGGGTGCTGGTGCTGCAGTGGCCATTGCTGTGCTTGCCTGTGATGCCTTGCTTGCTTCAACCTTCTCGGGCTCAGCTTCTTTCTTCTCCTTCTTTGTCTTCACATGTGCTTCAGAAGGCTTGTTGGATTCCATGGGCTTGTCAGTGGAATCATTCGAATCCTTCTTCTCTTCTGTCTTCTCTTTGGCTGTTGGTGCTGGTGCTGGTGCTCGACTGCCTGATGCTGTGCTTGCCTGTGACGCCTTGCTTGCTTCAACCTTCTCCGTTTCAACCTCTTTCTTCTCCTTCTTTTCCTTCTTCTGCTTCTTGCCAGTCACATCATCTTGCTTTGCATCAGGTTCACCTGCATCACCAGAGGCCTTGGAGACCTTCGTCTTAGCATCATTCGAAACCTTCTTCTCTCCTTTTTCCTCCTTGGTTGTGGGTGCCGGGGCTGCAGTGGCCATTGCTGTGCTTGCCTGTGATGCCTTGCTTGCTTCAACCTTCTCGGGCTCAGCTTCTTTCTTCTCCTTCTTTTCTTTCTTCTCCTTCTTTGTCTTCACATGTGCTTCAGAAGGCTTCTTGGATTCCATGGGCTTGTCAGTGGAATCATTCGAATCCTTCTTCTCTTCTGTCTTCTCTTTGGCTGTTGGTGCTGGTGCTGGTGCTCGACTGCCTGATGCTGTGCTTGCCTGTGACGCCTTGCTTGCTTCAACCTTCTCCGTTTCAACCTCTTTCTTCTCCTTCTTTTCCTTCTTCTGCTTCTTGCCAGTCACATCATCTTGCTTTGCATCAGGTTCACCTGCATCACCAGAGGCCTTGGAGACCTTCGTCTTAGCATCATTCGAAACCTTCTTCTCTCCTTTTTTCTCCTTGGTTGTGGGTGCTGGTGCTGCAGTGGCCATTGCTGTGCTTGCCTGTGATGCCTTGCTTGCTTCAACCTTCTCCGTTTCAACCTCTTTCTTCTCCTTCTTTTCCTTCTTCGTCTTCACATCAACAGGTTTTGCATCCTTTCTAGTTCCATCTGCATCGCCAGATTTTGCTGAATCCCGTTTCTTCTCATTCACTTCCTTCTTCTCTTTGGCTGTGGGTGCTGGTGCTGCAGTGGCTGGTGCTGTGCTTGCCTGTGATGCCTTGCTTGCTTCAACCTTCTCCGTTTCAACCTCTTTCTTGCCCTTCTTTGTCTTTACCTTGTCAAGTTCACCACTTCTTGGCTCACAGCTCTCTGCCTGCTTTTCAACCTTTTCTTTGGCTGGCACACCCTTTGCCTGACTACTATGTTTACCTTTTGTTTTCCTCTCTTCAAGACGCTTTTTTTCTTCTGCCTCCTTGGTTCGTTTCTCAGCTCGTTTCTGATCCTCCTCCACAACCTTTTGCAGGGCAAGCCTCTTCTTCTCAAAGGCCTCCAGGTTTGGGTCTGGAAGCGTAGCTGCCTTTTTTGCCCTTATTCGGGCAGCTTGTTCCGGGGTCATGGAGCCTGGTCCCTGGAACCCCAAAAAGTTTCCCAAAAAGATACCTTGGAGCCAAAATATTTATCAGGATGGGAAGAACATGGGAAGAATGTATTTTGGAATGACACGCAAATGACACGCAGTTTCCTACATGATTTCCCGTGGCACGCACACAACGGCCGTCCATTGGAAAGCCATTTTGAAAACGGCCGTCCATTAGACAGCCATAGTTGATACAAATGACACGCAAATGACACGCAATGACACGCATCTAAATCCCAAATTTCACTTCTTTTTTTTTCACATTACCCCGGAGGTTCCTGTCGCAGCTCTGTGGCTGGCGTGTGCAATCCCAGGCTTGGGATCTGTGCTGGGTGGAGATTCCTGGAAATTTTCAGAGACTCATGGTTTGGAAATGGCAATTGGATTTTTGGGGGTATTCTTTTAGAATTGAAAGCCAATGATAGCCACATACGACAATTTAGTCATCCAAAATCCCAGGATCCATATTACCCAGCCCCCAATATAACTAAATTACTGGCCCTCAGATTCCTTGGCCTTTCTGGACAACCGTTTACGTTCCCGTTTTTCTGCGGCTAGAGCTTCCCACTCACAGTTGCAATCGTTGCTAATGCAACGTAGGTTCCTCACATCCATCCTGAGGAGCCGATAAGGTTAGCCCCAAATAGGAAATACGGTTATCATCACATATCAATGACATTCAACGACATTGGTTTCAAGAATCCAACCTGGTTGGTCCCCCGTATATAATAATGTATGGCCAATGTTACGTGGGGAGTTGAGGAGGATTTGGGAGGTAATGAACGTAATTAATTATGATGACTCTTGTTTTTCTATTTGTGGAATATTCCCAGCATGTGGTGGCAAGCCCTAGCCTAACCTCACCCCAAACCCAATTTAACAGCACCAAGATTCTCATCTAACCAGTCTTCAATTTGGGTGAGCCAGCAGCTCAAGCATAAACGCTCATGGCGTAGAGCATAGAGTTCAAGGATAGCAGGATGGTCAGCGATACCAGGCATTTTTGGTCTAATACCGAAATCGGAACTGAGGGCCACAACTATGAATCATAGATAGGGAATTAGCTTGGGACAGTTCCAATGCTAGCAAAACTTATATATGACCATACCAGATGTTTCACATGAAGTAACACTGCAGGCCACTCGGTGGTTACTCAGCAAGACTGTTTTGTTTTTTTCCGTACGACACCCCGAGGCATAGGCCATCACTTCTAAAGAATAAGCGAGGGCTATGGGCAGTTTAATACATCAGTGTTACCCAACACCATATGTTACTTGGGGTTTTGTTTTTGTTTAATATTTGGGTTTTTAAGATTTCATCAGCTTACCACCCATCAGCCCCGACCGAGTATGCTTTCGCCACCAAGCTTTTGTTGGCCCCTTTGTAAGATCATCCAAGGACCCAAGGTGGTCTGACCCATTGGGATATGTCAAATCAACAGCATCATCAGTTGGCCGAACCCCGGGACGAGGCAAAAGGGCCGCCAATGCCAGCCCGAACTCCCTGGGGTAGTTGGCCGATAGAGCCAGCTCACGCTTGATACCCGCCTCAGATGCAACAATATAAAGTTATATATAATATTCAGTGAGATTCAATTTCATTGAGTAAGAGTTCAAGTTCAGTAGACACATTCAACTAGGCATTTCATACACCACTAGTGCATGTCTAAAAATCACCCACGTAAGCACTGATTATACAAGTTGCCACTCTGCGGCGACCCTTCTTGTCCACCGTCTTCTTCACAAGATTCACAGAGTTCCTTCAAGGCTAGGGGATGCTAAAGTTCAGGGTGGAAAAGGCCAAACAACTACAGAAGTTTAGACTTGATTGGAGATGCACAAGGCTTTCGTAGACATTAGGCTGCTGGTTCAGTTGCAGCACTTTCTTCCAGATCTTACTGGATGCAGTGTGCTGCAAAGCAAAACTGAAAGAAGTGGCACATTGCTATGAGTGACACAGACACCAGGGAAGACAAGGTGAAGAACACATGTTCGAAGCTCAAGCTTGAGCGTGGATCGACTATGAGGTGAACCATTTCGTGCGAAAGTGGAAATAAACACCATTTCACTGAGTGGAGAAACCATACTTAATGAGTTTTTATCTCTTCAAAGCCTTAAATCAAACAATGTGTTCAGCTACAATTAGATTTCATTTAAACTTGGGTATGTTTCCCCATTAGCCTCAACCATTTTCATCCCTTTCCTTTTTTGGCCAACCAAGTGTGCCCACCACTGTCCTCGCTAGGCTCAGACGCAACTGTTTCACATCCAGAGGGCGACGAAGGCTCGAAATCCCAGGTAAAGTGGACCAAATCCTGAGCGTCCCAGCCGGAAGGAAAGGAGACTAACATATACCAACCAAGAATGATATTGCAAAACCACTTTCCAGAATTGTTGGGTATCGACCAGTTATTTCAAATGTAAATGTTCAACATGTCCCAGAAAGGAACATACACATATCAGTTTGAGACACCTCAAATGCTTCGAAGAATCGTTGTATATTTCAATGTTGGACTTCCATAACTCCCCATGGGAAATGTTATTTTCCTGCAAGATCACCAGCACTGATAAAGTCACAAACCGATGCCAACAAATCCACAAACACCAGAAGAGTCCTCGCACCAATAAACGACAACAGTCTTTTCACAGGTGGCCAATCGAAGAGTACCTTGGACACCACTGATCGGGGCTTCTAAGCATTTCAGGTCAATGCCATTAATTACGCTACACCATCTTCTTTCAATGACCAAGATACTGAACTGATGGGCTGCTCAATAGCTACATAGACGCCCCGTCGCCAGGCATAGAACAAACTTAGTTCATGGAGACTTCAAGATGAGGAACACCATCCAAACCCGTACACTTGGAGGAACATTGTCCAGGTTGGAATTGGTTGAAACATCATCCAAACACAGATCACTGGGAACACTGTCGGGTTTGGAAACATCTTAAGCATGCACGCATACACACACACACACTTGCAAAGCCAAGAAACATATACAACATTCTCATTACAAAGATGTTGGCCAATACCACACACCTGGTACCGAAACCTTCCGGTGTTAGCCAGCTGCGCCCTGTCGATGGGGACGACCTGAGATCTTAAAAGCAAATTGGGGATATCTATGCTGATATATAGTGCCAATGCAGACATCAATTCTTCCACCCATTTTTTTTGCATCAAAGGGTCAAAAACACCCAAGTACTGCATGGTGGCGCAAAGAACAGCAAACCACCTCTCCGCGTGTTGCGTACCTTGTGGAGTGTGTGAACCCCACAAACTCAAACACGCATGTTACCCAACCCAAAGCACACAATACCCAGTAATTCCAAGGTGCAGCTGACAGCACTGCCATGAATCCCACCGTCCTCAAGAAGTTGTGGTTCTTGGAGTACAACACCTGAGATGGAGATTTTGGGGAACATATTACCAAAGTAGGTGCAGGTAAAATGTGTTCATCTTTGAAGTACCTTGATCAATCATACGTTGAATCCAAGTAGCATCAAAAGCTTTCCCCTGGAATTTACACGACCACAATGCACGGCTGAGTTGTCCTTCTCCACTGCAGACTTCGACCTAGGGCATTGCAGCCAGAAACATGGGGCAAAAACTGAATATAAAATCCAACACCACACATCATGTGTTTGGTATTACCTGGTATTTCATGTGTTCATCACAATTATCAAACTATGGATTTATATGGGATAGGAGTTCCACATGGCATTTTGGCAACCCAATGTTTGATTCAATACCAAGGGACAAAGTCATTCGCCTCTTGTTGTGACGGCAGCGGTACTTGAACAAGTAGGGCAAGAATGGTGATGAACAGCTTGGAATTCATCACACCTCCTTTAAAGGTGTTTTGCAGCAACGAGTCTACGGGTCACCCTTCTAGAGAACAAAATTTAGCATAATCATTATCATTATCTAGCATGCATTCTTTTCTGATAATGAATATGATGATGATGATGATGTTGATGATGTTGATGATGGGACAATATTCATCCATAGTTCACTACACAGATTTTTTTGGGTTGAAATGGCTGAGAAAATTACATCCATAGCACAACAAGCACCTGGGTCCACTGCAATGTAAACCCTGTGACGCAACCCATCCCTACCAGTTGCTCATGCAGGTCCCTACATTCAGCCTGAGTGCAGTTTCAGCGTGACCAGGCGCAGCTCGAATCCGTTCGCATAAGAAACGGTGTTGTGAATGATCCAAACCATAACTTCACCACTGAACAATAGTGAAAATGTTGGGAGAACTGTGAACACTAGTTTGAAAAAAATAGTTTTTTAAAAGATAAACCCATATGCCATTTCTGTGAAAGGCCTGGATCACTGAAGCCCCACTGTTGGAGGTGAATCTCAAGCATCGAACTGTCCCCCCAGACATGGACGCAAATGATTGAGATTGGTTTCATTTCACATGGCCAGTCATAGATAGACACATTCACCGTAAGTCCATGTGGGGACAATCAATGTGATCATTGCCCCTGAAAAATCACTTCTACTTCTTTTGTTTTGTTTTTGATGCCTTTGGCACATTCTTCTTCGTCTTCTTGGGTGTCTTGTTTTTGGACACCTCCCCTGTTCCAGGCCCCTTAGTCTTAGGCAGTTTCTTTTGCAACTCAGCCAGCTTGGCGAAGGATTCTTCTTTGAACCCATATGACGAAGCAGCACCCCTTAGATTCGCAACATTTATGTCCGTGAAAGAACATATGATATTTCATATAACTGCATAATCAATATTTAACATCAGTCAACAAAGTTAGAGATAATGCAATTTTGTTTGGTTTAAGTTCCCACTGACATGATAGTATGCCAAGGCACTTTGTCCAGCATTGAACTCCGTTTGGTGTAGTCCATACCTTATAGAGTTGGCCTTTGGCTTTTCCTTCAAGACGTCGCCGGATTTCGCAGACCCAGCCGTCCTGCAGATCATCCGCCCGGCACAGAAGATCGAACTTCCTTAGTTACCCCATGAAGATTTTGACAATCATGAGATCAGATATGATGAAAGGTACATACCATATCTACTCCTACCTTTGGGTTGCAAACTTAAAAATAAGGAGGGGATAACCACAACATTCATTCCAGATTCTCATCAAAGGTTCGCACTAGCAACTCTTGCCTTCTTCTTTTCCCGCCGCTTGTTAATAAGTTCAAGTTGCTCAGCAGGGGTTGGTAGCTTATTCCCAGCCTTACTTAAAGCTAATTGCTGACATCGACTAATGACGAGGGTGTAGGCGTTCTGGCTGAAGTCCTTGAACTTCTCACGATGAACCAGGGACTTCGTAGCCTTCTTATCTTTGGCATCCTGAGCAGCACATCTGTGTTGGAGAATTTGGGGTTGAGGGATAGTTGGGGGAGACTGATGGTCAAATAAATGGCATTGTGATTTATTGATATGATATAATACAAAATTGTGGTAATGTGCTTTCATTAAGATTAGCACCAGCAACCCGGCCCCTACCCCTACCATTTTTTTTGAGCACAACTCTGTGCAGGCCTCCTCCGCATTCCCAAGATCGTTGGCAGAGGCTGCAGACGGCTCGGGTGGAGCATCCAGGATTGCCACACCTAAGATGCACAGGGACTTGAATTACACAGGGACACTCCCCAAAAAAAGAACATCAACCAGCTCAAGCGAGATTCAACACCCATATCTACTATATCTATTTTCAGGGAGGGTTGATTTTGGGGATAAGTATCTAGATCAGCTACCAATACCTACCACAAAGTTAGCATGGGGCCACTCATCGAAACCAAGGCTTTATAACATAGATAAGGCACTGGAAGTTTTTTTCCGGAGACGTTTGTTGGGAACCTCACAGGGATGCCTGTTTGTGGGCTCCTCCACCTTCTCCTCAGTCTTAACTCGCTTTGTCTTTTCCACTTTCTTCGTGTTTGGCTGTGTCTTCTTCTGCAGGAAGCTGGTGAGGATAGAATCCCTCATTTTTTCCGGGTGGGTTTGTGGTCCCTCCCCCTTTTGTGTAGGGGCCACATCAGCACATAAAGCTTCTTGAATGGTAAAGTCTGGATGCCATCCTTGGCAGAACTCCCAGTAACGTATCATGTGTAAGGCATCCAGCTCAGCTAACACACCTGCCTTGCGAGCATCCATCTCCAGCTTATTTTCTTCCTCAGCTGTCTTCTCTAAGACCTCTTCCTTCTCTTTGCAGTCTTGAGAGCTTGTCGAACTGGAACTTGAATCGGAGTCAGAGCTGTCCAATGAAGAACTCGAAGATGATTCCCTTTCCTCATCCCCACCTTTGTTCTTATCTTCTGCCGTGTCCTCTTCAACCTTGTCTTCTTTACCGACCTGCTCCTCACCTTCTGAACTTTCATCCTGTTGCTCTTTCTCCTCCTTGATCTCCTCATCATCCTGACATCTCTCACTCTCTGCATCCTCTCTCTTAGCTGTCTCGCTGTCATCTGACTGCTCATCTTCACTCTCTCCTCCTGCCTTCACCTCACCCATTCCGCTCTGTGAATCATCAGATTCTTCTTCCACCTTGGCCGGTTCATCCTCCTCCTGTGTCGCTCCTTCCTCAATTTTGGTGCTATCTTCACCACCCACCTCACCTTGCGATCCCTCATCCTCACTGTCGCTTTCTTTATCATCTTCTGCACCCTTCTCACCTTCCACATCCTCACTCTCCTCTGCATCGCTTTTCTGAGTGTCTTCACATTCCTGTTCTTCACCATTGTCCTCTTCATCCATCTCCTTCTGCGCATCTTCATTCTTGGCCACTTCTCCTTCACAACCTTTGTCATCTTCATTGTCTTCTTCTTCTTCCTGCTGTCCTGAGTCTTCGCTCTCGTCCTCGCTCATGTCAGAGTTCGTCTTGTCTTTCCCAATCTCCTCCACATCCTTCTGGCCTGTCTCTGTCCCCTCACATGCATCGCTCTCCTGGTCTTCACTGTCTTCATCATCGCTTTCCTGTGTCTTCTCTGTCTGTACCTTCTCTGGTTCTGGTTGCTCCTTTTCCTCATGTTGATCATCATGTTCTGACTGATCTTCTTTGCCTTCATCTCTGTCCTCCGCCTCATCACTTGTTTCGTGATCATCTTGCGTCGCTTGAACTTCATCTTTGTCTTGCACTGCACCTGTCTTCTTCACTTCTTCGCTCTCTGCACTTGAAGTATCACTATCTTCATCTCCATCTGAATCCTCTTTAAAGATTGCGACTGCTTCCTTGTACATTGGGTGTTGTTTCATACGCTTGGGGACAGCGGGGAAAGCCTCATCTTGACTACTTCCATCCTGCTCTTCAGTGTCTTCTAGTCCTCGTTTCTTGTCAGTGCGCTGTTCAACCTCTTCCTCACTTGAAGAACTCATCACTGGTGGGGTCTTTTGTGTCCATGGGTTGCATTCACCTTTCGCCTTTGGGGCATCGACTTTCACATCTTCATCTCATCTTCTGAACTGTCCTCATCACAATCGGCCCCAGGTGATAGAACAGTAGGGCCAAGGGATGAGAAAGTGAAATTTCCACCTTTCAGTTCTTGATAATAACCTGAATCATGAACCTCCCCATTCCCACCCAACCTTCTTTTGTTTTTTTCTTTCTGGACCAGCTTCCTCTGCCTCTTCCTCAGCTTCCTGGAGAGAGCCCACAAATGAGCAACCCTTAGATTGTATCTGCTGGAACCATGAATACATTGTATTTCAAATTTGAAACATATTGGATAGATTATTCATAACAAAATGGACATTGGTACTGCACCTCATCATCAGTGCCGGATTCTGACTCAGAAGCTTCATCGACATCCGTGTTGCTAACAGCAGAGTCAGAGGGGTTCGGATTGGAGCCACATTTTTTCCTGGCAAAGGTTCCAGACCACAATGTTGACCCATGTATCTTCACAGAAATTTTCTGACACTATAATCCAAATTAGACACCTACAAAAAAGGACGAAACACTACGAAGCAACATGTTATGCCAGGAGGCATGTCATTCTCATCAAGATTTGGAATCTCATCCTGGTCTATCGGCTGTGTCTCCAGTTGATCCATAGATGACCTAAGCAGCTAGCCGGGCACCCTTTCCAATGAATATTATTCATGTTGTTTTTTAAACCCAATTCTAATGGGTTGGAGACTCTCAGAAACTTGGTCTAAATCTGCACGAGATACCCTTTCGATTGGCTACCAGTTGGTGACCTGTAGTGGAAGCCCCTACGTCCAGCCCTGGAGTGCTTCAAGAGAATATCATGGCATTTGAAGGCCTCAGGCTACGATTCAGAGAGGAGTCAAAAACAACACACAATGGACAAAAAATTATATGTTGGAATGCGACAACCCATTTAACCGTGGTACCTGTTGCTGCACCCATTCTGCACGAACATCACGGGCGAGCACCTTTCCTTAGATGAGTGATTTTTTTGGGGATGTATAACATATGATAACATTAATAAAACCAGTATCTTAATGGGGCATAAATACACAAATTGCTAGTTTTCGTCGGGATTCTCCATTTTTTTTTGCCAATCAGCTTCTTGACAGCTAATCGCATTTGACCTTCTCGGGGAACCTTTTTCATACCACTAGATTTGAAGGCTGATCGCAGCCACCCGTTCCCTTTGGACCTCAAATCTCCACCCGGAACCAAGTCCTCCTTGATGGTCTTGTCATTCGGTAGTTTCTTCATCATCTCACCAAGCAAGACCCTGGGATCCAATTGGGTTTAATGGAAAGTAATAGGATAGAGTATGCATCAAAATGATTGGTTGTAACAACTTGGGATGAGAATTGATCCAAGTAACTTGGTCTCTGGACGCATGCCCCGGACCGGCATGGCACCAAAGGTGTGTAACAACGGGCGAGGTCGCAGAAGTACCCGTGGTAACATTTGGACCATTCAGTGGCCTTGAGATATAGTATTATCATTGGTTTTGATGAGTTAGAACCTATTACATCATTATCCCCACAGTAAATTCCATCAGATAATGATTTAACTTATTGACTTGGTAGTATGCCTCTAAGCTGCCGGATAAAACCCCAACCCAGCCGCTGCAGGCTGCGGTGGCACGGGCAGCATCTGTCCACGGCCTTTGGGACATTTGGGTGATTATTGAGGTGAACCATCAAAATCTAGATCAGTAAAACCAAAAAAAAAACGGCTTCCCATTGGTGACCTGACAAAACGGCTGTCCAATTGACAGCCATTAGGGGGTGCTGGTATGTATGTATGTATGCATGCATGGATGTATGTATGTATGGATGCATGCATGCATGCATGCATGCATGTATGTATGTATGTATGTATGTGCGTGTGTGTATGTATGTATGCATGCATGTATGTATGTATGCTAGGTAGGTAGGTATGTATGTAAATGTAAAGGTAAAGGTAAAATATACATGTAAATGTAAAATGTATGTAAATGTATGTAAATGGATGTAAATGTATGTAAATGAATGTAGATGCATGTGCATATATATATAGGCGTATGTATGTAGCTACACTTATGTATGTATGTAAATGTATATACATGTGATGCGCATGTCTGTGCAAACACACTCTTACACACACACACGCTCCTGCACACATGTATATGTACACATATATCTGCACACACACACACAATATATTACATACCTCCACGCCACCTCTGGCCAAATGAATCCCCATTTTTGGCACCAAACTTGGCAAGGAACTTGCTGCACTTCTGAACCTCCAGCCACGTCCGGGCTCTGTCTCTTTCGCAGCCGGCGCCACAGCGTGAGAAGCAGGGCAGCCAGTGAGGCGAGGAGCACACGTCGGCGCCATGGGAAAGTCAGCTGCATGACAACGGCAAATCACATGAGAAGTGAAAAATGTGTTTCAAAGCCTCAAAAACCATGGAGGTTTTGAAACAAGGCTGAAACAATCATGATCAAAACAAACTCGAAGGATGTGTAATTTTGTCATAGCCACTCATGTTCCATGCTTGGGCTTTCCCCAAACAACCTGAAACTGTTTGTTGTTTGTATAGTCTTAAATTTGCTATATTCATGTATAACTGTATGCCCATTGGGATTCTTTTCTTTGCTGGTTGAATCGCCAAATTTCAAAAATCTATACGTCCCATCTATCTACATGTCATCATTGCCCATCTTAGATAACTACCCTGCTGCAAATGATTATGCCTTTCCCATCTAAAGCAAAAGATTGGAGCCTCAGCAAGTGCTGCAAAGATTCGTGACCATCATGTGCCACAAACAGAATATAGGAGAGGAATTGCGAAAGAGAGAGGCCGAGGTAAAGTACCCAACTACCCTCTGCAACATTAGTCAAATATGGTAGTTTATGCTTAAAAACCTCCAAGTATTCTGGGAAATTCCTAGCCATATTGTAGTACACGGTGAGGCCTCCCACCTATAAGTTGGTTGATATACTAAAATAACTATAGTTATATCCCCCATAAACCCAACATTTAACCAAGTTGTTTACGTAAACTTGGCTGTTTAGGGGGCTCCACCTTGTAATGACCGAAGGGTAGCCTATGGTAATTTAGCATAGCCATGGATACTGGCCCACTGATAGATAATGTCTGAGGATTTACCTATGTTTACCGGACATCTTCCATAGCTAAAACCCCATGATTCATGGTTAAATCCCCGAATTTTCCCTGAAATCATCCACTAGATCCTATTATTCCCATGTATATCCCATTATTATATTATTAATGTATATCCCACTATTAAAAGAGCATAAATCCTATTATATAATCCCTATCATTAAATAGCCAAAAGGTATCCAGGCAAGGTCAACCCAATTCTCTCCGTCTCCTGCTTGAACCAGGTGCAGCTCTTCTCGTTGGTGCCCCGACTCAAGCTGAAACCATAGCCCTTCATAGAACAACGTTTCTCTTCACCTCTGGCATCCATGGATTGGATTCAGCGGATAAGCGGATATGCATACGTAAATATGTATATATATATATATATATGCGTATGTGCGTGTATATATATATATGCGTGTGTGTGTGTGTAAATATGTGTGTACAGATGGTGAACAGCTTGCTTAAGTCCCAACCAGATCATTACCACATCATTATACCATCTTCTTCCATTAAACATCATTAAACTATATTGGGACCAATATCCAAAACTGTTGAGGAAACAAAGAGCATCGAAAAGAATGAAATCGTTGGTTTGTCATGAAATCCGCCAATTCACAGAGTGAAACAGCCATATCACATCCAAGTGCATTCGTTAGAACATATCAGGGAAGATCATCACAAACTTGTTACTTTGAACCTGAAGCACACATGGGTGTGTCTGAAAATAGGGCACCCCCAAAATCCATCAAAATCCCATCGTTTATCATCATGTTCCGTAATAAAATGACCAGGAGTAAACCCCATTTTAGGTCACAAATGTTGAACAAACATAAAGCCGCTAATATTGAAACATTGTGGGCACCTGGCTGACAGGACTTCAGGCTGCAGGGTCCCATGATTTTCGATATACATATATACACATACCGCCCATATATATATATATATACATATATACATACGTAGGTATGTGTGTGTGAAGGGATTATATAAATATATATTACATCATAGATACATACAGTACGGTTTAAAATATAGTTATACATTTCATGTTTATATACACTATATATATATACATATATATATATATTATTTATGTATTTCGTATGGTACCTCTACACCTAATTGATATCCAATATCTCAGGATTACAATGCAGATCCAAGGTTTCTTGTCATTTTACCCTCTGGTAAACTAACATAACTATGGAAAATCACCATTTTCAAATGGGTAAAAATCCACTATAAATGGCCATGTTCAATAGCTATGTTAAATTACCGGAGTAAACATCACCTAGAGAACCCCCAGAGATTTGCGGTGCCCTGCGGTGCCCCCTGGGGCGCTGACCCATGCGGAAGAGATACTTGGACCAAGCACCTGGTGCTCCGCACACATCGACGAAAACCACTTCCTCCTGGAAAAAAAAAGGCCAGGATGGTGATGTGCTGTGATTCTGGTATGCCCAAAAGCTAGGAAAATCCAAACCTCACTAAAATAGTAGTTAATTATAGAACAATATAACTTTTCTTTCTTTTTGGGTTACTTTTTGAGGCCAATCGTTTTCGAAACAAGAAGTGGAATTCTCATGAACATTCCATGGGCACACAACGGCTTCTGGGGTGGTATATCTAAGCTTTAAGGTCATGGAATCAGGAACGCAAACGAAACCATCTTGGATCATCTGGATATGTGTCAAAAGAAGGTAGCCCAAAATCGGACGGCTAATACAATAGAAGTCATTGAATTTCAACAGCGACTCAAAGTCGCTGGCCCACGGTTCCTTAAACTCTGATTTATCTCCGACGTACTGTATCAGTTCAGGCTGAATCTCGACCTTATCTCTGCAATTTGGAAGTCCGCCTTCTGAAAGTTGACGGCTCATTTCATCTCGATAGCTACAGGACGTCCATGAAATTCCGCCGAAGCCAATCCCATCTCCATATCACATGTACCAACATTTACCCCAAGTCACCCAGTTTTATAGTTAAATCTGCTATACATGGAGCATATGGGTCATGTTTCTATTGCCCAAGTTAGTAACGACCCACCACAAAGTCCTGGTTCTCCAATCGATCGACCTCCCAAGTGAGTAAACCCAATGCAATTTGTTACCAGCCCCCAAGCATATCACTATAATCACTATAAATGGGGATGGTTTCAACCATCCCCAAATGGCGGGTTTATATGGGTTTATGGCTTTATTTTGTTGGGTTTACCACAGTTTACCACATGGTATTTTGACGTCCCTGCGAGGTCATCAGTCATCAAGAATGGTTGGGTTTACCCTCTTGTTATGACTAACATAGCCATGGAAATCCCCAAAATAAATGGAGCTTTATAGCTGGGAAAATAATCTATTTCTATATGGGCCATTTTCCATGGCTATGTTAAATAACAAGAGGGTAAAGGGACAAATCCATCTACATTTTCCCAAGAGTGATTCTGGGACAATGATGAGTCAATCACAACAGAGATCTGACAACCAAATTGCTGACTTTAACCATGGAATTTGAGGTTCAAATGTGTTCAACCCAAAAAACAATCCAGCTTATTCAGTGGACAAAGGCGAGGCATACCCCTGATCAATGGTGTGCAACAACCAACACAAAGAATTTGAACAAGAAACATTGGAATATAGCTACCATTCAGGAAATGCCTCATGTTCCAAAGATTTCCAAAGCAGGGGGGGCGTTCACCAAAGTCCAGTTGGAGATTCTATCAGTGAGGCTCAGCAAGTTGTTCAAAGGGTGCCCTCCATTTGATCCAAAATAAACTGATTGGTGGTTTCAACTCATCTGAAGAAATATCGGTCATTGGGTACCATCATCCCGATTCCAAGGTTGACATTCATTGAAATTCATTCAACTCCAATTAAAGTCCATTAACATCCAAGAAACACCCCATATAAAACGTCATTAGAACCCTATAAGATCCCATGGGAATCCATTTAAATCTCATCAAGCAGTGAAGTGTACAACATCAGGTCTGGATGACACCATCTAGCACATTTGTTTGGGCACCTTAAGGCCGCCCACAGCATTTGCAATCTCCTGGTATGGCACGGAGCGAGTGCATGGAACGACCATTGGGGCCTTGGGATGAAGCTTGGCAAATGATCGACATCTATGTCGGAAACTAATGGGAAAACCCTACAGAGGAAAATCTGAAACAAATTTTGAAGAAAACATGTTTAAAAAAAATGAAAGAAAACAATGGGTGGGGCCATTTGACAAATGAACAATATCTATGTTAATTATGTATAGCCTGTATAGCCCAAAAATCATTGGTTTCCCTAAAACAATCTATTAAAAAACTTTTGGATGATTTTGGGATCCACACGGATCCATATTTTTTTAGGAAACCATCATTGACAGTTTCGGCATTTTATTCAGCTGAGCATGGATGTCTCAGTAGAATCCCCAGTACTTCCATGACTGGGCCCCTAAGAACAATAGATCCAGTACTAAAGTACTAAATCACGGTTTCATGGTTTCGATAGGGGGTATTTGATATATTTTGATAGGGGATCATAAGCAAACACCAGCATCTCCCTCTCGTTACGCATGAGTTCAACTAAGGTCCTGCAACTTGTCACCTGCACGATTGCCCAAAGGTCCACCTCGATCACCAGCCTCGCCGGAACATCCCAAGGACGTGGATTTTTGGACTGTGGACCATGAATATGGTAGCCCCATGTAACCCCAAACACACACCAGGCTGACAATGTGCGATTCATTTTCTAGTTGGATTCATTTTTCTGGCGAAGGAACGAATCCAGAACTCCAAAAGTGCTTAATTGTTCAGTTTGCCCGGCGCGGGCCATTTTATTTTTTTTTGTCTGCTTAGGTTTGGTCCATATGGTTCACCCTTCAATCACTGCAAGTGATGGTTGACCTCCCCATGAACAGCTTTGAGAAAATCAGCAAATGTCCCAAGCAACGAGCCACGTTCCCAACTGCCTCCCAACCCGACCTGCGGATAGATTTCATCACGTGCCTTCCAGTAAGCCTTGTGCCAAGGAGCACCAAGGGGAACAGAAACACATGAAATGGAGCTAAATAAAACCCCTAGTTTGGTTCAAGGGAGCCAGGCCAAGGGTGAGCCGGCAAGTTTCGCAAAGTCAGCCCCACGGCCCATCAAGTGGTATGGCTCAAGATGTTGGACCAGTAAAACATTGGATGAATTCATGCTAAGGGTTGGATATTTTAAGTGGACCGTGAGAATAACCATAGGGGCCCCATATCCCAACTCAAGGACGCTTAAATCCCATAGCTATAATTTGTACCCGAAAAAATCAGCTCAGTCCTGCACCAAGAGCCCCGCACCTGATCCTGCTTGGCATCAAACAGCTCATCTAAGCGTGACTTCTCACGCCACAGCCTATAAGAGTTTGTCCGGCAGGCATTGGAGTGTCTTCCTTCATGTACTGCAGAGTCAAATGAACAGAATTGCCGAGTCATTACCGAGTCATTTTTGGGTTGCAAAATGGCCCAAAAAGGCACAATTCTTGAAGGGCATTGGAACGCTTCGCTGGGCATCAGTTGGAACTATAGGCCAGGGATGCAACACACACTGTTTCAACCAGATCCGGCCATCCCAATACGGATCATTGTTAAAAGCCGGGAAAGACTGAAGATAAAAGGTTACATTCATGTTCCGAAAAATCTACCCAACATAAAAATGCAGCACACATACTGGTATATATTTACATTATCATCAGAAAGACGCTGTGCATTTTTCTGGCGGAACATGCTAATTTTCTGGCTCCGTGAAGAGATGATCCCCAGCATGTGGCTGCAATTGATCCCTAGTGGTTCATGGGATGTCCCCAGTGAAATTTGACGAAGTCTCATGACACAGTGGGTAATGACAGTGATGTTAATCAAACAACAATCAACCACCCATATTTGATATTTCATACCACCCATAAAAAGGGTAAAATTGGGGATGGTGGATCCTATTGCTTTACTAGCATTACTATGAATTGATTGTCACCATCAATTCATCTGAGGACCTCAAAGGGTGAAGTCAATGACGCGCTGCAACATCCGAGCAGCGATTCAACATCTTCCTGTGGACAGTAGCCAGCATCACACCTCAAATCGACTGGTGATTCCCGTGTTTATTGTCTGGAAAAAATGCCAAACAAATCAGTATGAAGCTCTCAACATGACTATCAGTATTCTTGGGCTTGCCACCTGGGGGTTAGCCTGTGAGGAGGAGACCCTCAAAATCACATGCTGTATCATCTCTTTCATTCTCTTTCTCTCTCACATTCATGCCGGTTAAACTTGCCAATTGGGGTATATCTATGTATATCTCCATGCACTCCATTTTCAGACACACACACACATGAATTCATATCGACTTGGTCAGTTCTATCCTCATGCCTCTTCCAAATCAGAAATAAGATGCCCCCATAATGATGTCGACATGTACATATCTTGATAGCAACCCCCAAAATTGAAAGACAAGCATTGTTCCACTATTCAACATTGTAGGGAAATTGGAACACTATACACCCTTCCATTGGGGGATGTTCCACTATTCTATAGGATGTCCCACCCTTCCAAATATATTGCTGGTTGGTGGTATACTACCCCTCTGAAAAATATGAGTTCGTCAGTTGGGATGATGACATTCCCAACTGAATGGAAAATAAAAGCCATGTTCCAAACCACCAACCAGCCATTATCTTCCATTCATCTGTAACGTCGTGGACACATGTTCCTATCTTTTTTGGGGATCAAGCCATGACTGGGATCACTTTCTTATCTTCCAAATATATTGATTCCTCTGGGAAATGGCTGTTCTATCTCTTTTTGGGGCACCAATGGCCACCCTTCCAGTGGAAATCGAGGAGCATCCGCCCAGGCTCCAAGGGCATCATGGGAAGCTTCGCAGAGGTGAACGCAGTGAGCTCCTTCTGGTGATGAAACATGGTGATTTTAATGGGATTTACTGGGATTTTATGGGAATTTATGGCGATTTATATGGGATTTTATGAGTTTTATGAGGTTTGATGGGGTCCTACTGTGATTCATATGGATTTGACAATGATTTAACCAAGCAAATGGTAATGTTGATGGGAATTACCCTTTGGTAATTCAAGACTTTGCTATGCAAAATTGCGCCATTTAGATCGGTGACTTACCTGTTAAACATGGTGATTTCCCATAGCTATGTTACCGGAGGCTAAGTGAGTAATAACACTACATAAGAACCAACCCAGTTAGACTAGTGTGATATAGCTGGGTTAGATTTGCCATGAGCCGCCAAGTTGGTGCCTTGTGGAACACTCACGGGGACAGTGTGGTGCCGTATGATTATGTGGTGGGGTACAGTATCCTCTGCGAATTTGTGGATGATGCTGGATCTGTAATTATGTCAACCACGGATTTTTATTTACCCCTAGGCTGCTTAATTTCAGGGCGGGAAATTTTGGGCAGCAAATCATGACCATTTTGGAGGGCGCCCCCACTTAATCAACGGGGGTTTGTTAAACCAGGGTTGGAAGTAGTGCTTCTAAATGATCAATCTGAGTTAGACCCATTACATTCTGGGGCTTCATTACTAGGTGGAAGTAAAATATGGTTGGCTTGCTGGTCCCCGGCCAAAAGTTGGGTATGGGGAATGGGTAAACTTATATATATATATATCCACGAAAAGCAATGAGATTACATGTGGTTCTTGAAGCGCGCAGAACAAAAAAACACTTGTACCAGTCTTGATTGTCCCAATCGTCCCTTTTCTCCCAGTCATAGCATCCCGCAGCAGTTTCAATCCCACATCACTTGTGAAATGCAGGGGTGATCTTAAAGGATCAAGTTGAATTCATGGGTGTCTAGTACGGAAAAAAAAAACATGGCAGGACGTTTGTCTTTTGAGCATCCTAGGCCTATTCAACACGTGTGGATCTCAACTTCATCCAGCCATGACAGTGGTCCAAGGCAAGGTCTTCCGGAGGCGCCAATTGGAAGACCTCAGGTCTCACAAGAGAAATGGGGTTCCTCTGATGGGCGCATGGAAGGACACAGAGGACACTTTATGTTTTTCTTTGCCAAGAAAAAAATGGGTTGAACACCCTAAAATCTAAGCTGGAAGTCCAAAAAATGGTTGTGAGTGGACTTGATTGAGAATGACCCACAAAATATCGCCATAGATTGGGTTTTCTTGGGTTTATATATAATTATCTATATATATATAAGCCTGAATCCTATCTCGAACCCGTGAATATCATGAGGTCACGAATCATCTTCCGAAAGCAGTTGTAAAGCTTGAGGCTAGGAACCCCTGTCAGATCTGCCAGGAAATCCAGTTACACTATAGCAGGTATGCAGGACAAGTAGACTTTGGTGGTCCAGAGCTGTATATCCAGTAGATCGTCGATCCCGAAGATTGGATTCCTTTCGGAGGTAAAGAAGGTATTTGACACTACGGTCGATTGTCGAGAACCATGGAATCCAAGGGAAGTCACCAACAAGCTTCCAAAGCTAGAATGACAGGCCGCTGCGGGCTTTCTAAGAGATTCAAAGTCCGTTTTTTTCAATGGATTGGTTCGTTTCCTGTAGAAATCTCCACAAGAATTATAGGAATCTCGGCCCCCGCACCATGGTTTTTTCCTGGACCTTGGCGTTTTGGGCCCCGCGGTGCCATGGAATGCGCCGGGTCATGAGGGGTCAACCTGTGTGGTGGGAAATCCATCATCACGTCATGGGAAAACCCATATTTTGGGGATACTCATATAACTGATCATATAACCTCCCAGTGCAATCTACTACTAGTATGTATATATATATATGTATACTACAGTTATAAGTTGGTTTATATGAACTCTATAAACCAAAGAAACAACATAGTTATAGTCATTGGAGTTATTTTGCACCAACTTAGCTATCGTTTAGGGCCCCACATTGTATGAAATTACAACCTTCTGCTAATCTTTTCCAAGGTGCATCGCCGTCTGGCTGTTCCATGGGCAATGGCACAAGGGATGCAACATGACGGAAGCTGAAACTATGACATGGCACTGACAGCTCCGAAAATATCGGAACCTGGATTGGGGAAACTGATTCTCTGTGTAACCATTTGTTTTTAGTGAACAGTATTAATCAATATTCATCAATGTCATTAATAATACAAGTTCAAGTGTCATTAATATTAATAATGACCTGTTGGTAATTCTCTATATTCGAGATTTACCATGCTAAAATTTGAGGCCTCTACACGTGCAGTTTTCGTGACTGTACCAAAGCAAAGGCCATTGCAGTTGAGCCTGGGCTGCAAGTTTGCAACTGGAATTGATTGTGCACTGTTGCTGAGCCACATCTGGCAGACAACGTCGAATGATTCCTGTCTTGAGTGAGTAATCTAGAGCCAGTGCAGTCAGAATGCGCGGTGCCGCGGTGCCTTCCAGAAGTCCAACATGGGACAAACAACACACAAACATCAACATTAATGTCGGTTAGTATGGGAATTACTGCATGTTTGCTGCTTTGCAAGGTTCCAGGCGGCGGAACTCCACTTTCTTTTGCTCGATCGTTTCACGCATATGTTGAAGCCCAGTCTTTGTCACCCACAATCAACCCTCCAACAAAATTGTTTCTTATTTAACATCATGGTCTGGACTCTTGTTGCTGTTTCCGCTGTTTATATGTTTGGTCCGGACACATGAATCAACCACCAGCGCACCCAAGCTTCAAACATGTCCCAACATATCATTCAACAAATGAAAAGTAATGAATGATAAATGCATATATATATAATCACAAAAATACGACTATATAATAGTAACAACAATAATGATGATGATAACAATGTTTTTGTTAAAATACAACTAGTAATGATAATAAAATGATAATAAGCGTAATAATAGATAATAATAGTCATAACAATGAATTTCCTCATGCTCAAGAACTCCCGCTGGGTGTTTCTACTGATCAGTAGATCATTTGAACTCACCAGCTCATCTTGGGGAGGTCACCCTACTCAGCAGTCACCTGCTAACCGACCAAAAACCACTTGGTTTTGACCATGGTTTTGACCATGATTGAAAATGTTGGCCGAAAATATGGGCCGTGAATATTTGAACACATTCTGATACTTTTTTTGAACCACTTGACCCAGTTGAGAATTCTATTTCAGCATTTCCCTGTTGGCTGCCCTAGCTGCTGGTCCCATCTTTTCCTTTGCCCTGCCAGCTGGTGCATTGACACATCTACCATGGCCGTGGCAAAAAAGGCTGGACGTTGGGGTGGTGAAAATGTCCTTTCTTCCACTCAATTGTGCCAAACTATGTTGGCATTTTCTGATGGCAGGATGTTATAGTTCCTCATGGCAACAAAAAATCACCTATGAACCAGTCATTCACCACAGTTTAACCAGAAAAGATCAGAAAAAACACGTTCATAACCCAACCTCCTCCTGCTGGCGTGCACTAGCCCAAAGAACTCTTGGCATCCACTTGGGAGCAAATGGCCTGGCTTCATTCTTATTGTCATTTTTCAGGGAGCCCCAAACCCATGAGACCCCAAATCCACCAATAAGAAGAAAACAAGACCCAGTGGCTTTTTCAGGGTCACTTCCTGGTTGGTTGAGCATGTTGAAATCACAGGCAACATGCGAGAGCCTCCTGCCGGCGGTTCTTCGATTCTTGTAGGGCTTACCATCCAAAAAGCATTCCTACCCTCAGGTACCCTCCAAAAGGAATCTATTCTTTGTAACGAAGGCACTTCCAATTCTTTCATGAAGATAAAGATCGCACCCATTGCCTTATCATTCAACACTTGTCCAGTACGGATTTGAATCCCACTTTCGAGACAAACACAACCAAGCAGGTTCGTCCTGCTTGAATATCTCAAAGCGTCTCCGTAAAATCATGTAAAATCATCAGTTCCCGCTAATCCGCGCAAGGGTTCCTTATTTTTCTTTAATATGCGGTGTATATATATATACATATAATATGTATATATATATAGTATGAAACACACCTAGTTGTTTATGGCCTACCCTATTGTTACTAATTCAATGTGCACATCCTTAAGTAGCCGGCAACCCTAACCTCGGTTCATTGAGATAGATTTGAACTCCCAAGTCTGACACCAGCAAGGACCTTGGGGAAACTATTGGAAGCGACAGAAACGACGCTGAAAGTTGGCTATGGGTCAAAATGTTGTTACGACAACGGGATCATAAATCAGAGGCAAACATGGCCAGTACATCTGCCGTCTCCATCTCAAATTTTGATCCATAGCCAGTATGCTTTCCTTTTCAAGGGAAGAATCTGTTGCAGGGCAGCTAGAGGTTGGAGAACAGCAAACTGAAAACATGGAGCGGTCCCCAATTCTACAGAAAATTCCTTTTCCAGACCGTGTGGGATGGTCATCTGACCCCCTCAAGACATCTGAATGCAGCAGTTTGAACCCGTCCCAAGTCAACAGATCAGTAAATATGCACGCACCTACACACACATAAGCAGGTTCATACCCATAATGTAAGTAATATGTGTGCACACAACTGTCATTTTGGTGTTGTTCAACATTCCATGAAGGACTTTGAAGCCAACAAACGCATAGTGAAGCTTTGAAACCAATGAACCACAAACCCGGCAGCCATTCAAGTTACAAAACAGCTTACACACCCTAGTTGTAAATTGGTTTATAGACCCCATTAACATCCAATAGCTATAGAGTTACATCCCTCATAAACCCTTAGACAAGTTATAAAATAACTTAGTTCTTTGGGAACCCCACCAACCATCGCCAACCTTTCTATAGCATCTCTACGTCACCTACATCCATCCTCCAACTGCGATCTGCAGCATGCAGTGGTCAAACGCGGTCTGCGCCAGAGTAGGATCCCAGGGATACCCTCTGGTAATTTATGGGGTCCTTCCAAAAATTGGTGGATGTTCCCCAAAAAAAAACCTATGCATAGATACAAGATGATACAAGATAAATTGTTGTAAAACCCAATAATATACATACAAGTTACAAATTCGTTGAGCATAGAAACGGTTACACCCTTTGTGAATTAAACTCAGAGTTTGTTCACTGGCCTAGATGCCTAAAACAAAGGCACCATGCAGGGGCGATTGCCTGAAATCGAGGCTTTACGTAGACCTTGAATACCGAGTAGTTCGCTTGGTACGTCCTACTTATTGAGGAGGCAGCTCTCGCCATAGATGATATATGCATTTATTCATATTTAAGCCATAAACCTCCATTCATAGAAGATGTTTCCATTCAAACCTCCAGGCGGGAGGTGTATGGCATTGGGCCTCAAGGCGGCTATCCCCTTCAAACACAGCACTTTGGGAGTCTAGGCGAAGCCCCGAACAAACAAAAACAACTTGGAAAAATCGCAGCATCAACTTGGTGCCAACGTTTTTGATGTTTAAACGATTTAAAATGACACGCTTCTCTAAAGGAAGGCGAAACCATCAGTGGCCTACAGGCGAATGGTTGTGTGGCGACGATACGCCATGTTTATTCTGGTGTCCTCACGTGCTGACTCGATCAAAACATCATTAAGCGTCGCGCCGCAAGCACAGCTTAGCTGAAAAGAGACACAAGTGAGCCACGTCAATTCCACAGGAGCTTCAAGCCAAGTAGGTGTGTTTTGCATGATCGTATCATGAGCTGAAAAAAGTGATATATTGCCATCCCAAGAATTTTCCGGTAGACCCTGCCAAGCGCAGAAAGCCTCCTGGAAACCAATGGATTTCCAATGGGGGGATGGCAATGATCTCCAAGTCACCAAGTTGCTTTGGGTGCTGAAGCCACACAACCAGGTTAATAATTATTCATGATAAACCCATCCAAGTATGAGTATGCACACACATATATATATATAAATCCACATATTTATTTGTTCTTTTAAAACATTATTAAAAAACAAAACACATAAATAAAGATATAAACAAATATAGGTATACATGATATAGAATCATTCATACCTATTCATCATCACACACACGCATACATACATGTATATATATATATGCCCCAGTAAACCATACTGTTCCAAATCGACTTAAATCACGACCTCCGGCACCATCTTGGACTCCGCAAAATCACGTCCCATCAGTCTCCTCACAGATGTGAGGCTGGTGCTTTAGCATGATCCGCCTCAGTGCAATGCAGTGCGAAGGTCCAAATATATCATGATCCAACTTGTTTTTTCTGCCTGTGAAGGAACTTAAGCCCAAAATCATGCCCTAAATACTTCCTCAGAGGGGACTTTGCTTGCTTTCCTTCTTTTGGTGATATATTTTGGTTGTGCTTTGTGACTCTTGCGGTTGTATCCCCTTATAAGGCCCCACATGATAAACAGAATAGTAATCCCTAGCGGGTAAGATCTCCAAACTATGAGCGTCAAACAATTCTGGATTTGGGGCCAGAAAAACTGTTCAATACCATTGTGCGATATCATGCAGGTATGATATGTACAGTATGTCTCAAAATCTTACTCTTGGAGATACTGTATGATCAATTCTACCAGGATCAACTGTCAACCATTGCCAAGAAAGCCATACAAAATATCATCCAAAACCCCAAACAAACTATTTAAGGAAAAACATGTCTTCACCAGCTACAACAATGAATGGATAATATATATATATAATGGACATGCTTTAAAATGTGAAGATATCATTGCCGAAATCCTCTCCCCAACTTCCCACAATGCCCAGATGCCCAGCCCAACACCGAGTGGACTCAGTGGACCGAGGTACTGCAGGAGGTCTGCTCGCGATGAGGGGAAGGGAGATGCTTGTATTCATCCCTGGCAAGTGATGGGAAACTGTGGCTTTTCTGGTTACCTTCCTACGTTTAGATGTGGAAAAGCCACCATGAATATATCATAATTTCGGGTTTCTCCATGTTTTTTTCCACATGTATCAGGTTGATGGTCTCAACCTCGCAAAATCTATCGGTCAGGAGTGAAGCTGCATTCACGATCACCCTGATCATATATGAAAGTCAATGAGGATCATCAACCCATTTCTGAGGAAGTAATGTTGTTGAAGTGTGGGGTGGCCAACAACAATGAAGCTACAGGCTGCTAAAGGGTAGCAGCCTAAGATGATACTGGGATGTCACCTTGCAAAGCGTTTGAACAAAACTGCTTTTGTCCATGACTGCCTTTCAGTCATTTTGGAGGCACGTACCAGTTGGTGCCTCAGCCTCCCCAGCTATAAGTTGCTTGATAAACCCATCAATTCCATATATAACGTGATGATACGTGATGTGTATGTGTATATATATACACCACAAATCTAACGTGGCAATGGAAAATTCACCACTTAGTTTGATGATCTTCCCTTTAAAAGCTCAATCTAGTTCGGGGATTGCCCAGCTAGCCACGTTTGATGACACCGGAGGGTACCCACCGCAAATCCCAGCTCATCTCTCCTGCGTGTTGTGGTGACAGGCGATTGGCGTTCACCTCTCCTGGCTCTGCAAAGGTTATCATCCCATCATTGTTTGTGAAGCGATCATTGTAGATATGGATTACTGGATCTATAATGATGTGATGTGATATTTTATGATATGTTATGATATGTATATAGGTATATTCATACCCTAGTTTCATCCATGTTCAGTAGGAATATCAGGTTGTGTTCATGTAGCCCAGAAACCAGGACATCTCCAAGACAAGACATGCGCTTCGGAGCAATGTGCAACCACTGGGGAGAGAAACAAAACCTACCCTCCAGTTTTTTTTCAACGCCCAAACACCTCATTTCCAAGGTTTAGGGTTTAGTTACAGATAGGGTTTTGGGCTTTAGGTAATGGGATTCTTTGGGATGTTCTGATTTTCCCGTGACTTTTCCAGGCTTTTGAGGGTTTAGGCTTTGGGGTTTCCAAGGTTTTAGAGTGTTAGGTGAAATGACGCACAGGTCCCCGGTCCCCTACCTCAGCTTTTCAGGAATGAAGAACACACAACTTTACAATGCTTTCAGAATGCCTCGGGCGAATTGAGGTGTTATTAAATAATCTAAAACTGCAAAATTTAAACAATAGGCACCATCCATCTGCTTCGCAATCTCCCAATTTTTTGGCAACAGCACAATCCTCTAATGACCATTATAAATCTGGTTGGTGCTTTCAACACCTCTGAAAAATATTAGTCAGTTGGGATTATTATTCCCAATGCATGGACAAATAAAAGCCACGTTCCAAACCACCAACCAGAAATCCTTTGATCCCATCTAATCCCCTATTGAATCCCATATTGCATCCCTACTAAACACATCCGGACTTCTCCAACCGCCTTGAATCCTCTCTGGATGACAAGCCACCGGCGGGATGCCTTGCCAAATTTTCCGGGGATGTTCGGTGAAAAAATATCGAGAAAAAGGGGAAAACGGTGGACAAATCATGAAAAAAACACAGGAAATGCTTGGATATTCAGGAACATTCTCTAGAAACAAACCTGGTTTTCTCTGGCATTTCACTATTGACTACTGAAAATCACCAGGGCAAATAATCAAAAATGCAGTTTGTTCATAGCGAACTGTTCAATTGCTTCCCAGCTATTCTTAATATTGCATGTGGCAAATCGCCGACACTTTTGCCGATCAACAGATCAACCCAGCTGGATATCGGATGATTCAGAAAGAATCCAGTTTTTCAGGTTTTTCCATCTTAGTAATCAAACGTGGCTTGCTGGACAATCCACCATTTGGCTCGAAGATTTTCCGATTTTAACACCTCCATTCAGTTCGCGGATGTCCCAGCTAGCCACGTTTGATTACTGGAGGGTAACTTCATTAATCACCATTAAAACTAACATCACCAGTAACCACTATTGACATCTATTGACCACTACTATAACCACCACATTATAACAGTGATCTATTAACATCTTCAATGGCTAACCAAAAAACACCAATGGCTAACCAAAAAACACCATCTATAACCACTATCAACCACTATTAACCAATATTTCACCACCATTAATCATCTGTGATCATTCTTTAAACCACTACAATGTGAGGCCCCCAAGATAGTTAAGTTGGTTTATAAGCCCCAGTAACTATAGTTATTTGCGTACCATAAACCATAGTTATTGGAGTTATAAACCAACTTAGACTTGGCTATCTTGGGGGCCTCACATTGTAACATTTATATTACCAATGAATGGTGCCCAACTCTGGAGCCAGGCAGTCCGACTCACGCAAATCTGTGGCTTCGGAAACCTGAGATGGGAGCTTCCCATGAAAGCACTGTGCTGTCAACGAAACATTCAACTCCTACAGGCTGGTGCCCCAGTTCGTTAGCTAAGTTGGTTAAGTCCAATTTCAATATGGTTTATAGGCATTTATAGGTGATATATTGAACTAGTTAATCGTCTAAAGCATTCAAAACACATCATGATTGTGATGCTGTGCTTGGTGAATTACAAGTTTTGATCAATGGCCATGCAACAGGAACCGATTGATTGGAGGTACCTACCATAGAAAAAAGGCCTATGTTTCAGGGCTATGTAAGGGGATATACCCCCAAAATATGGTCTTACCCTACAAACATAGCTATTGAAAATTGCCATTTATAGTGAGTTTTCCCATTATATAAAAATGGTGATTTTCCATAGTTATGTGACAGTTTACCAGGGGGTATATGGTACTAACGTAGCTCCATTTTAGGATCCTGGAAATTCATGGAAGTTCCCCCCCCATTGGTTTGATCTAGATAAAACCATGGCTAGATATCAGGGCCATGGTGATTTTCCCAAACCTCCAGTGGGGCCTGTTGGGATGTTCCAGTTACCTGAGGGGAACTCTACTCATCACCATAAATCACCATTAATGATCATTTATCACCATGAAATCACCATGATCAACAATTTACAAGCAGTACCAACCATTCACCACTATTGATTAATCACCCTTAAAATCACAATTAATCACCAGTAATTACGGTGATTGCGCTATGAACTTATGAACCCACTATTCACTTCTATTAACCCAGCATCAACCCACACTATTAACCACTATTTCACCACCATTTACCATCTCGTTTCATGGCTTTCTCACGCTGCCCAGCAACGCTGGCTGCGAGTGTGCCGCGGATGGCCCTGAGCCGTAGATCTGACGCAGCTGGCGGCCCGCGGAAGTGTCCAGGCCTAGGACCGGATTGGTTAGATTGGCAAGTGGTTAGTGGTGGGAAAAAAGTGGTAAGCAGTGGGTTATATTGCTGATGATTGATTTTAAACGAGTGGATGTGCAACACGGCTCGCGAAATCGGAGCAGCCACTCAGCCACTCAGCCACTCTGCCAGAGTGGCTGGACCAGCCACTCAGCCACTCAGCCACTCTGGCAGAGTGGATGGACCAGCCACTCTTACCAGAGCGTCTGAGTGGCTGAGTGGCTGGCTGTGGCAGAGTGGCTGGAGCAGCCACTCAGCCACTCAGCCACTCTGGCAGAGCGGCTGGACCAGCCACTCAGCCACTCAGCCACTCTGAGTGACTGAGTGGCTCAGTGGCTGGTTCAGCCACTCTGCCAGAGCGTCTGAGTGGCTGAGTGGCTGTGTGGCTGGTCCAGCCGCTCTGCCAGAGTGGCTGAGTGGCTGAATATCTGGACCAGCCACTCAGCCACTCAGCCACTCTGAGTGACTGAGTGGCTGCTCCAGCCACTCTGGCAGAGCGGCTGAGTGGCTGCACCAAGCCACTCTGGCAGAATGTCTCAGTGGGTGAATAGCTAGTGCAGCTTAGCCAATGGAGACTAAGCAGTATTACCCAGACCTAATTTTTCTTAGGTCTGGGTAATTTTTTAAGTGAGGTGTGAAGCTAATTTATGGATATTTATGGTTTCTTCCTTTCTCTTGTAGGGAACGGGGGCATATATTCTTATGGATTCAATGGAATTTTATGCAAACATTTGTGTTAAAGGGTTGTGAGAAAGAAGTCATGTGCAACTTAGCCAATAGAGTGTAAGCAGTATTACCCAGACCTAATTTTTCTTAGGTCTGGGTAGTTTTTTGAGTGAGCTTTGAAGCTAATTTAGGGTTTCTTCCTTTATCTTGTAGGGAACGGGGGCATATATTCTTATGGATTGAATGGAATTTTATGCAAACATTTGTGTTAAAGGGTTGTGAGAAAGAAGTCATGTGCAACTTAGCCAATAGAGTGTAAGCAGTATTACCCAGACCTAATTTTTCTTAGGTCTGGTTAATTTTTTTTAAGTGAGGTTTGAAGCTAATTTAGGGTTTCTTCCTTTATCTTGTAGGGAACGGGGGCATATATTCTTATGGATTGAATGGAATTTTATGCAAACATTTGTGTTAAAGGGTTGTGAGAAAGAAGTCATGTGCAGCTTAGCCAATGGAGACTAAGCAGTATTACCCAGACCTAACTTTTCTTAGGTCTGGGTAGTTTTTTGAGTGAGGTTTTATGTTAATTTAGGGTTTTTTCCTTTATCTTGTAGGGAACGGGGGCATATATTCTTATGGATTGAATGGAATTTTATGCAAACATCTGTGTTAAAGGGTTGTAAGAAAGAAATTATTAGTCACTTGTGTTAAAGGGGTTCGCTCTGTGGGTCTCTGCGGATCATTATGGCGAAAGGAAGGATACATTTGAGTATAGTTCTAATCTTTTTATATATGCATGTTTATATATATATATACATATATATACATATATGAATATATTATTACTTCTCTATCGCTTTGAACAGTTATGGTCACTTCATTGTGTGCTATGGATTGTTATTACATGGTCGAGCTAGTTTAACAATTTGTGTACAAAATGGTGAGGGTCTATGTTGCAAATCTGATGCAAATTGTTAGTGGTTAGTGTCATTACCGGGCACACCTCTTCAGCTGGTAATTGTTGAATCAAAAAACAATCGGGACGCATTCAACTTTAGAATTAAGAAAAGAATCGAAAGTATTTTCGCTTCCATCGTTCCCTCTCTTTCTGGGGGACTTTCGTTTATCTGACGGCTGACCTTCGACTTAATACTTTGCCAGAAAACTACTAGCAAATAAATTCACATGCGATATGTTTTGCAAAAAGGCTGATAGATCTTTGAACCAATGGGAACGATTTATAGTTGGGTTTACCATATCATATTTTATGGATTTTGGCTTTAGTAACTTGGCGTAGATTCGAAGCGTATCGACCTTGTTGCCATCTCCTGCTCAACCCCAAATCTCCTTAGTGAATTTGGATGAACAATTCAAAGATGCCGTTTTGCACTGATTTTTTTGAAGATCAAATGTTGACGGCTGCAGTATGCATGGAACAGCTGCGATCTAGGGGATACAGTACCATTGAACAACAGTAGCAATGTTGAGGCTGGTTCTTGGCAGTTTCGGACTGTTGGTGTAGAACACATTTCAAGAACATAAGCAATTCACAAACAATGCCAAATAGCTTCTGGTGCTTGCAAAACGGACTTAGGAACTATTGTTAATCCGTTCCCACCAGGTGCTGCCGTACACAGCGCTGAAGACAGCAGCGCGTCCGGCATGCAATGACGGACGAAAGGATAAAAGTAAAAGTAGTGGTGTTCTCAACAAATGAAACAAATGAATTCCTTGTGCAAAGCATTGTCGGCATCACATTGACCGAAAGATCAATTATGATGATTTTGTGTTCAACGTGTATACGTATGGATATATTTATTTGCATTGGCCAAAACTATTGACAAGAAAATGGTAGAGTTCGAATGTAGTTTGGTTCATAGCGTGTTGAAACACTACATACAAATAACTAACATTATCGCGAAACCGAGCCAGCAAAGAATATAAATTCAGATGCAATGTGTGCAGAGATTTTTTTTACGGGGCTTAAGTTACGTATGTATCGAAAAAACTTTTCCATACAGCTACAGTAATCTGCTACCAGTGAAGGAAGTTTGTTAATTATCCATCCTGGCCACTCAGCCACTCAGCCACTCTAACAGAGTGGCTGGACCAGCCACTCAGCCACTCTGCCACTCTGCAGGCATGGGTTGGTCTCTCCTTCACCAGCCCCCCTCCTTCCACTCACCACTCAGCCACTCTGCCAGAGCGGCTGAACCAGCCACTCAGCCACTCTGCCAGAGTGGCTGGACCAGCCACTCAGCCACTCAGCCACTCTCCCAAAGTGGCTGGACCAGCCACTCAGCCACTCACCACTCTCCCAGAGTGGCTGGCTGTTCGGCTGAACCTAACCCACCACAGAAACCAGCCACTCATCCACTCAGCCACGCGCCCAGTTGGCTGGAGCCAGCCACTCAGGCCACTCATCCACTCTCCCAGAGTCGGACCGCCCTCGCAGCCACTCAGCATCTCCAGAGTGGCTGGACCAGCCACTCAGCCACACAGCCACTTTGTGAGCGTGGCTGGTCCAGCCACTCTGGCAGAGTGGCTGAGTGGCTGGTCCAGCCACTCTGGGAGAGTGGCTGAGTGGCTGAGTGGCTGGGGTGATAATTTCCGCCATTGCGCGTTCAATCTTTTTTACCATGTATTGTATTAGTAGTACTCGATTTTTTTAATGATCGATTGATCAAACTTAACATTCTTATCATCTATTTCACAATGCTATTGATCAGCCTGATCAGCTGCTTTATTATCATCTACCCAAAATGGTGTCATCATTGCCGTGGTGTGCTGGAAAATACACCATTTATTGCCAGTTCGATGATTCTCCTATTGCCAGAGGGTACCGACAGGGACCGTTGTTGTTTATGGGAGGAAGCATCGAACCAAGCACAGTTGGCCAGTGGGAAAGGACACGAAACCCATGGGCCTCACAATACATGAACTGAATTCCGGATTCCATGCAAGAATTTCCACATGAATCAAAATAGACAAAGCATACAATGATATAAAATTGAACCAAGAAGACAAGTAAATTAGTGGGATCATAGACCCTCTGGTTATGACCAACATAGCCATGGTATAGATGGCCCTAATCGAAATAGATGGTTCACCTATTGAAAATGATGATTTTCCATGGCAAACCCCCCGGTCATCCCACCACACTGGCATGTTGTGAGCACAGGTACTTGGATATCCCTGGCAACGTGGCTATAATATGCAAAAAAAATGCATGGCATACCCAAAGTCAAACATTATGCACTGATTTTATATCAGCTATTTGTAATTACTAAGAGGGAAGCAGCCATTATACGGGCGTACATGCAAGACGAAGTATGAGCAAACAGAATTCAGCGGGTATTGGCAGCAGGTTTCAAGCCGGCCCCCCCCAGGTAGTGTACCCAAATCTAGTTATAATACTGGGAACCCGGCACCAAACTTCTTAGGCGACAAAAATTGACGAATTTGACAAGAAAATGCTGTAGATCTGGCATAGAATCAATACGAATTTCAAGGATCCTAAAATAGAGGCACTGTACCATGTAAAGCAATATTTTGGGGATATATCCCCTTACATGGCCCTGAAAAATAGGCTTTTTTCTGTGGTAGGTACCACTAATCAATCGGTTCCTGTTGCATGGCCATTGATAGATTCTTAGAAGGGCACCATCATATAGAGGAAAGGATTGAAGGCCCCCTCATCCTTAGGGGCTGGGCCAAAGATCTTCCATAGCCTGCAGTTGTCCACATCCTTAGAATCTAGCGGTCTTGGTGTAGCTTCAAGGGCCGAAAACGTGGAAAATCTACGAACATATAGATCATATAGGAAAAATCTAGGATCATATAGGAAGCAACATAGGAAACATGTGAGATGTAGGAACATGTAGGAAAATGCAGGAAAATCACATAGGAAAGTACAGAAACGAATCAGTGAATTCAGTTGCTTTTTTGGAGCGACTGAGTTCACCACTAGTTCACCATCCACACAAAAATCTCAAGGTGTGATAATTCAACACTATTTTAAAAGAACTTTACTTTTCTATCTTTTTTGATGGCTGCATGGCTGCTTTATGCTTATTGGAAGGCGGCTAATCACGTTCATCCGGTCATGATAGTGCCTGCGCACTGGGAAGAACAGAAACTACTGGCCGCCGGGGCCGCCGGGAAATCCATGTGGCCATGGTCTAGCCATGGAGGTTTCGTTCACGAGGAAAATCAGCGAACCAGCCATGGAGCTGATTCCAGGAGGACTTCATCACCATTCATCACCACTAAACACCATTGACCATGACTTGCAAATAATTCAACAGGTGGCCCGCGGGTTTGGCAGTTCTCCGGCTAGGCCCGGGCCCTCTCCGGCTAGGCCCACGCACTCGCTTCCATGCATCTTTATCTTGCAGGATAGGTTGCAGCTTTTTGGCACCTCAATGCGTTTTTTTTGCAGCAAATGTCCGTGAATTGGGGTATTTCCACTGGCAAAACATCAAAGAATTGCTGGTTGGTGGTATACCTACCCCTCTGAAAAATATGAAAGTCAAATGGGATGATTATTCCCAATATATGGGAAAATAAAAGCCATGTTCCAAACCACCAACCAGTTTTGTAAGTGCCCATGGGCAAGATTGCTCTAACTTTTCTCCACTGTGCAAGTTCTCGCTTGTAATTGAACACAATTGAACACAATTGCTCAGGCTTCATCTTTTCCCCATTGTCGGAGATGTCCCGTTTTCTTGCTTCTACTTATATCATCTTATATTTGCTTATATAGTAAATTCACTTAAGCCACAAAAAATCCACATCTGGCTGGTTCAAATCTAAGCCAATTCCCAGTTGGGATGGCTGGAAAGTCACCCCAAAAGTCCGCGAAAATTATGACAGATGCATACAAATGCCATGAGTTTAAAGAAAAAACGAGTGAGCAATGTATACATTCCCATCCGCAACTAACGATGATGAAACATATGTGTTTGACTGAAAATAGTAACCCTAAATCCATTGTTTAGTAAGCAGTTTCCCTGTTAGAATTGCCGTTTGGAAGGTATATCGGTGTATATATAATATATATATATATATATACATACATCCCATTTTCAGACACACCCATATATCATATATTGTTCGTGATACATTCCATGATATCCCATGAAATTCCATATTAACTGGTTAATCATGGTTAATCCATGTTAACCTCATGAAATCCCATTTACGAAGTGAGCGGAGCGTATAATCCATGGTGGCCAAGCATCGCCGCTTGCGCTGGGAAAGCACGGACCTTCTTCGAGACGAACCTGGTCCGTGACCCACCAAGGAGCTGGGAACGATGGGACGATATTATCCCCCGAAAAAAAAAAAAAAACTCCAGGAGTTGGGATAGAACCCCTATAAAATTATGAGATATTAACGGATATTATATGATATTATGGTTATGTAGCCATTTATATCAAATATCCGAATCCGCACCAAGTCATCACATGTACCAAATGAAAATAATCTACAAATGAAAGTTTAGAGCTGGGAAAAGCAATTATAATGGATTCTCCAGCAAGCCATGTTTGAGTACCGGAGGGTACTTATCAGAATAGTGCTTTACCCCATGATCTTGGTACTTAACCACTTTGGGGTGGATGGGTGGCATTTGGAGGACCAACCTCCGTTTGCTTTCTTTGAAAACCACCCTCCAATGGTTCATCAAATCTCCGGGATCTGATCGCGGCTTCATTTTGATGCAACTTTTCCTAATGACCATCCCCCCAAACCCGTAACGACCATCCTCCACATTTTGACCGACATCTATGGTGATAGCTATAACCATCGATGGGTTTCAAGCCAAAGCCGGACTCAAAGAATCTGTTGATTCGCCACCTCAAAGTGATCAGCTATACCGGGACCGTCCCTATGAGTAAATCCTTGGATATCAAGGCCCCGCCACCCCAAAGAAAAAAACTCCAGCCTTTGGACTGCTGCATTTTGCAGGGTACCTCTCAGTGTTTCGCCACGTTCCAGGGATTCCAAGAGACGAGCGATGTGTGTTTGTTGTTGGTGTTTTCCACGACAAGATGAACATTCCAAGAGAAGCCCAAGGGTCAACAAAGCCCAGAATTGATCTAATTGGTGGTTTCAACCTACCCCCCAGAAAAAAATGATGGAGTTCGTCAGATTGGATCATCATCCAGTTCCTATTGGGGAAGTCATAACAGCCATGTTCTTAACCACCAACCAGGTTATGGCGCGTTCACCAGGAAGAAACCCAGGCTCCAGGATGCCCCCACGGGCACGAGCTTGGCTTGAGGACCACCTGTCAGTAGAGCCAAGGTATAGAGATCACTGACCTGGCGCCAAGCCATGGCGACATGGCGAAGCCAGGAGGGAGATGATAAGAAAACAACAACATATCATCTCATATAAACTAACATATCCCTCCTATATAAATGTTATGTTTATTCTAAGATATCATCTAAACTAACATAGATATCGAAAACCCATCATTTGTAGATCATTTTCCTAGGGAAACCCATGGGGTTTTCCACATCTTTCCTAGGTTACCAGAGGGCCAGAGGGTAACATGATGCACTTGCGCATTGAATTTAGGGTATACTGTACCCCATGTCTTTTCCATTTTGATATATTTCTACATTGGAAACACATGGGACCAATAATGTCCTTTTGGAAAAAATAGGGTTGGGCCGGTTGGGTATACCATCTATCATCATTGACCTGTTGTTAAAGGGGTTTGTTCAAACCCCTCTATTTATCAACCAACCAATGGGAAAAGGACATCTATGATGGGGACATTATGATACATCATGATCCTCAAAGTGATCATGTTGGCTACAGAGCTTCCCGGGCGTTTTTAAAAAAATCCGGAAATGACCAGCCACAGTGGGGACACCAGTGAACAGTCACCAACAAATCTTGCGCAACTCGGGTGTCTTCAATATGAATGTGCAGGGGTTAGCCATCCAACGTCCAAAGTGACCAGGAGGTAGGATTCGAACCAAGAAGTCTCCCTTCAAAATTCGAAGTGACTTGGACCAGCACCGCTTCAAGATGATTCAACCCAACGATCCAGCCGCTGAATCTGCAAGGGAATATTATCAATTACCAGTTTCATTACCATGATTACCATATGTAATCGTATATAAGCGTGATTGTAACTGTCATGATTATATACCATATCATTATCATTATCATGATGATCATTATTACTATAGTCTCATTGTTCAATATCCGTATTTTGATCCGAATTAATACAGTATTACTATAATCATCAATTTTATATTGTTATAATAAAATCATCATTAGTATGGACTATAATCATTTCGTCTAATCATCACACATAATCATCTCATTAGTATAGACTATAATCATCATATATATATAATCATCATTAGTATTACAAGTTTCTTCATTAGTCTTCTCGTTCTGGTGTCGCGAAGTCCTCAGGCGATTGCGCTGCTTCGCCTTCATGTGCTTCCTTTCTGCCAGCTGCTCCAAGGCTGCGCCAAATTCGAAGAAATCCTGGGAGGTTTCGCCCCGTTTCGCCCCTGGACGTGCTCAAATACGATTGGCTAGTCGCAGGAAACAGTGTATATGGTGTATTTCATGGTTTCAACGCCAAATATATAGGGAGTTCCTGTCCTGGGTTTTCTTTGGATTGCTGGGAAATGGTGTTTCATGCTGCGGAAGTAGGTTAGTTCACCCCAGTTATCAGTGGAATAACCCTACTTATCCCATTTATAGCCAGGGATATAACCTTGGACATGCTCAAGTGAATGGATTGGCTGATTGGCTTAAGGGAAAATCTAGAGGAAACCGTATAGTTTTTAATTCCACATGTAGGGTTTTCGAATTGAGAGATGTTGCCGGGATAATCCGACAGTTTGTCCTGTTTTTTTGCTGTGAAATATGGGTTCTTTGCTGCAATATGTTCCCCTTTTTTACCAACCTAAGGCCCTAAGGAGATGTTGGAAGGTTTCGGAGGGAGTGGCATATCAAAGAAGAAGAGTGAAGAAGTAACTTATAATGAAGATCACCACAAAATGCTCAATGATGGTGTCAAGAGACCTCCTTTTTGGGATGTTCATCTGCCAATTTGTTGGGACTGGGCCTAGTAGTTGAGATCAAACATATGAGCCATGTTCTAAATGTCTTACATCTTGGCACCAAATAAGGAAATGCTTACGCCATTGCTTACGTTTTACTTACGCGCGCGCGGGTTTTGCTTACGCGCATATCTTTTCTTACGCGGAGCTTACGCTGGCTTACGCGCACCACAGTTTTGCTTACGCCACACCCTTACAAGGGGCCCCTTGCTTAACATGAACACAAGAGTTTAGAACGTGGCTCATATGTCACATGAATGTAGTCATTAAAAAACCGGTCTCCATTTCACGCTTGAAAACCACACACAACAAAACCAATCATCACAGTTTAAGTCATTACATTCAGCCAGAGGTTTCGAAGTTTCACGTGGTTTCACGTGTCACATATGTTTGGTTGTTTTTGTGGGCTAATATGGGCTAATAAAAAGAACATGACATAATTATTAAATCGATAAACTTGCCTAAATACTCTACATTACCAAAAAATAGATAACAAGTTCAGATCAATTGATCGAACATATATCGAACATCAATATGACAACTAATTCAACAAAGGCCAGTTAATATCAAAAATATATCAAAAATTAACCAGTTACTCACAACAAATCTAAACTGTAAATATTAATCAGTTAATCATAATGAATCTAAATTCTACATAACCCCCACGTTTTTCCCTATGTTTTCCCGTTGAAACTAGGTGACACCGTTGAATCCCAAGGCGTTTTTGGTGACCAAAAGGCCAACGTGCGACGTCCGGGACCTTTCACCCGGTGATCGTTGAAGACCAACTCCTAGGGGAACGGAGTCCAATGGAATGATGATTAGCAATAGTGGTTAATGATGGTTAATGGTTAATGGTGGTTAATGGTTAATGATGGTTAATAATTAATAACGGTCAATGATGGTTAATAATGGCAAATAATTGTTAATGGTTAATGATGGTTAATGGCTAATGATGGTCAATAATTGTTAATTATTGTTAATAATGGTTCATCATGGCTAATGGGAAATGAGTTAATAATGGTTAATGGTTAATATTGGTTAAACATGGATAATGATGGTTAATAATGGTTAATAAAGGTTGATGGTTAATGATGGTTAATAATGGCTAATAGTGGTTAATGGCTAATGATATTTAATCGTGGTGAATGGTAAATGGTTAATGATGGTGATTAATGGTTAATAATGATTAATGTTTAATGGTGGTTAATAATGGTAAAATAGTTAATAATGGTTAATAACGGTTAATAATGGTTATGGTTAATGATGGTTAATGGTTAATGATGGTTAATAGTGGGTAATAACGGTTAATAATGGTTAATGGTTAATGATGGTGAATGGTAAATGGTTAATGATGGTTATTAATGGTGATTAATGGTTAAAAATGGTTAATGGTTAGTGATGGTTAATAATGGTTAATGGTTAATGATGGTTATTAATGGTGGTTAATGATAACTTCACTGATAATATGAATAGGTGTGTTAATTCTATCAATACTTATTTCACTTATCATACGAATAATAAGTTTTGATTATGGGGGATACCCTCTGGTAATGACTAGCATATTGAAAATGGCAACTTATAATTATAATGTGGGTAAACAATAAATATAAATAATATATAAACCACCCATGACTGAGAATGATAAGCATACCACCTATAAAAATGGTGATTGGGGGGAGTAATGTCTAACATAGCTATTGAAAATATGGCACATTTAGAAATAGTTGATTTAGAGAACTTAAATATTGTGATTTTCCAGTTTGCAAACTGTTCGTTTACCGGAAGGTATGTCACTTATAATATGAATAGTTCCATGGAGATATTTAGCCACAGTTTATGGATTCTATCAATAGATAGGATGAAACATCTCCACTGTTTAGCCACTTGATCCATGGACATATTCCAGTGAAATCGGATTTTTAAATATTTTTAACACTAATCTGAAGATGGGATGAGTTGGGGATCTTTCTCGGGGTGTATATATATATATATGTATATATATATATACACATATCTATTATCTATATGAGTGAACTCAACAATCTGTAACTTAATATTTGGCTTCGTCCAAAGACTCGCTGGATACTGATGATTTTGTTGCGATCATATGCTGGTGGGGTTTGAACGGTTTGACAAAACAGACTTTTTAACCCAGCAACATCGGGACTTAACAATTAACCAGCCAATCAAATCCAATCAATAGGATATGGATAATTAAAAAAAATGCCCAGGTTAACCAATAACATTCAATAACATAGGGATAATAACATAGGGTTGAACACTAACAGTACAACCAATCAATTCTGTCTTTCGGCCTGTCCAAACATGGGGGATACTACTACTAATTCCCGGGAAAAAAACTCATCTGAACAGTTCAGCGCCAATTTCGGATAGTGACCGCAAATTACTGATCATCATTCCAGTAACGCAATCAATGGTTATCATGGTCAGCAGCCCAGCTTCGTCATTGGGATATATCAGCAACGCAGTTTCTCAAGATTCCCCTACTATAAAGGCGCCAAATCACTTGGGGGAATCCCCAGGAATCCAAACCAACCCAAACCATCAGTGTACTTGATTGAGGTATCGAAAACCTGGTAAAACCGCATTAAATCATATTAAATCCACAAACCCATCTCCAAATCGTCAAAATATATCAAAATATGATTAGAACGCAGGGTTGCAGTGCTGGATGAAATGGAAATGGAATCAACCCGTGTTGAAAACATGGCAATAGGATTTCCCTTTGTTACTACAACAACAACAACAACAACAACAACAACAACAACAACAACAACAACAACAACTTTTTCCATCAATCGAACCCCTGGCTTAGGCTTAGTCTTGTTTTATATTGTTTCCGTGTTGCTTCGTCTTATCAGTTGGGGGGCAGGGTAAAAACTCCCCGCCATGTCCAGCATCCGCCGCAGCTGTGGGGAGAGTGGAATCGGTGATCTGGCAGTTCTTGCAGAACTTCCTCAGGCGGTTCCCTGGTTCCGTGGTGGTTTCACCGCTGGGGAGATCCCATAATCACTGCAGAATAATCTGGCTGTATGATATGTCCAGTGATATATATATATATATAAATAAGAGCTATACATATATACATATTGAACACGCACATATAATCTATATATATATATATGGGATCATGAATATGCATTAATATGTCGTTGTATGAAGTATTCATATCTCCACTTCCAAATGGAACTGCACTCCCAAGTATAGTGACGCTTTTTCGCCGCTTGGATGTGCATCTCAGGAATTTTGAGCACTTGCCCGTCTCAGGGTGTCATCAAGCATGGTTAGCTGATGTTGGCTGGGAAAAGCCTGAACTAAGTGATGCTAAATGGATCTAAATGGGTATTATTTATATTATTATTTCACAATCTGAAAATCATCTGTGAGGAATTCTCCGGCAAGTCATGGAGCTGATGATGATCAAACATGATCAGAGGGTAACCAGGTGTCTCACATGAAAAATTGCCACTGCGGATGGCCCCCCGCCACTGGACGAGTTTCACAAAGTCTTTCATCTCCATCTCCTGAGTTTTCAAGGCCAGCGGCCAGCGTCTGTCTATACTCCGACTTGAATGAGTCACCTGCTTCATCTGGTTGAGTTGCATAAATTAATGATTCAATTCTATTCCATGTTGATTCAATTCTATACCATATTTCTCTTGATTGGTGACCTGTTCCACTTGATTCCATTTGATTTATTGGATTGGCTTAAGCGACAAGCCGCAGGAAACCATGATTCTTTCCCGCTAAGTGCAAACGGTTTCCCGTCAAAAGTCAAATCGGACAGCAGATGCACTGTCCCACAGCCCAGCAGCCGTCTTGCCAGGACCACAAAAGACATAAAAGACGGCATCTAATCCATCACTATCAATCTCAGCGCAGCGAGGAGACACAGGAAACAGTTTGTTGGCCTGTTGGCTGGCAGTGGTAAATCCACTAATCGTTCAAGCCGGGCTGAAACCATTTGATATCATTGGAAATCCGTCATTTGTTTAATGGTTTTTCATGGGGTTACCATGTCATCAATATTCATCAACGGGGTTAGAACTTAACTATATAATAATATTATATATATATATCTCTATCTATCTAAAACTCAACTGGTATTTTGGGCCATAACTATAACTGTAAGGTGCGAGATGTCTGAGACATTCCCTGAATGGCTCAGAGTCATCGTTCTCTTCTAGTCAGTGTGTATGAACCATGCACGAACCATGTTGGCATAACTCATTCTGGGCTGCTTAGAGACCGCACGCGTATGCCTACACGGGCAGAACTTTGTGTATGATGCCGGTGGGATTGAAAATCATGTTTGAACTTATCAGTGCCAATCGGAAACAAATTAAAGCCTAAGGAGCCACATTCTATATACTCAGCAGCAAGATAGGCCAAAAGGATCCAAAACGAAGAAAACATAAGAAAACCAAAATTGGCAAGTGGGTGAAAATGGAGTAAACAATCGGCATTCCGAAGTGGCCCCCGCATGGGAAACCGCTACAAGCACAGCTGCTTTCAATAAGAGCTTGGCCGCACAAGGCGCTCGGCTTGGGTACACTGAACGGTTGTTCAGTTTTGAGCTGTGCGTCATATTTCGCCTTCATGGTCAAAGACAAGCTCATTATAACCCATAGGATCCATGGTGCTGGTATATATGCTAACATTTGGGGTATATTGATGGTAAATGTCACCATATATAGCATACATGGATCCTATGGGTAATAACTAAATCCACAAGTATTATTTTCTTAGCCAATCACAGAATCGAAGACCCAGTCTGCCAGGTCGGGTCGCACGTGACTGAGAACCCCAGCCGGTGCAAGGATGGTTTTGCCTTTCAAGACTTCCTTGGAATGGGTACCGCGTCTCATCCAGCCAGAAAACTCCTGCGGAACCCGCGGAAGTATTCGGAAGTGCGGAACTGTGCCGATATGGCTCCTGAATGGAGGCATGGCTTTTGTTTCTGATGCTATCCGACTATCCGATCATTTCAGATAGCTGAAACAAGATATAATTTCAGATAGCAGATTCTGATACTATCCGACTATCCTATCAGGGAAAAATTGCCCCTTTTGCAGATCATTTACCTACTTCTCTCTCTCTCTCTCACTCTCTCTCTCTCTGTCTGTCTCCTCTGATTTACTTTTTCAAAGGATGATTTTCCGTAGCTATTTTCAATTACCAGAGAGTACAAATCTCCTCGTGCCCAGTCTTGACCCACAGGCCCACAGTTATCTTCAAAGGCTATCCAGCTGATATCGAATGCATCGGAACCTGGTGAAGCTTCTCAATAATGCTCACATAATTGAATGAATCAATTAACCAAAATTGTCAAAATCATTTTTCAAACCGATCACTGGATGATTTTGGCAAGTGCGAATTAGTTAACTAAAATTGCCAAAATCATTGACTGAGACTAATTAACCATCATTCTAAGGAATGTTTTGGATGGTTTCCGGATCACTTTCGAGACTAGTGAACTCACAAGGATATATATAGACTTTTTCGGGGTTCAGGGCATCAATCATGAGACGCCAGTTTCCATGGCGAAATTCGCGATGGTTCTTCGTTCCCAATCATTGAGGAAAAACTAGTGAAAAAATAAACATGGGCCACATGTCCTGTGAAATCTGGCAAAGGTGTAGTGAAACAGTTCACAGGTACCCAGTTATTTGTGGGTCAAAACCCTGGGTACCTTGGTTTTCACATCCAAATGCAGCTTGTGTTTAAGGTTGATCCCTCGAAAATATGATGAAAACCCAGGTGAACCATGCCCACTTGGAGGTTTCCGAAGTCATGGGGGTACCCCTGAAATCATCCATTTCTGGTTGGTGGTATACCTACCCCTCTGAAAAATATGAAAGTCAGTTGGGATTATGAAATTCCCAATATATGGAAAGTCATTATCCAGCCATGTTCCAAACCACCAACCAGACTTTAATAGGATGTTCATTAAAAAAAACATCCAGCTAACCCTCACTTTGGTATCCAAAGACTTTGGACAATCAGGACCCGGGTCCTTGTAAGAGATAACACCATCCTGGGCACCGCAATTTTTTGCGCTACACGGAAAACAGCGGCATCGCAATAGTCAACATTTCGGAAGTTGGTCAAAAAAAGGTAACTGTAAACATTGTATAGATGTAAAAGTAAACAATGGCGATTAAAGAATATAGGTTCATTTTTAAGATGTGCAGGGGTAAACAAATGGTTAAACACATAAATCCCTAGCAACATCTTGGAGTAAAAGGGCCAACTTCAGATGATGGTTCCTCTATTTCTATCTATCTATGCGGTCAATTAACCCACCAATTAGCTCGAGGATTTTCCATCAACCTCCATTCAGCCATGTTTGATTGCCAGAGGGTATATGCTATGAAAATTCATTGAATCCTATGATGTTCCCGTATTTAGTCATGTTATGACCATGTTTTTCATCTCCAGATGGGGATGGGTCAAAGCTAGGTACAGTACCGAAAAATGATTTTTTGATGGTGAATCCTAAAAAAAACATCAAATCATTTTCCGATATTTTAAGCCCCATAATCCCAATCCAATTATTGGATGGTTCCCCAATCCAATCATTGGATGGTGAAAAATTAATCCAAAAAAATATAGATCTCCCAAGATTTGGATGGTTAATCCTAGGTACCATCAATTACCATCAATTATTTGCATGAATCCTAAAAATCCTAGGTACTCTGTGGTCCCCCAGGTCTTATTTTCTTGACTCATAGCCCAAGCTGCATTGCTGGTATCCAAGTCGTGGCAGATTCTGTTCACCTCCTCCTGGCGAGCATCAGGACAAGCATTGAACAAGATGGGGGGAAGAAAGTGCTGTTGGGCAGTTGGGCCGTATCCTGGATATATATATATATATGTTATATTATATTATAAATATATATTATATATTATTTTATATATATATATATATCAAGTCCATTAAAATCCATACATACATACATATCAAAACTGGCTTCAACACATATATATATATATAATTAATCCATGTTCAATTATAGTTTTGATAGCTATCATATGGTTGGGAAACTCAAATAGTGGCTCCAATGTGGCTCCGATCCCTTCACTCACCACTGGATAGTGTTGGAATGCATCTTGGAACTTCCTTTTTTGGTGGCTTCGGGAAGTAGGTCAAGCTGATGCCAAAGGTTCTTGACCTAAAACCAAGCAGTTTTTCAATGGGCATGTTGTGTGCCTTCTGCGATGAATTTTACATGGAAAGAACTCGAAATCTTGGACCTCAATACCCTCTGGTAATTTAACACAACTATAGAAATCACCATTTTATAGCCGGGTAAATTCACTATCAATGGTCATTTTCCATAGCTATGTTAGTTTACCAGAGTAATGATCTCACCAATGCTGAGGCACTGGGAACCGCAAACTTCACAGTTTCAAGCAGGGACTCCATCCCATGTTTCAGGGGTGAGTTTGCTGGCGAAGCGACCTATTTTCTGAAGGTTTTACAATGGTCTTATCGTGTTTCATCCGCTTCAAATGATATCCAAGGATGAATCATGTCAAACCAGATGACCCAGATGTATATTCAATGTTTTTAGTCCTGTTTTTCTCCATTTTGCTTGGGAAGATGGCAGTCACGCCTGGTTGAAGAGAAACATCTTGGACATCGCATTCCCTGGGCGACATCCATGGTTCACCATGGGGACCCTGCGACATGTGAAGAAAGGGTCCACAGTGGACACTGATGTCATGGCTTACCAATTCCAAGAACATGATCAGTAAATAGGCATGAAAACTCTTCTCATCCACCTTGCCGTCGATGCAAGATGTTCGGATATGTTCGGTCAAACGAATTGCTCCAGCAGGTTTGAGAAACATGAAGAAATACTCAAATCATGTCAATAGGAATGATGCAAAAAGACCGTTCTCCGCTCCTAAGTTGACAACTCAAATGCCAGGATGTAGATAGGGTTCACATTGCTATTGAGAGTGAGTGCCACCTTCTGCATGTTGATTGCCCCAGGATGTCCCAAGACTCAGCGGCCAACTCCTATCATTTTTTAACAGCCGTATGCAAAATGTGAATGGTTCAAAAAAGATCCACAAAACCCTGGGGCCGGCGTTTGATTTAAACATGAGAAAGCCATTCGGCAAAAACCACAAACCATGGCTAATCTTCAGGTAGCTCCATGTTGTTAGCTGCGATTCACAGCATCAATAAACCCGAAAGCCATGCCACTCATCTCTTCCATATCTAAGAAGCCATCGCCGCTAACATCATACCTGGTTGCGGTGCTCAGCTGAGCTGGGGAGGTTTGAATTGAACTGCAATGGCTGGGGGTCAATAAAACTTCCCTCTCATCCTAATATGAAATACCGTTCCCCGATACTTCACTGCAGATCTGCAGTGTCTAAGGAGACATTTCTGAAAGAGGCAAGGGATGATAGAAATACTCTCCGACAATCATGGCAATGGAAACTCCACTACTGTGGATGATTGTCCTATGAAAAAATCATTTATGAGAAAACATTACCAACTATTAATAGTAGAATTAATTACCAACTATTATTTATGGATGAAATGCTCCATTGCCATGTTTGCCAAACATGTCACGTGTTTCTCGCTATGGGCTCTCCCTGCAGGGTTTGCAGGCCCAGCAGGTCACATGTCAAAGGCTTCACGGACACGCTGTTCTCGGACGGGCCCGGTGACAGCCCTGAGTCTGGACGCCAATTTTCCTGGCGAAGGATCACGGAAATCAAGAAACCTTAAGGGAAGATCCCATCGCAGATCACCCCATGTTTGTACAACATGATGATATGATGTATGTAACATTTATGGAAGGTATCGCTCACAGGAAAATGGGGATCCAATGGGGCTGTTTGTTGATCCAACATGAACAGATTGAGGGAATTTTATGGAATTTTGTCATTGTTCTTATGGCAAAATTGAGGTCAGGTTAACACAGGATGAACAGAAAGACCCTGGTCGAACTGAGGAAATGTATGATACTTTTTCAAGGTGATCATTTGTTTTGGGAACCATTCGTCAGATTGATTCAATCACATTATCCAGCAATAGGGCGCCCAAACAATAGGCGGTACACTATATCCAGTGTCAATGGTAAGAACCCAGCAACGATGTGTTCCCGAAATCCAGGGACTTCAGTTGGCATGTGTCTATCTGTCGACATACACACACATATATGCATCATGTTATATACAGTTATATACATATACATGGGTACAGTTCAAAATTGGCTACACCGATACGTTGATAATCTCCAAAAATAGACATGCTAATCAAATATGTGCCCCCCCAGGTTCTTATTATATATATGTGTGTGTAAATATATATATATTATTATTATTATTAAGTCTTATCCAATTGCAAGTGAGTCTTATCCAATAGGGAAGTGGGTCTGTGGTCATGAAAGCTCGCTCGATGAGAGGTGGCCATTTTGGCCCAGGATTGTCCAAGAAACTGGTGGTCCAAACTCCAAACAATGATTTATAATCAGATTCCAACCTAACTGTGGGATTCCAATCCAACCTAACTTCCCGACCATGATTATAATCAGATTCCAATAAGGGAATACTTAGTACCTCAGTTCTTAGCCATGACCTCGTCATCCAGCAGCGGTTCGTCGAGCTCTAGCTCGGAAGATGAGGAGGAGATTGGGATAGATTGGGGCTGTGATTTATGTCAGTGATGTGCAGGCATCACCTATTAATCTAGACGCAGGAACCACCACTACCCCAGAATCTTGTGGACTACCTTGAAGTGGGGAAGATCTTCCTCCAGAAATCTGGCTGCCCGGAGGCAATCCAACAAATCATAATGATCTCCAATGTTGTTGAATGACTGGCCTCTTGTGTTTCGTAAAATTTCCAACAATGATTCTGGTGGGTACACTGGCCAAGGCCTTGAGAGTTGGTTTGCCTCATGGCCATCAAAAAAGAAGTTTCACTATGTCTCGGATTGTATCCCAGACGCATTAGCACCCCACAGTTGCAGCACCTTTTTGTAACCACCCGCCACAATCAATCAAAGGAATGGCTCCGTTGTTTGTGAGGCAGTGGCGCAGATGTCCCCTACTTTGGCCTCAAAATGGTGCTCGAGGCTGCGGAGAAAGACAAAGTTTTAAAACATCTGACCCTAAGCTTGAAAAGTAGCAATTCCACTTACTTGTGTATAATTGGCAATCTGTTTTTTTTGTAACAGCCACCTCATCTAAGGGCAGCGTCAGAAATCAACCCGCAGAAGCGCAAGTTCTTGGAGAAGAACATCAAATGTGAACGGTATCTAGCCTTCATGAACTGATACGCTGGGCACAGTGGTTACAAAAAAAAACATGGTTATATAAATTGATCCGCAACCAGTCCGAACGCCGAGGCTGACCGAATCAGTGTTGATCCAGGACAACTCTGGCCTGGAAGACTGTGCTTCTTGGATGTATTTAACTTTGGGCAAGATGTTCTGCTACAATATCACTATGTGTGAATATGAATTTGATTTGATTTGTTGGATCACACTTAGGTGAGTCTCTACCTCGCAGGATTCCCCTGTACACCATATAGCAGCTTGGGGGGAAGACTTTGCCTTGCAGATGTTAACGCCCGTCAGCTCTTCGCGTGCACCAAGCGCATGAAGCACACACGGCCCAAGGTTACTTGAATTATGTTTTATTTTTGGCAGCAAAATTCATTTCTGAAAATATCATAATAACAAGATTTTTCAATCCATGCTTCCTTCATCCCACTACAGAGTCCAGATTTTGAAATTCAAGGTATGCATCCTTGAGAACGTGATGGGGTTCAGGAAAGTGGCCGAGAAGGTAGCTCATTTCATCTCCCGGAACATGCCTGGGTAACTCTTCCCAATTTAAGGTGATCTGTTTGAGACTTGCTACCAGCATTTTGTTCATGAAGTGTTACTGAGGTACAGAATGCTGTATGTTATTATGGACCCGTCCCTCTTCTGAATTTGTTGTGGCTGTTCCAGCACTCAGAACATACACAGCATTTAGAATTCCTGTGAATGTAAAACCAAGTAAGGCGCACCTATGGCGCACCTATCTCTCGACGGCGTATCTATTTGTTGATGATCCAGGAGTCTGTTATGACCGAAGAGGCTGCACAACAAGATTTGAGTGATTACATTGAGGCCAAGTTGAAGGCTATGCATTTCAAATCCTCGAAAGTTCGTTGGTTCCTTGCCCGATCTTTTACCCCAACCCAGTGATGGACATGTGCCATTAGAATGTAGGATAGAATGCCCCAATCCTAGTCGATTCAAGTCTATTCCTCAGCAGATTGAGGATCGATTTGCTCTTGCCCAAGCAACACTCTGCCATCCAGAAAGACATGAAGAAGCGCAGCCTTCTTCGCAAGCGGGCGGCCCGCAAGCCTCCTATCTGCATAGTGGCATAGTGTCAGTGTCAGCAGCAGCATCTTTGTCAGCATATCCCAATTTCTCCCATGACATGTTTCCCAGGCCCATGGATTTCAGAGCCAAGTGGGTTAAAGGCCATACCAAGTGGGCAAAAGATAACCAGGTGGGAACACGCATTTTTCACTCAGTCACTGGTACCCCAACCAGAAAAAATCCATCTTGATTTTGGGAGGTATCCATCAAGAATTCCATGAGAATGTTTGCCAAGAAGTATCCGGAAGCGGCCATGCAAATCACGAGCATGCGAGAGCGTCAGGCTAGGGTCCAATCAAAGCATTACAGAATCAGTTGGAATCAAAATTCAGTGGGAACATGTGAGAATCAGAAACTTGATGGGAGGCAGTTGATCTCCTATTGGCCCAGAGGGGGCAGCTGAGCATTGTGAACACTTCGCAATCGCTCCACCAGATGCCATACTTGAACTCTGATGATGAAGATCTCATGTGTTTGACGTCAGTATCTTACACCCATGAAAATGGAATCAAAAACTGACTATTTCCTTCCCACTACAATTCCTTGAATGCTTTGGCTGTGATCTAAGGCCAAATGGAAAATTCCTTTCTACAACAGCAGGACGCTACCTGATTGGCAAAGAGGTGGCTGCCCTCATGGGTATTCCCATTAATCGCCTGGACCTGACGGCCACCAGTGAGCATGTTTCCTGGTAAAGTTATGGGCCTGCATTGTTCTGGAACTACCAAAATTAAAGCCACCAAGCCATCCAAAATTTGAATATGGGTGTCTAGCTGAGGTATTGCATTCCTTAGCAGGGAACGCGATGGCCATGAGAGCAGTTCTACCGTTGATATGCAGTGCCCTGAGCGCATGTGAGCCTACGAAGTTGGCGATGTAAAGTACAGTAATTAGATGTCAAGTACATAAATTAGATGGCATCCCTGAAGCACTGGTCCAGTGAAAATGATACTTCACTTTGAGCTGCAGAAACACCCAAAATCAGTTTCCTAAGAGGCATGTGTTCACTCACATGTGCGCCACAGGTTGCTTTCCAGACATGTTTTATCAGGGGTGTATTGGTTCTGGCCTTCTGATAGTTAGTGGTTAGTACCCCATGCAATCAGTTTTCAGACAAAGAATAGTAGATTCAGTAAGACGAACACCACTAAGCAAATTCAGTAAATAGTGGAACAAAACATCAGCATAATGACACCGTTCAATTCCCACAAGTTCCGAAAAGAATTATATAGACCAAATTTGTAAAAATGTTGTCATTCTTTTGGCATTCATGCCGATACTTGGCCGATGGGATCCTGATGGTCCTTCTGAAAATGGATGTGGCTTGGGACGCTATGATGAATCATTGTCATCGTCAAGCTCTGCTGAGACTGAGCCATTCAGCTAAATTCAGCCGCTGCAGGTCCCAGAAACAGTGCGGTACTCAACGGGTCTAGTCAAGACTACCCCCTTTGATCTAAGGCCGGTGTCAGAAGGGTCTGGATCTAGCAGTGATGAGGCTGGATCTTCTTCAAGCTACTCGGAGAGTGGTTCTGGTGATGATCATGAGGGCTTTGGGGAGGTGAACCTGTGCTATGAAAGGGTAGTGTCCCTGCAATGTAAGACTGTCAAGAAAGCTTCAACATATGCGAAAACCGGTGGTTCGGCCAAGAGGGTGAGGAGAGTCTTGAACAATCCAATTTGTAGATGTGCTTGCAAGATACCTTTCAAGTGTTTACTTCGTCTCTGCATTGCTTTCTGGAACCTTCTGAAGACGGATCAAGACCGTCTGATCTGGGCACTGCAGCATGAAAGTGGCAAGCGCAAACTTCGATGGTCCCTCCAAGGATCGATGGTTTCCCCAAGTCTGTTTACTTACTGTATGCTTGGTAAGTTGATCAAAGTGATGGCTTCATAAAAGATCTTTCTTATTGTGACAGGTTAGTTGATCAAAGTTGGCTATCCCTAGGGTCACTCTCATTTCTGATGGCAGGACATCCTGTGTGCCGTGAAGCCTTCGCATACTTGGTTGGAATAGGAAAGCACCGTCTTACAAGATGCAGGCATTCCTTTCAGGGTACAGACATGAGAACAGTAGCTGGTCAAGGAGGATTCTTTGATGAAACAACTTATGGTAACTTTTCAAATTGATTTATGGTTTCTATATGTTTCTATAGCAGTCTTGATGCAAGACATTTTCTCCAGTGACTTGCTTGGACTGATCCTGTTTTTGGTGACCCCATGCCTTCACCGATCACTACTCAGGATCTGCTGCGCCGCCTGCTGTGAAATCAGCCAGCGTGACATCTTTCATGATTCATTTGTACTGGAGTGCTGCTGAGCCTATGTCAACAGCGACCTTTGGATAAAGATTGGGATGTTTGGGTTATCAACAAACCTCAACTAACTGATTTTGGATTATCTGGGATTTTAACATGGTCAAGCTTCCCAACAGTACCCCAGGATTGCTTCAAAGGATAACTTGGCCAAAGGGGGTGAAGAACTGCGTCAAGAACTCTTGGAGCGATTGATCGACTGTCGTTTAATGAATGCATCAACACAGACTAGTTTCAACCGGGATCCTGCAAGATTGCCTCTCCGTGAGCTTCCTCATGGGAGTTGGAACAATGTCTTTTTGCTCTACACTTCATACTGCAAGACTGCAGGGGACCCAGTGGCCTCAAGGTCAACGTTCTTTGCAGTGGCAAAGGTGTGGCGTGTATGCCTTCGGTTCCACAAAAAGTCACAACACCAACTTTGTGAGACATGTAGCAGATTGAAGATGAGAATTCGGCACGCAGCAGAATCTTGCAGTTTGAGCTATATTCTGTTCTCCACAATGTATATTTCTTACAGGTTACTAGTATGAGGGCTTTTCCCACCATGAGTACCAAACACATTCAGGACCCGAAGGATCATTTGTATTGGTGCGACATACTACTACAGCACTACCAAAGAACATGGATGGATCGACAATGTTATTGGCTGGCACGCGAACGAGCACGGAAGAATGGCGACATGCTTGTCGCTATCATTGACTCGTATGACAAAGCAAAATGCACACTTCCAAGGTTTCCATTTTCAAGGACACCAAAAAAGCCAATTTACGAGCGAGTGCACCGTCCATCAGTTTGTTTTAAAGTCACCTTTGTTTGTTCTGTGTTTTGGGTTTCCCCCCCCCACCTCAAGATATACTCCGGGCTCTTGCTGTCTCAACAAAAAAACATGTTTCCCTTCAAGGTACTTCCCTGACTCTCACTGGATGCATCATTCATGGCTACGGGGTGTTCCTGTACTTGGGGGACGAGGGCATGCCCACTGGAGCAAACTGGACTTTGGAGATAGACTCTAACTTGATGTTTAATCCATCATTTTTGTTTTAGGCTGAAGTTATTAAAGGCTTACCCCATCCAAACCCACTTTTCCTCACTCCCAGTGACCTCCACTGCCAGGCAATGCGTTCAATCGACAAAGCCTGGGCCATCTCCCGACAACGGAACACACAGTTCCCAACTGAGTATCTTGGTCGCATGGGTTGGGATGTACTTGGCAACCTTGTGGTAAACAACTCAGTAAACAACTATGACTTACTAGTAGACACCAGTAGCAACATCGTGCTTTATTGGCACTGATTGATTATATAACCTAATTTTCTGTTTAGAGCCAGCGCAATTGCAAGGTGCTGGTTGCAGGCTGATAATGCTTGCAAAGAAGTCCGCAATTCCTACACCGGACGGTGGGCGACACTTCTAGCACAAGGTTCCTACTTCCATGTGATCTCACATCAGCACATGGAAGTGGGACACACTCACGAAGACATAGGCCAGAAGTTTCAAAGTCAGGAATGGCAGATACCACATATCCTATCACCAATTGTTGGTAGTTAACTATCCTATAGCCTATAACCAAGAAGTATTTTGGATAACAATTTTTGGGCTAGCTTTCAACGTGGAAACCAAAACCCACTGTATGTTCCACTTGTCCCTGGCAGATGGAATATTTGCCATCGTCACTTCCTGCTTGAACCAAGAAGCAAACTTGCAAACCCCTGCCGATGTAAGAAGGACTGATACTTGTTGATTCCCATGTTGTGAAGAATCCACAGCTGTTGAAACCTGGGTGTTTTTTAAATATTGCACTTGGGCTTTAAAACAGGAATTGCATCCAACCTGCTTAAACCTCAATCATCCTCAATCTCCTACCAGGACCTTGCTGCAACGTATGGCCCCTCTGTTTGCAAAGTCTGGGATGAGGTTTGAATGTGAGATGGTGGACACTGTTACTTGGTTCATAAAACAGAGCCAACTGATTGCAGCAGCAAAAACCAGCTTGGATTCAAAAAACATGGCCCTTTGAAATCATATCTTGGGCATGGCTAAGATCAGAGATTGGTGCCGAATGATGCCGGCTGGATCAACACTGCGGAATGCCTACAGGGCTCGAAAGGGTGATCGTGACAACCAAGATGACCCAATGAAAGTTCCTCAGAGTTTCAGTTTCATTGCAAGAGAAGGTTGGGTGTTGGAAGTAATTATCGACCAACCGAATCAAAAAGCACTTTTTACTGTTAACTGCAATCATTATTGTTCATAGAGGGTGTCCAAACACAATCCAATTTAAAAGATACTTATACCTCGTCCATCCGACCCGCACAGGCATGCCCGGTCAGGGCCACAACTTGCAGTTGGAGGAGAATGTTCCAAAGCGCCTACGGAGCGATGGGCATGGCCGGGATATCTTCGCACTGGTCAAATTGGCAATGAGTGATTCTGAGTTATGTCAACCACCGCTCTTGGTGTTGCCCCACAGCTTCTTGAGAAGTACTGAGGAATTCTTCAACAAAGTGAACAATGATGATTGCCCAATGTTGAGAGCTACCTTGGAAGATTCAAGATGTTCTGAGTTGAATGAACTAGCAGCCCAACTGGCATCTGACTATCCACACCTCGCCCGTGGAGTGAGGTATCTCCAAAGTTTGACTCAGCCTGATCGACCGAGAACACCGTGCAGCAAGCTACAATTTGTGCAAGTTGGTCCACGTGGTCGGGCTTTGGATGTCGGGAACCTACGGTTAAACCGGCAGCCTCCTGAGCCAAAGCCTTACAAACTTCAGGTGGTGTTCCACCACCGGGTACGATGATTTGATTTGGTTTTAAAAAAAATGGATGGATCAATCCTGTCCTGACAATATGGGTCTATTTCGATCCATGTGTCCAAGCCAACCTGAATTGGGGTCGGGTGGAAAAAAACACGGCATTATCCAGATGTTTGGTCATGTTTGGTTACTCTTGGGGCACCCCGCAAAAGCAAATGTTTGGACATGGCAACTTGATGTAAATTTGATTTTTACTTGTTCACATCATGTGTGTATGGCTTCAGGGCCCTTGCTTTAGGGCTGCTTCTGTTGGTTTCTTGGGGTCTTGCCCGGCCATGACCCATTTCAGCGATGACCCACGATGCAATGACATCCTCCAGAAGATCCGGAATGTTTTTGACGAAGTGGCTCCCTTAACAACTGCGTTATGATTGTATGGAAACAATATCAACAATCCATGCGTATGTCCCAAAATGTTTGGTACCAATTAGGTCATTGAGAAAGAGAACTTCGGGGAGTCTGTCAATGCCTACCTCACCAACACAGCTGACCTGGGTACTGCCATCTTGGTGGAAATAGTACCTTTTTTAATTACGATAGAAGCATTTATGGTCTTTCCCTGTCACATCCCTGCAGCTCCCAGAAGTTTTCCAGCCTTCTGTCAGCCAGGTTGCTGCCAAACTCCTGGACACATCGGGCACTGAGATGGCCGACAAGCAGAGGTCTACCATTGGGTTGGTGCCCCAAAGCACCATGCGGGAGTTCTATCTTCCATTGGCTGTTTTCAACGTTGGCCGTGAGTCGAAGAATGGATGTGGGGTTGTCAAAACAATGTTTGGCACCCCTGTGTTTTACAAGTAAATATGGCTAAGGTAAATATGGCTACGGGTATATATGGTTATATATGGCTAAGGGTATATGTGGTTATATATGGTAAATATGGCTAAGGGTTATATATGGTAAATATGGCTAAGGGTTATACATGGTTATATATGGCTAAGGTTCCATGTTTTACATGTTCATTCAACAGTTCTGTCCCCTGCAGTCTTTCCGCAGAATGCCCAACTGGCCCAGCATTTTGATGAGTTCTTGCGAGATGGCTACAGGGTGAGTGCTGAAGCAATAGAAGTGCGATTCCCCCACTGTGATGGGACGAGACGAATCCTTCAGGGAACAGTCGGAATATCAGATGGGTTCGGAAAGGTGATGATAATGGCGGGGATTTGTGTCATTGCCCATAGCCTTGAAGCTTGACTGTTACATAGATTCCTGTGTAGAAATTTGTTTTTCACAAACAAGATCAATTTCTGGGAAACAAATAATCAAGAGGGTATAGTTTGAAGTAATGATATTCCCCAGAGCCCGGCAGCCGAGGAGCTATCGGCCGAGGAGCTTGCACTGCCAGGCCTTCAACGTGTGCTGGAGTCCTTCCGGTGGGTGCGGTGCTCGTACACCCACTGGGACAACCCAAGCCATTTCCATCTTCACGCACTTCGATTCTTGATATGGTAAAGGAACAAATTTTGACCCCCTACAATTTCTTATTTTGATGATGGGTGGAAACCTTTTTGCAACAGTCTTAAACTGAATCCAAGGGCTGGGGCATGTCACATCGGAGAAACAAGCACCTAGTGCATTGGATTACCTTGGCGCCATGAAGGAGGCTGTGGCTTTGGAGAAAAGGGCCTGTCAGCCTGGCACCTCCAAGGCCCTCAAAGATGTTCTGAATCGATGCATAGCAGAGTACAACAAGATGTGCACAAACCGTCGTCATAGGATCGACTCAGATAAAAAGAAACTGATCCTCAATTTGTTTCTTTGTTTCAATTCATGTGGGTTTTGGTTTCCAATAATTATTAACTGTATAGTTTAGACATAGTATGGTTCCATCTCCATGAAAGATAAAGCAACAAGCAAGTTGTCCATCCACGGCTGCGCTTGGATGACGAGACCCAGATGGTTATCCACAAGCATTACGATCTTTACCCCCATGCTCAGTCAGGCAAACACATGGGTCTGGTTGTGGTCCAAAACCATGGAATGAATATAGTAAAGTCATTCACATTTATTTCATGATTGTATTCAGAAACTACTGGTCTTTCCGCAGGGCCCCCAGTCCTTGTTTGCAGGATTGCCTCTGGACCTGTTGCAGTCCGAATGGTGGGTGCCAGGGTCCACAGCGCGGAGTGAGTCTAGCAGGTTCTCGGGCAAACCCTTGTTCAAGGAGATCCTCACTACAAGTCAGAAAACCAGCCTTCTTTGGATCCAAAGGGCAACAAAGGACAGTGTTTTCTTCACAACTGATTCATCAAGCTGGGACGTTCAGATGTATACCAACCACTATAGCTTATTACTTTGTTTTGTTGGAATCTGATGATGTAGGAACACTACCCAACCACTATAGCTTATACTATGTTTTGTTGGAATCTGATGATGTAGGAACACTACCCAACCACTATAATTCTGTTTTGTTGGAATCTGATGATGTAGGAACACTACCCAACCACTATAATTATGTTTTGTTGGAATCTGATGATGTAGGAACACTACCCAGACCACCCAACCACTATTATAGCTTATACTATTTTATTGGAATCTGATGATGTAGGAACACTACATATTGAACTCTGGTAAACACACTGCGGCAGGACTTTGCAAAGCGAGTTTCCCCTGAAGATTCAGCCAAATCGAAGGACCATGGGTTGTCCAAATATTCCCTACGATCTGGAACCCAAATCACAGAAATATGAAAGTTATAGTCTTCATGTCTGGATGGGACCATAACCACCACTTTTTAACAACAATTTCAATGTTAAAACCAGCAGGTTTGATGAAGATAGAATCAACTGTTTGTTTTCAATTGGTTTTCCCTTCAGAAGCTGGCCCAGCTCAATGAAGAACAGCACCAGCAACTGTTTGACCTGACATGCCTGTGGATCCACATCTTGCCTCGCCTGGAAGAGAGCTTTCCTGGCACTGTTGTCGAGAAGCACCTGCAGATGTTTTGGGCTGGGACACTTGGCCCAGTCAACCCGTCACATTGTGGTGGTTGGATTTGTCCACGGACAAATTTGAACCACCACCCAGTCAACCCGTCACATTCTGGTGGTTGGATTTGTCCACGGACAAATTTGAACCACAAAGTTTCAAGGGTTTTCCCAGGAACCCGTCGCAATCCTCCATAAGGATTTGTCCACGGACAAATCCATCTAGGAAACAAAACCAAAAAAAGGAATCATGTTTCGGAGGGGAATCTGGCTATCAAATTGTGATGGGTTTTCCCAGGAACCCGTCGCAATATGGTGGATAACCAGGTGGGGAATCATCTTTTTAAGTTGAATTTGACATTTTCAGTGTGATTGGTTGGCTGGATATATAGGAAATTGTGATGTGTTCTCCCAGAAACCCGTCGCATTTTCAAGCTGGGATTGGCTTCCAAATTGTGATGCGTTTTGGGGATTTTTTGGGGGGTACAAAATTCAATCCCAAAAGTCACCATCGGCTGGGTTCAGGACTTTGGACCAAGACCTTGGATCGATAATGCGCGCTGGGCAGGATTTCTCATGGGATCGTATCCCCTTTGTGTTGGAGGCTTGGGAGGAAAATGGAGGAAGAAAGTAAATTATCTTCAATATCCAAGTCCAAGGTTTCTCCAAAATCAGATGGAATAGTGTATATGTACAGTATATTATATATATATATACATACATACATCTAGGTATACACCAATATCATAGTAGATCATAGTAGTATAGCTCATCATTGTGATCCAACGTTGTTCCATTGTTAGCCATTCCCTGGTGAGTTTTTGGCCTGCCCACTCATGTTGCATTTAAAGCCTTTTTGGAGGATTGATCATGAAGCTTGTCAATCCCATAAACTATTTGCAAGAGGTTTCAATTGTCACATCCACATGTCCAATTATGATGTCCATGGGTTGTGTCCATCTCAGCCCTGCAGATCAAAGGGCAATGCGTGGAGGACTTCATATGTGAGGCCCAGGACAAGACCCGAAACGCAAAGAGCCGATCAGAAGTTGCAGCGTTCAATTTGTGGAAAGAACAACTGCAGTGCGATCAGGCCCAATTTGAGGCCGAGCGCATCATGATACTCATACCTTTTTTTCAGAAGTAAATGTTTGAATTTTGTTTCTAATCTATCTTTCAGCAACCTGATTCCCAAAAACCTGTTCTGGGTTCCCAGCAAGAAGCTGTCCCTTGAAACTTGAGCACACCAGTCCTGCCAAGGGCCGAGAAAGCGAGCACAAAGAAACGATCGCAGCTGGTGTCCAAGCTTGAGGTGGGGGGATATTTTTATAGCAGGGGATAGTTATTATTATATAACTAAACTAGGGGATAGTTATTATCAACTAAATTGTTTTGGTAATTTCCAGTGGATGGTCTTCAAAAACAGGTTGAACAGATGTTTCCCTACTAGATAAGTTTTCTGACGCTGGAAGGATGCGCATGTGAAAGCATGGGCCGCGGTGGGCTCCTTTATGTCTTCAAATCTACAGTTCTTTCAGGGGAGGGCAGTTGAAGCGGAATCAACTGTGCTGCCAGCCCTCACTGGATGGCTGTCAGAGACACTGAATGACTTTGATCCTTGTCCGATTCAACGTTGGCCCTTGGCCAATAAGAGCTTAAAGATCTGGCTCAATTTAAACAAGTTAATAATTATGATCAGTTCCCATGATAGGCTCTTAATGGGAGATGGCATGTATACGACATATTATTTGATGTTTTTTAGCGATGCGTATACTCTTTCAATCTTCACTGATACTTAGATACAACGATATACAGATACATGCATGCATCCATCCAATAAAATATGTATATAGATATGTTTTCACACATATGCGAACACATACATGCACATGCATATATATATATATATATACACATATCTTAACATATATATATACATACACGTATCACTATTATACACATATGCATGCACATACATATACGTTTACACACGCTTATATACATACATATGCATACATACATATGCATGCACGTACATATGCATATACATGTTTATACATAGATACATATATGTATATATATATACACATATATACATACAAATACACACATACAGAAAACATAAATACAATTACAAATGTTACATAGATAAACAAACATTTACATTCATATACCTACATTTGCAGCAAATACATGACCACTGCATAAATATACATACTATAAAATGAGTTTACTGTTGTATGTTTCATTTTTTTTGAGCCCTGAAAAGCAAAGAAAAATGATACTCAGTTTTGGGGTTTCTTACATACGTGCATCATCATGCATCCATACATGTATATACATACATCCATACACGTATAGATACATGCATACATACATACATGCATACACACACATACACACATACATACATACATACATACATACATACATACATACAAATAAACGAAGAATAAACCTTCATGTTTTGTGCAAATGTGAAGTTTTTTTGGCCCTCTTTTCCATTCCCTGTGAGCCACATACATACATACATACATTGCATTGCATTGCATTGCATTGCATTACATTACATACTTACTTACTTACATACATACATACATACATGCATGCATGTCTGACATTACTCACACTCCAGGCACGAAGAGAAAATCCCAAGGTAGCAAGTTCAAACCATCAGGGAACCCATCAGACAAGGTTGCAAGTTGTGGCTTCTATTTTTGATGTTGGTTCCAAGGACTAAACACATCAACTTCCTTTAGCGTTGTTCTGGGCCCATGGTTTTGTAATCACATTGGCCACTGTTGTTTTGTTTTGGATTCACCTTTCCTTGGTGATTTTGGGTGGCCCCAAGGACACTCGGTCGTACAATGACCACTCTGTCATCCTATGGCTCAACATACCAACAACCGGGGTGCTCTCTGCTGCAAAGAATGATTGGATGATCACCACTGTGAGCAACATTCTTGCCCAATACCGTCGCAATGGACTGGCAGTCATAATACATTGCAACCGTGCCGGTGAGGGTGGAAGGACACTAATGACTAACCTGTCGGTATCAAGGTGTTTATAAGTAAAAAGCCACATGCCAAATTAGATTTGTTTTTGATAAGGGGGCCCTGTAGAGGAGATCTACCAAGTCAGAGAAGGTGGAGAAGGATGAGCTTGATGATCATGACAATGTGAAGGATGAACCGCAGGAGGAGGACCAGGATGAACCCATGGATGAAGAGAGCTTTGATGAGGCTGACAGGGGCGACCCTGAAGCTGCGGAAATTCGTGAGATGCGCAACCGTCTGGAGACATTTGACTCAGTATCACACACTGTGTTGATTTTTTGTTTTGGGTTTTTTCGGGGGTGGTTGTTACAAGTCGAATCAATTTCCAACACAGAAAAAATCCCAATCTTGTCAGGAAAACTTTGGCTGCCAAAGATCGATGTTTGGTGGTGAAGGAGCTGACGTGGGTTTTTGATCCAGCCCCTTGCTATATTACATACAACTTTCCGGATTTTTTCCACCCTTATAGATTATATGTTTTTGACAAGGTGTTTTTAGTGAAGTTCTCAACTGACCTCACAAGATTGTCTAATATGAAAACTTGGAGAATGTTGATTTGTTCAAGACCTGTCTTCATGTTCTTTCAGCTCATGCTTGAGGCGACCATCTACGGCAAACGATCTGGCAGCATCCGTGGATTGGTGCTGATGCACAAGGACAAGGCCAATATCTTCCGGGCCACCCGAGGATGGAAGGTAGGGGTGGTTCACGATGTGGGAATGTTACCACGGTCGGCGATGTACAAGCCAGACGCACCTAGATTAAACTTACAATCTTTGATTTTTTGCTACCAAAATGGGGATGGGAAAAATGTTGATTTACAAATAAACATCTTTGATAGTTGGGCCTGCTAAACATTTGAGGCCCAGTCGAATCTACCCCACCTTGGCCGTGCTTTCACCGATGCACAGGAGTTGCGCCAGGACACGTGTTTTTGGAAAACGTCATATACATGATAATTTGTATGGTTACTGATTTGAATTTTAAAAAACAAACTGTTCTTCAATTTTGGGTTTTGAAACCTGTCCCAAAAAACCATCCTACTGCGGGCTACCCCCAGGTCAGTGGAGGATGCGATTTTGTGAGGAAAACGGTGCATGCCTTCATGCCTGAGACCGTGAGCACAACAATCATGGTGGATCTGCTGGGGTACGATGGATTCCCTGCTCTGGCTGCCCTGGAGGTACCATGAATCCGTTTACTTAATCACACAGGGTTTGGAAGCAGTTATGGGGTTGGGGTTTGAAACCTTAGTTCAAATAGATTATATAGGTCTTTGGTTACAATGTGTTGTTACCATCAAAGAACAAGGCACTAGCTTGGGGGAATGACCTGGCCATATATTTCAACATGTTTCTTGGGTGACCTATGCCTGATCAATGCGGACATGTATAAAGACCATATGATGGATCCATCGGTCAATAGTTTTGGACTGGTGTATTTACATTCAATGACGATTCCTCAATGAGTATGGATTTCATCAGGAATCAGTATTCCCATTTTCTGATATCAACATTTTGGAACGTAATGGGGATCCTTAAGAATAATGCTACAGAACCCTTTTAGTAGAGATCATCCATCTCATGTTCAGGAGCTTTCCGAGAGCCGCCGTTTGTTGTGTGCCACGGTAGTCCTTGACCGGGGCACAGAGAGCCTGGAGCAGAGGGTCTCGAACAAGCTGTACGAAGGATGCCGGGCGGGGACACTGGAAATCCAAGGTTTCCCAGACTACAAGCCCTTGCTAGCTGCATTGCAGCAAGCCCCAGAGGAGAATGTGGCTGGCACCTACTCAGTCACCGTCAAAAGGCTTGACAAACTGGTGGTGCTATCTTCATTTGCTGAGAAGTTCTTGTCTTCGGAAGAGTTCAAAGATGAAAACAATGAGTTGATTTCAGCCCACAACAAGGCCTTCAATGAAGATGGGGATTATCTAGCAGAACCAGAGAACACCAGGACCCTTCTTGTGGCCTGCGCCCATGTAGACTAGGTATCGCTGCTCTCATTTTTTGAATGCAATCCTGAACCCTGAAACTTCCCACAGCCATAAGAAGCCATAACTCTTAGTACCCCAGCCATCACCCATCATCACCCTTAGTATCCAAGCCTTGCCAGGACAACTCCCGATGACGACTCTGGGCGTCCTCTGAAGAGGATCAAGCTGGAGCAAACAGAAATGGTCTCTGAGAGTGATGTGGCTAATGTGGCCAACCCGCACCTTGACATTGTAGTTAGTAGAGTTGATCATTAAGTTGGTAGAACATTATTCCATTTCATGGGAGGCTATATCCCAAGAGCATTCTTCCATTCGATTGGAAGCTATTTTCATTTTTTCATTTTATGGGAGGCTATGTCCCAAAAGATGCATTGCTTTGTTGTTTGAACCATTGAACAGTTTCCATGAAACAAGCTCAACCAAACATAAACCCTATGAAATGATGTTGCCACTGCGGAGGCAGAAGCTGGAGATCAACAACACAGCTGAGTTCATTTGTGCTGGGGATGGCTCTGCGCTTTACCTGGTGACAAAGTCAAGGAATCAGTTTCTGATGCATCGCGAGATGTTTCTCCTCTCACAAAGGGATGTTTGTTTATGCCAACTACAGGATGTTCCCACAGGCCCATGCATTGTCCTCAGTGGATCTTGTTAGCTTCTCTCCACTGCCTAGGTTTTCGTATGGAAGCGGTGAGTGGAGAAGTGAACGGGATGCTTGGCTTGTACCTATACAGGGTATGGAATTGCCTTGATAACAACAAGATCATGCGGAATGAAGAAAATCCCCATGGTAACAACATGATGTCTCTCAGTCCACACAATAACACCTAAGGATGCCGATGAAGTGATGGAGGATGCTGCTGGTCGGTGGTTCTCCTTCAAAATCCAACATGACTCAGTGATTTTGATCGAGAAAAAAGGTTTGCCGGATCATGTCTCTGGCCTCCCTTGCTTGGAGGGCCCTGCGCCAGTCTCTACAGTGCTGCGTGAACTTGAGGATGCTGGGGAGGTCAGGTCTCTATGAAGGGTTGTAGATACATTATGAATTACCTACTGGTTGCATCATATTGTACAATAATTCTTTTTATATAAAACTGTGTAAGTATATACAACCCCCTGAATATATATATATATATATATGAAATATATATATATATATGAAATATATATATATATATGAATATATATATATATATATATACAACCCCCTGAATTCTTTTAGTATATCTAAATATACACATCCCCCTGCCCCAATAGGTGAAACTCGCGGTCACCCACCACACTGTGACCACCAATGGTGACTCTTGGCAACTGACGGCAGAGAAAGCGCTGGTGTTCATCCTTGATGCGCCAAAGCAACCTGATACCGGGAAGAAAACCAAGAAGAAGTCCAAACGCGGTTCTTTCAACACCAAGAATTTTGGGTCCATCATGAGTGTCGACAAAATGAAGAATGCCAAACGTTTCATCACAGGATGGCGATGCAGGCACCCCTGGGTTTCAAAACCAAACTAGTCATGATTTTTTTTGACAAAATCAGGGAAATTATAATATGTCAATCCAGTGTTGAGCCTGGGGTTTTGGAATGACCTATCAATCTGTCAGGCTTGACTGCAGCAGCAACGGCCTGAAGACCATAGTTCCGATCAGGCCAATTGCTTGCCTGTCGGGCGTGCTGGATTTGCAGGAGGCACATGTCCGCATTTTCTGAGTGGGGTTCTTTTGTTGTTTGGCAGGGTATCAACATGGTAGGTAGGTAGCTACTCACCAACATGTACCAACCATGAAGTCCAGATCCTTCTTGATATTTTTTGTTTGTCAATTGAAACCTTTCACTATGATCAACCGGTTTCTCAAACCGAATCAAAATTAACAAGGTTCTGCCAAACCATGCCAAACCTATGATATGTCTGGGCTGCACAGACTGTTCTGCGACAAACAGGCAAAGCCTGGTGATGCCTGTTGGCAAACTAGTCCTAGCAATGGTTCCCTTCAAGCTGTCCTTCAAATTTGTATCCTGTATCTTAGAGATATATTATTATTTCCTTTCAATCCGGGACTTGTTGAAATGGATGGATGATATAGAACAGGGAACATTTTGATGCATGAGACTTGGAAGTCTGGTTCTACCCCACCATTTTGATCAACACCGCAGCGCCTCCAAAAAAAGGTCTTGCTTCCCGGTCGCCTGCCGTGCCCACAATGAGCAGGATGGTGTGTGCCGCATGTTCATAATTTGATCTTTTTCTAGTGGTGGCCATCTTTATCAAGGAGAAATCCAAAGGTCATATAGATTGTGGCCTCAAGTCATGGCGGACTCTGATGTTGAATATGTTCCAGCCCCTGCCAAGAAGAAGAGCATCTCACCCCCGGTTCCTTGTTTACATTATATGTTGTAATGGATAATGTCTTCGAGGCTTGTTACCCTATTTATTTTCCCTCCAACTTTTTACCTATGACCCTGAGGTTTTTAGTTTGGATGCTTTGCTAGCAGAAAGCCGTGCCAATTCTGGCGGTGGCTCTTCATCAGCCTTGCCTGGGCAGACAGCTCGGCCTGCCGCATCTGGTGCATCCAGGAGTAACACAACAGATATTTTTTCAGGGTGGCTGGTGATGATTGGGTGTACCCACAAGATGTAATAAGTGAAATTCCAATTCAAAATAAAGACATGGCCAATGCTTGTACCAACATGAAAATTAAGGGAACTTTTCAATGGAAAGGGTCAGGGTTTTAACTAAATGTGGCATCAATGGATTACATGAGATGGTAAAAACTAGAAGCATCGTTCCAGATTTTGCCCCTGGGTATTCTCTGGGTATTCTTACTATAAACATGTGCCCCACTGTGCCCACTGATTTTTAGGCAGTGGGTCAACGGCAGCACCGGCAGCACCAGCAGCACCGGCTTCTGCGGGCCTCATCGTTCCAGGGCGCTTCCACTCTTCAGAGGAGTCCTCGCCAGAGGAAGGGAAAAAGTCAACCAAAGGACAGAAAACTAAGAAAGATAAGAAAGGCAAAAAGCCAAAGGACAAGAAACCAAAGAAAAAACAAAAGGATGAGGACGAGGAGGATGAGGATGAAGCTGATGCAGAACATGTGAACCTGGGGAATGAAGATGATGACGATGATGAACATGATGATGCAGGATCGTTTGGTGACCTGGATGGATATGATGAGTTGGTGAAGGGCCAAGAAAGCAAAGGCAAACCAAATCCTTCTGTGAAGCGCCCGGCCAGCAATCGCGGCCCCAAAAAACGACCAGCTAAGAAACATCAGGCGGGGAAGAGGTACCTAGTCAAGATTTCCTGATTTGTACATGACTGATTGTGGTCTCATGTCCATGTGCTACATGAGCTTGTTCGATAATGTGCATGGGGGTCTTGCAAGGCCTTGCCTTTCGAGCACATGATCGAACAAGCAAATGCAATTTCCACAGATGCAAGGCCTTGAAGCTCTTGCACTTGTTCAGAGACTATGTGCTTCATAGTTTTATGCTGCCAAAAAAATCTGACTTACAGGGACTACTGAGAGGAGTCATCAAAAAAATTGGGCATATCAGGCTGTTGACATGACTTCTGTTTAGCTGTGTGCAGGGACGATGACCTCCACCCTGACAAGTTGACGGAGCAGTGTGAAGGCAAGTGTCAGGACTTTGAGCCTACATACCCAACCCAAGATTATGTTCTGCCTGATGAGGAACAGTTTCCTAGCTGAAGAAATTTGATTCATGTATATAGATTTCACCATTGTCCTGTCTTTCGGCTTGGGTTGAATCACCCTTGGGTCAATCAAGGTTCCATGTGGCCGGGGAAGACTATCCAGAGATTCCGGATGATGGGTCCTGCTTTGCCATGACTGAGCGTGATTGTGCATCACCTACCCCGTCATCGGCTTACCCTGACAATCAGGTTGGACTTTATGATACCCCCGAATCTTTGGTGCAATAGTTCGTTCCAATGGGTTCCATAATGTTTTTTTTTCCAACGATAGTTTATCATTGTTTCTTCCAATTATAGTGACAACTGCTGCATACATCCCCTAATTTGTTAAAACATGCTCACACCAGCTGAGGACCCCTTCAAGTGGACACCTGCTTCTGAGGGTTGTTTGGCTACCAAGTCAGATGATGATTCTTAGCTGAAACAACCCATGGTTTCAAAATTAACTTCAATAATGATACATATCATATCTTCCGGGGTTCTATGTCACTGAGGAGACCAGACCTGGATGCCCCCTACGCCGGTTGGAGGCACATGAAAATTTGAGCCCGCTCCTTGAACCGAAGTCGCTGGATTTCCAGGCCATGCTTGCAGCCTGAGTCGGCTGCATGCTGATTGCTGGAACTGCTGTTTTTTCTCCGGGAATTTACATCATATCGATCACATCCCAACATATATCATATCCATCACATCCCAACATATATCATATCAATATATATATATATATATTTATTTATTTATTTATATATATATATATCACATCCTAACATTTATCATATCAGTCACATCCCAACACTTATCATATCAATCACATCCCAACATTTACCATATCAATCACATCCCAACATTTATGGTGGCCAGGTCCTATCTGGCCAACAGGCTGAGATTGAGAGCTTGCCCAGTGAGGACGATGGGGGTGTCAAAAATACTATGATGGGAGATGAGCAAAACGATGATGCTGAAACCTATGTGGGTGCCACATCACCTTTGAAAGCTGATTCTGACATGATGGAATGTGACCAAGACCAAGATGTTGAAAATACTGTGGTGCCACCCAAGGCTGGCTTAGTTCCAACACCGGTGCGGGCAATTGCTAGCCAACATGCAGGGAACACTGACAAACCAGAGAAGAACAGAGTGGAGAAACCGAAGAGCAAGGCAAAAGCGAAGGCAAAGGCAAAGAGCATGGCAAAGAAGGCTTCCCCAAAGACAGGTTCCAGAAAGAAGACAGCAAAGGCATCCCCGAAGAAAGCAGCCAAGAAGGCCAAGGAGGCTAAGACGCCTAAGACTTACAAGGCAAAGGTGAAAGATGCGGTTGAGAAAAAACTTCACTCAGTGGCTAAGCTGGCGATAATTGTGCAATATAATTTTCAGGTTATATATGCCTTACATGTATGCAAACCCTTTTCAAACAGAAATGCCATCGAATCTAATCTTTCTTGCATTTTTGCTCTGCGGCATTTTTCCAAGGTATACTCCAGTGTGCACAAGGTTTCCAAGAACCGCGGTTTGTCAGCAGAGGAATCTAAGACCCGTGCAAACGAAGCGCGGTGGCAGTGGCCCAGCATTGCAAATCATCACTTTGGATGAAACATGTGTTCACCATACTTGCTTTGGTTGTGTTAGAAAAACATTGGGGTGGTTTGAAGTCTTCCTACCCCAAGGTGGGCCAATGCAGAGGGACCTCGTGACCATCCGGCTGTGGCTGCCATTTTGAACTCTGTGTGATGGCTAATATGTCATCAATTTGTCATTTAGCTGCGTGTACTTAGCCGTGTGTACTTAGCCGCGTTGTGTGCAAGCATGCTGAACTGGAATGATGCCATAAAAAATGATATGTTGCAACTCTCTCATAGCAACTTATGTTTGCCAGTTTCGGCAATAGATCTCCAACAGCAGGGGTGACGCTGATGTGGAAAGCACAAAATAAGCTGCAGCTGCTGGCGGCAACAGTGAACATGCTTTGAAGCATCCGGCTACCAGGGTGGGTATCCCACTTTGTTTAGGGAGCCAGTTCTATTTTGGAAAGGAGCCAGTTGCAAATACACAAGACTATTATTATTATTATATATTATATATTGCATATGTGTACAGTATACGCCTACTATATGCATGTGATTTTCAATCCCGTTCGATGATCTTCAGCCCCTTCCCTGGCTCCGGGCAACTTTGCCAAGCATCGGGCTAAAGAGTCGCCCTCTTTCAGCCAAGCCAGAAACTCCTTGTAGGAGACCTCCAGCCATGGCGTCAGCGGTCAGTTGATCCATGGAGATCGAAAGTTGCCCAAATATCGTCAAATAAGAACACATTTATAGTGGATTTACCCATCAAAACCGGTGATTTTCCATAGTTTTGTGACAGTTTACCAGAGGGTAGGCCTTACTGAGAATTTCATGTGTCTAATTTTCAGTGTTGAAGTTGATATCATGAAAAATAGTGATTCGAATCGGAGATCCCATGGGTGCAGCTTGCACCTCGTGCCAACCATCAAAGCCCATAAGAAATGAACAACGGAGATGAACGCATGGAAAATCGATGATTTTCCAGTAAAAAGCCTCCATTTATAGGGGATTTTCCAGCGAGCGTTTGCTTACACCCTGGAAAAGCTCTTGGAATACAACATGTCCAATGTTCCCACCAGCTGCCATGACGGTTGCCTTTCCATCCCGGCTGGTGTCCAACTCTTGCAACACTCGCCTGGGTGGACGGGGTCGGAAACTGTTCCAAAACATCTCCACTTTTCATTTGGGCGTTTCTTAAAATCAGGGATCCCCAAGTCACCATGGATTTCAATACTGACACGGTCATCCATGACTTGGACAATTTGTTGCTACCCCCATGACATAGGAAACCTCCAGGTGGAGGGAGTTCTGAAACATGTTTTGCTTGACCCTCCCCACATGTCCAATAACTTCACGGACCGTCTTCCTCTCTCTCTTCACAGGAATAGTTTTTCGATACCCTCCGGCCCTCCGGTAATCAAACATGGCAATGGACAATCCCCACATTTATAGATGATGCTCCTACTAAAAAAGACATGTATAGTCTGTATAGTGGATTGTCCATATGTTCCAATGAAAAACTCCATTTATGATGGATTTCCAAGCCAGCCATGTTTGATGACACCGCCTTCGGGCAGACTTTAGCAACGCCTTTCAGCGTCCCCAGCGTCCCGTCATGTCCCGTCATGTCCGCCGCGTCGTGGTGCTGAATCTCTGCAGTGGTAATTTCCGAATCCAACGCACGCAAGACCTGCAAAAGTCTGGAGCTTCAGTTGTGAATGGCTACTTGAGCGAAGGTTAAACAATCAAAATCACCAAGAATAAAAAAAGGGATTTAGCCTCTGGTTATTTAACATAGCCATGGAAAATGGCCCATTTATAGATGGTTTACCTATTAAAAATGGTGATTTTCCATGATGCCATGGCTATGTTAAATGACCATAGGGTATATGGAAAAACACATCTCTTATCCCATCTAAATCATGGAAATCAGGAGCTGCGTGCGCGTTCCGGGTTAGCGCCTTCATAAGCTCATGTCGTTCCAGCTGACCGCTGCCATCCACGTCGTAGCGATCAAAGATCCTGAGGGACATGGTTTTATGATGTTTTATGGTCACTTGGGCGAATCTTTTTGGCAGGCAGGATTTGGTTACCACTCACAGTACCACAAAAACGGGGCCATCATAATTTCTCAAACAACTACCCATTACACAAATGTATCCAATTGCCAGCGGCATTTGTTAGGTGGAAACCACATCTACGTTTCCTGGCTGCATCTGTTTCAGGTCGCGCTTGCGAGTCGTAAAATTGAACTCCCCGTCCCAATCATATCCAAATGATACTGGAGATGGTCATCGAGTAATGAACGGAAACCCTTCTTAACGCATCTTACCATGAACTTGGGCGACTTCCTATTGAAAGGCGCTGAAACATGGTTCAGCTGCGTGCGTAGTTTGGAAGAACACCACCTTCTCAAAAATCAAGTTTGCGATTCCTAGGCTTTTCAAGCTACCTGTCTAAAAAATTGCCTACAGTATCCATAAACCATCATAAACCACATGGCTTCGTCTATTCGACGCAAACACTTCATATCAGTTGGAGGGGAAGCTGCAGATCATCTTGGGTCATCCCATCCTGATGTCCTGAGAGTCTTGGGCCACCCGTTTACCATGCTTTAGTACGGAAATCACAGATTTTGGAACTTAGAATGGTGGTGTAACATGGTATAACTATGTATAACTAATATCCAAGTGGGGTATGGTCAAGGCCATACCAAAACCCTCAAAATCCGAAGTACATGCCTTCATGGAGGGTTGCCTGTACAAGCCTCAAAACTACACCTCTCAAACAGATTCCAACTGGTTTGTTTCATTTGCCATTGACTTCAAAACAGAGTGTCTGGAAATGGGGGGTGCCCCAATCAATGACAGTGAATATCAAGTTCAAATAACTTTAACAAACTCTGATACCCATGGTATACAAGGTAGTCCCCCCCGGTGATAAGTTGGCTTATCATTTTCCAATATCAATGGCTAGTTGGATATGAATCTATGCAATAAAACATCATAAAATCATCAATCAACTTGAAGTATATTGAAGTTATAAACCAACCAACTGAGTTTTTTTCGCTCTCTGCTGCACCCGAGAAACCACCACACCCCATGATATGCCATGGCTCTCACTGACGCGAGCGTTCAGAGAGTCGCCAGTGGCTTGAACGATGGCCTTCAGGATGGTGATTTGGCTATACGGGTTGCGGCCTTTGCCGATACACCTAAGGCAGGCCGAGGCACTGTTCATACTGTTCATGGCTGAGATATGTCAGAATTCCATGTAGATCTGTAGATACGTGATGATACGTGTAGATATGTAGCAGATGTGTCTAACTGTATATGATGATATATGATGATATTACAGAACATCATGGAAAGCGTGTGGACAGCAAGGGCCAAAGGCACTGTTCTCAGGCCTTCTCAACCACCAAGCCAAATCACCCTTCGAGAATCAAACATTGCAACTGATGCAACTGAATGTTCCACTAAAAAAATGGAGGTTTGATATTTTATAGCTGGAACACATGGGAACATCCACTACGAAACTCTGTTTTTTCGTAGCAACATCATCTCTGAATGGGGCTATTTCCCAGTTGAAACACGTTTGGTTCCGAGATTCCACGTCACAAACTCAGGAGTCGTGAACTTTCCGTCTCCGTCCTCAGGGACCCCAAGGGACCCACGTCGGGGCCCAGTCGCTGTGTGGGGAGGAACCCACGTCCTGTGAACATCCCACGTCCTTTTTTAAAACAGGCTGAGCATGTAAAACACCCAAGTGGATGTTCACGCGGCACCGCGTGATATCCAATTTCCAATTTCCAGCATCCTGACCCATAGGATCCATGTTGCTGGTATATATGCTAACATAATGGGGTATATTGATGGTAAATGTATGTAATAAATGTTACCATATATAGCATACATGGATCCTAATGGGTGATGGCTGGAAAAAATGGAAGATTTCCGACTGGTGTTCAATTGCCAGCGAAGTTTCTGGGATGTGGAATTGGAATGTGGTTGCCGAACCGAAGCCGCCATTTGGTACCCGGAAACTCATCGAACTGGTGGATTTTCCAACAAGCCACCTTTGATTACCAAAGGATACTGCTGCTAGCTGCTAATAAAAAAACACATATTCCATCATATTTCCACATAATTTCCACCATCTCATCACATCCAGCCCAGTAACTTCACCATCAATTTCCCTCAGCAACTTGTCAACGAATTTGTAGCCTCGAGGCAGCGCTGAGGCGCGGCGCGAACGAGGCAGGTATTTTGCCGGTGAAATCCCTTGTGCGAAGCAGCCCAGCGGCCCTGCGGCCCAACTCATATGAACTCACGTGGAAAATGGCTGGGAACCATTGGAAACTCTCTCCTAAGATTGGATTGATCCAGATTGAGGAAAAAACTTCCTGTGAGACCCTTGTTTTTAGCATGAAAAATGCAAGTTTCCTGTGACCCTTTGTTGAATTCACCCCGAAAAATGTCCTCAGAGATGATTATGATGATTTCAGCTGAAATGATTAGCATGGCCTCTGAAAATTGATACAAATCCCTCTTGCTGGACACTCTCGCCAACATCATATCCCAATTTGGCAGCTGGCTTGTAGCAGTGTATAGCTTGCCTGTCCAATCTGGGCTATAGTAAAATTGAGTTAAAGTACCCTCTGGTAAACTAACAGTTTGCGAACTTGAAAATGGCCCCAGTCGAAATAGTGGTTTTACCTAGTTTTACCATGTTTTACCCATTAAAAATGTTGATTTTCCAGAGTTTTTTTGTATGTTTACCAGGCCGGGTTACCCCACCCCCACTGGATGACCTCATCATCCAAGTCATCCAAGCAGCTGCTGTTGGGAACCAGATCGCTCAGCATCTTCTGCATTTCGGGCCTGGTGGGATCATAGCGGTTTCCACAAAGAGAACTGGGGAAGCCAATAAGAGATATCTATGTTGGAATAGATGGAATAGATATCTCTTCTGGATATCTATGTTTATTGGTTGGAAGATGCATATCTATGTCTATGTTAAAAAAAGGTTGCAACCGTGTTTACCCATTCCAGCCTTGGATTAAGCGAACATCTGCAGGAATAGCTGCAGAATCAACCAAATCATCCAAAGATTGCAAAGACAACATGGTTCCCAACATATCCCAACGTTGGATTCTTTCACCCTCATAGAACTCTTAGAGAACTTGGTTCCCCTGTTGGAATTGTCCTTCATCCAAACCACATTTCCCCCACGGACCGTGAGACCGGGGCCCCGCCTGGTGAGAAAGCCCCGTCGATCATCGGTACGGAAACGGGCAAAGACCTGGCGACGTTTGTGACGTTTGTTGCCACCATTTATATCTACCCTCTTGGTAAATTGTCACATAGCTATGGGAAATCACCATTTTTAATGGGTAAATCCACTCTAAATGGTCATTTTTAATAGCTATGTTATATTACCAGAGGGTACATATTGAAACATCATTTAACCAGCATATCATGATATGATATGTCTACATCAAAATGCCAACAGTTATTGGAGTTATTGAAAGACCAACTTAGCTAACTATGGACACCACCTTGTAGGATTTAACAAAAAGATTGTCGACGTGGTAGCTTCAACTAATATAGTTACGTGATATCTGGATTTGATATCGAAGTCTACAATTGATAGCATGCATCAGCCGATATTTAACATATATATATATATAGTTATATTTATATAACTATATGCATATCATATCTATTGTTGCATTCTAGCAAAATGTTGTATCCAGTGATTTGAATGACGTTGGTTGCTACATGGCTTTCTTTCCTCTCTGCAAACATCAATCATGGATCACTGGTGGTACCGTGGTGGCTTCGCCGCAAAGATTGAAGAAACAACTCCAACTTTCAAATGCGAACAACACTCATCAACATTACCTTGTTGTTTAAACCATGTTTAAACTCCTCCACCAACCTTTGGGATCTTTTAGCAACCTCTACCAACAAAACAGAAACATATAACATGTTACCAAAATTGGGTGGAGTCAGAATTTGCGGTTCTCCATCTTTTTGTTGTTTCCTTACTACTCAACACAAACATGTCATCCACCTCTTCTCTTGCAGTTTTTCTAACAGTACCACAAAAAACGATGATTTTTCCAATAGATTGACTCCAATTTGTGGATTTCTTTCCCAGGTGATTCAACATAGTTTGGTAAACCCAGTTCTTGGTGGATGGTAATTCACCTTACGCGAGCTTCAAATGCACTACTTCTTGGTGGATGATGATTATTCAGTGAATTCTTCCAGAATTAGTCGCGAAGTCAGGTCGTCATAAGTCACGACAAAAAATGTTGGTGGTAATGTTGGTGGTTCTTATATATTATGGATCCCATTATACAAAAATATACCACCATTAAATACCCGTGAAGTCACCATTATACCACTATTTCTGTTGCTTAAATCGCCATGTTTCTGAAATCAGCACTTTTAGCTGGGTTATGTTGGGCTCAATCGCTGTTGTTGGATGAATTTTCACATTTTTGGTTGGTTACCCTCTGGTAAACTAACATAGCTATTGAAAATGGCCATTTATAGTGGATTTTCCCATGAAAAATGGTGATTTTCCATTGCTATGTTAGTTCACCAGAGGGTACCCACGAAAAATCCCCACATCTGAAACGCTGCTTGTGCCGCGCCTCCTTCACCCGCTGGGTGAGGTCCGCGAGATCGACAGCACCACCCAACTTGTCCACCATGGCACCTCGGAGCGTTGGATCCTGAGCCGTCGGTAGTTCTCCAGTTATCCCCATCAATGCCAGTTAATCATATAGTTAACCATGTTAACCTATATATATATTATATATATTAGGGGGGGTACCATATATATATAACTATGGTAATTCTCCCCAATTAATGCCAATTAATGCCAGTTAATCTAACTATAAGCATTGATGGTTGGTGGTATACCTACCCCTCTGAAAAAATATGAGTTCGTCAGTTGGGATGATGAAGTTCCCAAGATATGGAAATCCAAATGTTCCACAGGGAACACATGGGAAACA